GTGGTCTCGCGCAGCAGTTCGTGGCCGGGGAACAAACTGCAGGTGTGTCCGTCGGGGCCGGAGCCGAGGAGCAGCAAGTCGAAGATGGGGAGACGCACGCTGTCGCGGCTGGCAAAGCTGGTGACGAGAGTCTTTTCGTACTGGTCGGCCAACTCCTGGGTGTCGTTCAGGTAGGTGGTGTCGATGGGGTGGACGGTCGGGGCACCAAGCTCCTCGGGGATCTTGTCGAGCAGTTGGCTCTTGAGAAGAGCATAGTTGGAGTCCTCGTGGTCGAGGGGAACGGCGCGCTCGTCGGCGAAGAAGATTTCCCACTTTCCAAAGTGAACCTGGTCTTCGGGGCCGGTGGAGGGTGTGAGCAATGCCTGCGCCAAAGTCTTTGGCAGAGAGCCGCCAGAGACGGCGAGCTTGAAGGCACCGTGACGATTCAGACCGGCATTTTGTGCTTGGATGACGTAGGATCGCAGGGCGGGCGCGAGTTCGTCAACCGACGGGTAGGCGAAGAGGTTTGGCTGTTTGTTGCTCATGGTGGGGTAAAGTAAGCTGGAGGTAGGTTGGTGGAAGGCGGAAGGCGGGGGGCGGAGAAGTGTGATGTCGGAAGCGAGGTTTACGTTGTGAAGGGGGGCGAAGAGGAGGATGTGAAGGAAAACGGTCTGCTGTCGGTGCAGAATGAGGGGCGGTCCGAAATTGGAGAAGGTGCGCGCGAACTCCGGCTTCCTGCTGCGGGATGTACTGCGTTTTTCTGGGCTGACAGATTTGCTTGGGTGGTGCGTTTGGTTGGTTGAAAGTTGGAGGTTCAGACGAAGATGGAAGCTTTGAGAGTGCCGTCAGTCTGCACACGGGAGGGACGTAATAAGGACCGAAGAGATAAGTAGCGTCGGTCTAAGAATCAAGCGGCGGGATGGGTCATGGATGTTTCCAGATGTAAAAGGGCCAAAAACAAAAAAATAAACCAAAACCCGATAGCGGGGCAGATGATTGAATATTTTGTATCTGTGTTCTCTTTTTTTTTTATCGGGGCACCTCAGCAAGTGCACCTCACACAGTACCTAAGGTCAGGTACGTATTCGTACAGACAAGACGAAAGAGCACCTCAGTCCAGCAGCTTGGGCAGGCTGCAGTTAAGTGTGGCTCGACCCAATTATTCTCTGCCGGCTGCGCTCTGAAGCTTGGGTCCTGCAATCCAAACGATTTGTTTGGTTTAAAGGTCAATGAGGAGTAAGTGCTTGGTGCTTGATGGTTGGTGGTAATAATCTCATGTGAGATAGCGTAGGACGAGGGCAGGCGGATATATGCGGGCTGCAGGTAAATTTGCACCGTTTCACCATGGATTTGTGATCGATAACGGCGGGCAGAAGGCAAGTCGGGCATTGATCAAAGCACCACTGCGGCACCTCACTACCTTACCTTTCGCAAGTGTGTGTACTGTGTAGAAAGGTGGATGTGCGATGTTTCCAGTGGACCAGCTGTGATATCCTGGCTTCGTCGTTGATCTGCCGTAGAGTCCGGGCTTTTGATACGGATCCTTTGACAGACTTGAGCCGTTGACTCGCAAATAACGTCGGTGGTGGCACTCGGCATATACTATAGGCTTCAATCTCGACGACGAAGAGTATTGAAGGCCACAAAGTTGGGTGCAATTAGAAAGGTCAGACAGATCACAGAGTGATGATGAATGATATGTCCGCAAAGCTAACTGTAGTTGTCGTTAGTCCGTTAGTGCTTCCGTAAGGTACACATCGGTGATTTGCCAAAACAGGTGCGCTGCGCCCGGGGGTCAAGTGGTGATTGCAGTTTCGGGAATGGACACTCAATGTCCGGCACGGCGCTGATGCAGCACTACTGTTGTAGATCGAGTCGGCGTGTCGGGTGGCTGGTGGCTGGAGGATTTAGTGAGATGACCGGAAGTAAGGTAGAACAAACTTGGTGAGATGGTTTTGTGGCGAACCGAGTCGTCCAAGACAGAACGGCTCACGGCCCTGACCGAGCTGTCCGGCGGTCGGGAAGCAGCGCCGCTGCCTCAGAGCTAAAGCATGGAAGCGTCTAACCTTCCTCCAGGTCGCTCGGATGCATTTCGTGAGCATTCCGTGGGATCCATGGATGTCGATAAGAAACGGCAAAGTTGCAGCGCAGAGGCACAGCGGGAAAAGGGAAAGAGATCCAGGCACCAAGAATACTGAGGGGGAAGGAACCTGAACCGCTTCCTGCCTTCCTGCTTGTTCCACCTGGCTGGTCTCAACGTTCCTGCCGAATCTAACGAGAACTGAAGGAGCCTTCCAACCCTGGCAAGAGCGGTTGCCCAGAGCAAGACACCGACCGGTCCCTGCCTGCAGGTGCCATCTAGTACCTGAGGTAAAGGAAGGAAGGAGACGAGACTGGAGGGCAAGAACGGGTGCCACAGCCTCCATCTTGTCATCGCCTTGTTTAATTTGCAATATGCAACTGTCTTGCTTTGGAAAGGTCGAGAAAGTCGGTCAGGGTCGGGCATTTTCAGAGGGCGAGCAACATTGCGAATGCCATGTCGTCAGCCCACGAAGAGCGAGCGCCATGCACGATCCCTTCTTGCACTCCAACAACCTGCCGGAAGAAACGCTCCTAGAGCTATTGGCCCGCCCACATATCCATTCCTGACCACCGAAAGCACTAGGTACTTAGGCACTGGATCCAAGTGCAGCGCGACTACATACGTTGTTCATTTGCTTGGGATGCAAATATCGTCGGCTCAAAGGCACGGCTCCATGCCTCCAAGTGAACGATTGTTCGTCGGCCAAATGCTCAAAACGAATACTTGCCTAACAAGAGTGCTAATCGAAGCTTGCTTGCTGCAGACACCTCGGAACAGACATGACAGACATTACTCAAGCCTCCAAGAGCCACCTCCTCCGCTCGCGTCCAGCCAATCGCCCTTCTGCTGGTTCGTCGAATGCAGTGCGGCGCTGCGGACAGTCATCATACAACCGCCTGTCTCCGGTTGGCCGTGGGATCGACAACACGATGCACCTCAATGGACGAGACTGCCGGTTCACCCACGTTGTGAGTGTGACTCCCACGTTGCTATTGTGCCAAAAGCTATTGGCATGTGCCAGCGAGTCTGGGGAAAACGCCTAGACCACTGGCCCGAACCCGCGCGCCTCCTACGAACTACCGGCCGAGTTCAAGATCAAAACCAACTCTATTATGCTATTTTCACGTCAAACGACGGCAGTGCAATCTTTCGATGCCCAGCGTCCTAGGATTCGCGGGCCACCGGCAAAAGCGTGACTTTGAGTGCACTATCAGCCCCCCAATATGCACGGAATCGCAGTCCAAGTTCTGATTGAGATAACAGCATCCGCGTACCTCTCTGCTGTGTCGCAAGAAGATGCCCGAGTAAAATACTGTCGAACACCGGCGCCCTATTCGCTACCCAGAACACAATTATTATGTCAAATCGATGGTACATTTCAGTATCCACCAGGGGGTCTCTGCATGACTGTCTCAATGTCACCAGTGCGGACACAAGTACAAAGGTTGATGCGTGACATCTCTGCAAATCACTACTTCGAAAGCCTCGTCACCTACCTACGTTCTGCATTATCATTCATGTCAGCAATAACGTTTGAATCATCTTGAACGATGTTGACATCTTTGACAGTCTTTACAAGAACGAGTCTGCAATGCGTCATTGTCCGTGGCGCGTTTGATAGACCCCTGCATGACTCGACAAAACCACCACCAGGTGGCTGATAAACTCGGCTTATTAAACGATCACAGCCGGTGCAAACTTGACGGTGCATCAGGATGTTGCGCTGGGCATCGATGCATCTCGATAATGACGTCACTGCGACGAACTGACTCGGAAGTCGTCCATCTCCAATTCAAGGGAACCATCACGAACCGCCGGGCGGACGGGGGTTCACCAGAAACCTGGTCCAGCTACTGCGGGGACGCTGTCGTCATAATGTTGACTCGAAAACCAAAAAGGAGGGGTGTTGGCGGGTCGCAGCGCTTGAAATGAAGCGCCGCTTTCTGAAACGGAATCCCACGATATCATCATCCACAAACGGTCCGGCTGTCAGTTGAGCAAAATTACACGCGTGATGCTCCGCGGACAAATTAACGATCAAGACCACGCAGTCGCCGATGCATGTGTAAGAGACGTCCGATTTACAGCAGCGCGCTGCAGGAAGTGGACATGATTCACGTCGGCGGTGTGCCCAGGGCTGCGAATCCACACTTGACGGCGCATGCTGTTGGTTCGTTCGCGGCGACAGGCCGGAGCACACGGAGCTATTCCCGTGTTTGATACATATGATAATCCCACAGCTGATATCGAGCGACAAACGGTGGGGACTGGGGAGCAGCAGATGCGACGAAAAAGTGTCAATCAACTGGACCCTTAATCACGAATGGGACGGGAACGCAGTATCCTCAGGGCGACCCAGGTAGGGTGCCAGGGCCCTTGCAAGTAAGCCTCATTCTGCGTTTTGCCCTGCTGCTCCAGCTATCCCTTGCTGCCCCAGATGACGATCAGGCACTGGCAAGGACTCGTCGAAGAAACAAAGGACAGGAATAACTCCGGCACTGCGGTAAAAAATGGAGGCCCCTTTCCAGAATTCGTCCAGAAAGGCAGGCAACTGGACGGATGAGGTATCTGATCGACCCAACGGGCGTCAAATGCTCCATCGGCCGCGTCTATTTCGTGTCACTTGCATCAGTACGGATAAGACACGAATACCTACCTACCTTACGAATGCGCCGGCATGTGAATTGTTACGAGAAAAAGGTTCATGCGGAAGAAACAAGAGCCCATAAAAGGCAAAAAAGTCAAAACGGAAATGACGGGATGAAAGCAACGGGGAGACTGGACACTGACGTCACCAGACATGCGGTTCCTTGGAGAAGGTTCCCAAATCCCAAGCCAATTCGCGACAAGTCGCAATCCCCAGTACCGGTATCCACGGGGAGAGAGAGAGAGAGAGAGCTCGGGCAAGCGCGTGGTACGTGAGGCTGACAGGGTCGAGTACCTTGTTGCTGAGTTGCAAAGCCAAGTGGTACGAAACCATGTTTTCACTGCCACTGCCCCGTCTCAACCGTCCATCGAAGGGTCATCTTACCAGGAACCATGGACTACGGACACTAAGGCAAATCAAGGGTCGCAACCTACGTTACCTACCCCTTGAAGGACTGGCATGGGTGTCCGATTCTCTCTCGTCCAGTCACGCCGTTGCGCCTGGCGGTTCAACGTCAAGTCGTCCCGGGTTCAATGCGCTTGCGGACAGTTTTGGGTACTGTCTTGGGAACGGCTGCTATTACTCGGTACACTACTTTGTCCCCAAGTGACAAAAGTCCAGGGCAGTTTTACCCCTCCACGCGAAGGACCCTGAAGTTCCAGTTTTCAAGGGTCCAGTCCAGAACCCCCCACTTGTCACCACGCACCAACGGACCCCAATCCGCGGCCAATATCCAATTGATGAGTTGCAAATTTCTTCCGCTTTCCTTTCTGGCTACAAGGTCGACGACGACGACGACGACTTTGCGCCTGTGTCAATCTCATCTTCTTGCCCCTTTTAAAAACGGCATACTTGGACGGACCGGTCATCAACCAAAAATAGTGTCTCCGTCTTACTGGGACCAAGCTAGACAAACCGGGCTAGTCACCTCCGGCTACAACTGTCAAGACAGTCCAGTGGAGGCAGCAAACGCCAGGGCAGACGAGCAGAATCGGAGAGAAGAGCACCTCAGCACAAAATCAAGCACGACGGGACTAAAACAAGAGAGGCATCAGGGCGCGCCATCACCCGCCAGACCAACACCACCGCCTCACTTTCATTTCCGTCTGATTGACGAATAAGGACGCCTTCCTTCCGTCCAGTCCTGCCATCTCATTCTCGTCTCTTTTCCTTCATCGGCCCTTTCCCCCCTTTCAAATCTACTCTCGTTTCCCCCATTTTTCAAATCCATTTTCCCCGGCTTCTTTCCTTACGCCGTATCTCCAGTTCAACTACTTCCAACGGATACAGCCCGGGCAGGGTTGCCACAAAGTGGTCTGACCAGTTGTGGGCTTGCCCCGTTCTCCTTACCAAAAACCCCCCCTCTCGGTCGAAAATAAAAACAATTAAGAAAGGGAAGAAAAAAAGAGGAGAGAGAGACCTCGAGACACAACCGCGCGCAGCCGTGTGCCGGGCTTTTTTCTCCTAGGGTTCAGGTTCATCTCACCGTTCCGTTCCCGAGACGGTGTTCCATTAAGGTACCACAACACGTCCGCTCGACTTGGACCTTGAGCCCAGCAATACCAGGATCGTTGTTCTCCTCACTGACGTCAGTGTCACTTGCATCACATTTCCATCTCGATTCCTCGGCGGCATCTTCCTTCCTTTGCCTTGTTTCCCTTTTTTTATCAGCAGCCCTGCCTGCACCTTGTTGGATGCTAGACCCGAACAGTGCTGCCCCAAGCGCATTGCTACTAGCTTCCGTTTCTTCACCATGTCGACAGCAAGCACCACAACCACCGGCAATGAGTCGCCCTTGGAGGATGAAACCACCCACCGCTCAGAAGGTCTACTCGACCGTCGCCGACATCTCACAGCAACTTTGGACGACAACCCGTACGACTTGATCACTTATCTCGAGCGTGCAGTTGTCCACTCTGAGTTGGGCTACCCCGACTTGGCCGCCGGCGATGCCTACAAAGCTCTTCTTTTGACTGACGACGTGCTCCATGAGGGCTCCGAGTACCATGAGCAAGCCATCGAGGCTCTTGGATCCCGCCCCCTTGATCCTTTGCCAATTGTCCTGGATCATGGGATTTTGTCGAAGCTCGGGAGCGACTACCTCACCGAAGAGGCCAGAGACCAAACAGGCCTTGTCGCTCACGTGGCCAAGCTATCTTCTGTTCGCGCCTTTCAGATCCTTGCTCTTAGTCTTCTGTTGTGCGGATGCCTGAAGAGCGCGCACGAGTTCTGCGATCGAGGACTGTTGATCGCTCCTGAGAACGATGAACTACTCCAGACGATGGGATACATCAAGCACGTGGCAAGTCGGAGATGTCGCAGGGATGACTTTAATGTCAACGTTCTTCCGGAATGGGGGCTTGTTCGGAGGGAAGTCTACCCCTGGAACACATACGAGCCTGACCGTTTTGCTCCCGAATCCCTCGATTTTCTGAACGCCGAACTATCCAAATCTGCACCCAAATGTGCGGTCCAAGTGTCTAAGCTCCCAGTTCTTTTAGAGGCAGCCAGCGACACGGACGACTACGATATTATACCCACCTGCAATCAGCTGGGCCTCTTTGCGACGCAAGACATTGCGCCAGGAGAGGCCGTCTTAGAAGAATACTCGCTCTTGACCGCCAACAACCGTCTCAAAGAACCAGTCTGCGATGCGTGTAGTGCGGAACTGCCACCCTTGGGCAGTGAGCCGGCCGCTGTCAGTTGCGACGAATGTTACGACACTGTTTTCTGTAGCCAACACTGTCATGATATGGCACAAGAACTTTATCATCCTGCGGTATGCGAGAAGGACGTCGATGCCATCGCCAAGGACCCCGAAGCTTCGGAAGCCGATGAAACATTACACCTGCTGCTTCTTGCGCGTGTTTTGGCCATGTCCAACCACCAGGAATTACACCCCTTGGATGTGACACAGATCAAATATATCTGGGGTGACTTCGTGCCTTCGGCATCGAACGATATCGAAATCTCACCGAGTGCAAATCCGCCGCCGGAGTGGACGCTACCATTCTCGTTCAAGTACAACATCGAGACGCCCTTCCATATCCTCGAAAAGATGGATGTCGACATCTACAGTACTATCCAAGAGCACGATTTATGGGTTCTGAATACCCTCTACAGCAAATTCCGCGGTACGGCGTCGGCCCGTAAGAACCTGCGAGATGGTCGACCCGATGTCGCGGCGGTACACCCCCTGTGGTGCTTAGCCAACCACGACTGCAATCCGAACGTTACATGGGATTGGGGAGGACAGATGACGCTCTGGGCGCGGAAGACAAAGGTTGTGGGCGGTGTTCCAGGAGGACTCAAAGCCGGAGAAGAGGTTTTGAACCACTACTGCGACGTTGCGATGCCCGTCGATCAACGAAGGGCTTGGGCAAAGGGAAGTCTCGGCGGGTGGTGCATGTGCCAAAGATGTCGAGATGAAGCTGCTGCTGCCGAACCGCAGGCATCCTGAACCATGCCCATCATTGACCGCAAGACCTACCCAGAGATTTTACAGTCGACACTGTCTACTTTCCGCCGACGGTTTTTGAACGTCGGAAAACTTGCGATTAGCGAGCGATTTATGGGGGAATAGAGGAAACATACCATTAGAGATTATATCATTGGAGGGGTCGAAATTCGGGGTCGAGGCAACAGATAGATCCATTTTACATCCTTTAAGGTTAGGAGGGTTCCTACCTTTCGGATATTCTTGTACGCGAGCTCCCGGTCATGGACTCGGGAGAAGAGGGAGACATACACGACAAAAAGAATCGCGAAACGTCCTTTTATATACATACTACTGTGGACTACCTTTTAGTTCACCCTCTACGGATTGCCCGTACAAGCGAAACCGGTTTATCGCCTCCATTTATCTGCCAACGACATCACCAAGCCCATCCCAAGGCCATTCGCATGTTTCCGCCCACAGAGTCCTCAAGAAGCTCGAAATTGTCATCGGGCATCTCTGAACGCTAATAGCGTACATCCGGACGCCCAGATTTTACTCAGTTTTGTGTAGCTCTTTGCACCCAAGTCAAATCGGTGCTGATGGACCTTGGAATACATGTTGCGTAGACATGTACTGGTGGCTGCAGACGTGGACATCTTTTCAACTCTGAAGTTCAGATAAGGTGTGGAGAGCACACAGAGGTGTCCATATTCTTTGGGTGACAGCAAGAACCCCTGGCTTGGTAATTGAAGAGGTAGAGGTTGAGGATATAGGGAGTGTCACGAATCGGCATATAGAGTAGCTCATGGAAATCGGGATCTCAACTGTGGTCTAATCAATTATGGAAAGGGGAAAAGGGAAGCCCTCGAGGGAGCCCCTTTTGTATGCCCTTACCCCTGTCCACCCCTTATCTCTGCCCCTGAGATATCCACTGCTATACCTCTTTCGTGACAGGGAGCAACTTCCTCGTCTCCTCCAAAGTCACGGCATTACAGCCCGTCTTAATACCCAAGGGCCACCTCTTTTTGAGCCAACCACGCAACTACCCGGCATTAGGCTCCTGTATTCTCTGGGTTGTTCAGAAGGTATTGGAAGTAGGATGCGCTGGTTAGACTTTGAACGGCGTCGTCCTTCCTACTTGAGACGTGTCGAGAACGGCTCTGCATTTGATATGGCGAACGTGGAAAGGGCAACGACAGAGTCAATGCCGCATGAACGAACGACGCCAGGACTGATGCCAAAGATCAAAGAAAATTGGCACTCTCCCAAATAAAGCATGTTGGGAGTTGAAAAGATTGGCATATCGACAACCTGGGTTTCACCACATCCACTGTTCAATACAGAGAGGTTTGGTGACTGCAATCTTTCATTCATGACGTCATCGAAGAGTTATCAAATTGGAACCAAAAGGCCTCAAATGCCCGATCCAGCTTTCCCCAAATCCCAGGAACCTGTCCTGGATACCAATTTTCGCTTCAGAGCGGTCTCGTGGGTCAGAAGAAACGAAAAACCACACTGAAATCGACCGCCTATACCGGTACACGCACATCCGGCCCAATGGGCAGCGGCCTTCTTGCCCAAGCTGTGTGCTTTCTCTGTAGCACGAAACCCTCTCTTCTTTAATTCTTTCTAACAAGAAACCCTCTCAAAACGCTTGTGAGAACCCAAGAGGCCCCACCATTGGAGCCGATCTTCTCATTTAAACGGGCATCGCGTGTCGAGGCAGACGCCGATGCTGGGCGTGTAGCCCGCGCAGTTGAGGTCCGCGGCACAGCCGACCGAGGGGCCGCCGTAGCAGCAGCAGCACTCTGCCTTTGTGGGGGCGCGCTTGTCGAGGGTTTCTCCGCCTGGGGTGGCGGCTGCCGTGACGGCGGCGGCGAGGGCGAGGACGAAGAGAGATTTGTAATGCATGTTGTTTTGGGATTTGCTTGGGTGGGTGGGTTGGAATTGGGTTCTCGTGATAATGGTGTCTTTGTCTTTGAGATTGACGTGCTTTTCCTTGGTGTTGAAGAGAAAGCAGTGGTTGTTTATGTACTTTTGTCAATTGTATTGGCGATGTGTTTGCATCTTTACTGGGAGGTTCCAAGGCGAAAAGAGAGGATGCTATCTACATTCCTATTGCGGAGTCATTCACCGGTGTAGGATTCGTTGTTCTTGAGTTACCAGTCTCGTCCAAGTTTTACGATATCGCCAAGGGATCTCAAAGGAAGGTCTTCAAAGGGCTGATAGGAAGCGGGGTTGTTTGCGCCTTTACGACTTTGGAAAGTCATGGTCATCAACTCGCTACAGTCGATTTGACACGCATTCCTTGCCCCCAAATGAGTGCCCTGTTTGACCCGAGTAATAGGTTACAACTCGCGAGTGAACGAGCTGAAGGAGCTGCCTCGGGCGTCGAAGGATTTGCGGCACAGCAATTCTGCTGATCGCGGGGGGGCTTTGGATAAAAAGACCTTATCTAAGCTGACTATTGGAAGGTGCCAAGATGGAAGGAATTGAGTCTAATGCGCTTAAGCTCGGGGCTTGGGTACTTGATGGAGAAGATGCTTGTAGAGATGAGAAACATTTTCTCTCTTGCTTTCGGTGGCGATTTGCCCTTGTGGGATATAACTTTCCTCCCAAGGCTTTATGTCTTTTGGTGGACGCTTGTTCGGGTCTATTGACTGCGAGGCACGATGGAGAGGACCATGAATAGCGATAACTTAGGTCGTGATACGACGGGAGCATGGTCTATTGGCATTCAGTTAGGGCACTGTTCTTCCTTTTGCCTTTTTTACTCGCAGAAAGACAAATCGCTGTCTCGAAGCCATCCCTCTCAAATCTAAAAGAGTAAAAACCGAGAGTTGACTGGACTTGAATGGCCTGCCTTATTGGAAACCTGGATGAGGTGTGGATGTGAAGTTGAGAAAACTGCGTGATGTGACCTCGGCTCACGAATCGGGGAATCGAAGAGGATTTATAGTCTCGATTGAGCCTGTGAACTTATAGGCTGGTTTGAGGGTAGTTTTCTTTTGAGACAGCACCGTCGGAGCAAGAGCCCGCCTCCGCGATAGTCCTCTCTCTCAGTCTCTCACGCTCTAGTGTCTCAGTTTGGGATGGAGGACGGGGCCTTGCCCGCCTCCGCGCCTGAAGCGAACTAATTGAGCCATTGGTTCTGTGACCCCCGGAGCTCGCTCCGAGCCCCTCGGGAGTCGGGAAAGGGCGTTTTCGAGGGGGAAATGGAAGCTGAGTTGAGACCGGCTGGCAGCGGAGAGGGAGCCCGCCTCCGCGAGATGGGGAGAAGAGCCAAAAGGTCTTTGGACTCTCTCGAATCTTGATGTGGGATTAGTGAGCATGAACTGTCCTTTGGTTCTTGTACGAACTTCTAGAGTCGCTGATTGGAACAGGAACGACAGCGTGCTCTGTGCGTGGTTGACCTTGGACCCCTAACGGAGCTTCATCCGGCTCCGAAATGGCAATCGTGTGGATTTTGGCGACCTGTGTAACGTACCAAAGTGCTGGAACGGACGCAGGTCACCCCCATTCCGGCACCTTTCCTCCGCGATGCGCGCGATGCGGGTTTGGGTTTAGGCAGAACCAAAGCTGAATGGAAGAGGCGGAAAACATGACCTGGCGGGGGAGAGCCCGTCGCCGCCGAAAGGCCCGAAGCAGCTTTCACTACAGTCTGATCGTTTGTTGCTAGCTTGCGGAACAGAGATGGTAACGACGGAGCGGTGCCCGGCTCCGCGAGGCACTATATCGACTTTTGTTGTCTGGTTCTATATAAGAGCGAGTACTGCGCTCGAAATTATGTGGATTTCGTTAAGCCCAGGGGGCTCTAGTGATGAGAAGACATAGTCAAGGGACGGGTCTCTGCTGTTCTTCCTTTCCTGTCAGCTGACCTGACCATGCTTTTTCTCGGGCTTCCTTCCCCCTTTTCTTTCTCCTACACAGTGAAGTTTGTTGCTGTAGCTTCGAGGCCGACGTGTTCTTTCTCCAAGTCGAGAATCCCAAGGCTGGTTTATCGATGCGGATAGGGGAAGTTTTATGAACCCTACAAGGCGGGTGGGTTGCTTTGGTGTTGTCCATCCTCATCAGAGTTACAAAGGGCGGCAAAAGAGACTCTATTTGGGACCTCGCTCCAAATAGTACCTTGGTATCGATCCCATGGTAGGAAAAAGCGTTGGGTAAGAGCAGCGCGCAGCTACGCCAGATTTCTTCACTCAGAGCTCGTCGTGGATCTTGACCTTTTCTTCCTCAGTCTCTTTGACCTCCTCGGCCTCCGCCCCGGAACCGTCTTGCGCCCCTGTCTCTTCCTCCTTCACCAGTACCTCCTCCATGACCTGCTCCACAATCTCCTCGTCCGCAGTCGACTCGCCCACCTGCCAGGCGTCGGCGTTGCCCTCAGAGATGTCGGCAATGTGCTGCGCAACGGCGTCGACCGTGATCTTGCCGCCCTTGAAAGGGAACGCCAGGCCTACAGCCGGATTATAGACTGCCACGCCCTCGGTGGCATCCGCCGGCAGACCGAAGAGCGCGGGCATATCGGGGTACTCGCCGAGATCGACCGTCACGAAGGTGATGTACTCGTGGTACTGTTTCGCCATGGGCTTCACGGCCGATGTCCAAGAGTCCATGTTCTCTTCGTTCGTGGAGAAGAAGTACGTCAACGACTTGCCAGACTGTGAGATATCTACGTCAGCAATGCACCTCCTAAGGCAGGCCTGTAGACTGTAAGGGACCAACTGACGCTAAGATACTCGGCCTCGTTCCTCCTCGTCAACCGCGGCACGAGCTGCGACGCGCACTTCTTCAGCATCTTCTCCATCGAGTCGACCTCGTCCAGCTCAGACGTCATGTGGAACGCCCCGTCGGCGTTGTTATAGCACGTGATCCGCCCGGGCGCCTCGTCAATCGTCGTTAGCCCAAAGGCGTAGCGGTCGCGATACCGGTCGGCCATCTCGGCGAAGCGCTCGCGCAGGCTGGTCTCGGACTCGGCCATGTGCGCAATCAGCACCACGTCGTCGTCCTTGTTGAAAGATTTCGCGGCCTTGCTGTCGAGGGGGACGACGGCGGGGCGGAGCATGCGGCGGACGAAGGCGGTGATTCTGCAATGAGAGACGGGCACCGCTTAGCTGAAGCTCTTTCTGAAGTGGTGAGGGGGGGCCTGCTGGTAACCTACTCAGAGGCCTTTCTGGGGCCGCGGTAGTGGTGCTTCGTGCCGTCTTGGCGGTAGAGGCGGATGGCGGGGTAGGAAGCGACGTCGAAGTCGGTGCAGAGCGAGGCCGATGTCGAGCAGTCTACCGAAAGGGCGGTCGGGATGGCGTCTTCGACTGCGGACCAGTGCTTTTCGAGGGCTGTGCTGGCATCGCTGTTGTCCGTGTTAACGAATGTCGCTGTAGAGGTGCGGAGTGTCGTACATTGAGGGCTTTGGTACGGTCAGCGCTTTGCTAGCATATGGCGACAGCATCGAACTTGGGGGAGTGATCGCAGGACATCAGCTCATGGAACGGAGACTTGGCTTACCGCAACAACTGTTTCTGTCGTTAGCATGCTATTGGAGAGAGAATGAAACAGGAAAGGAGCCGTGGAACACGTTTGACATACATGCCACTAGGCTATGCTCGTTCGCCTTGAGGGCATCACGAACTTCGGCTTCGGTCTTGTGCTGCCAACCCATGCCCGCGCCGGTGAGCGCGAGCAACGGCAAGAGAGTCTTCAGAGACATGGTGAGGGGGGGGCTGCGAAAACAAGATGCGCCCTACGCTATGCGATGCTTCGGGGAGAACCACGGCACCTGTCAAGTGATCGGTGGTGGGGGTGAAAAGAAGCTTAAAAGGAAAGCAAGATCCGAGGAGAAGGAGAAAAGATTGGCGCGAAAAAGAGGACAGCAAGCTCCGGATCGGGGGAGGTAGCTCCCCCATGTATTGAATTGGGTTTTTGACTCGCCGTGGGCCGTGGCGGGGTGCCCCTGACGGGGGGGATGGAGGCGGTATGATTGGTGCAAGATCGGAGGGTGCGGCCGAGACTCCTGAAACGGCGGGCGGGCAGGGGTATTGATGAGCGGCCGTTTGATCGCCGGAGCGAGTGGGGTCGGTGGGGCCGTGGCTGCGGTGACATTTCAAGGTAGATCAAGATTCACGAGCATCGCAACATCACACTTTGAAGAAGGAAACATTGATGTTGAGCGAGCGAGGGTTTTCTTAGATGATGGATTCAGTTTGATAAAGCCGTAAGAAAAATGTCAAGTCGTATGGAATGCAGGAGTAGCCCTGCCACAGTCGTCCGCATGTACCTACATCTTGTTGACGCGATCGATTTCCTCTCCGCCATACCGCAGGGTGTCCAGCTGGACGATCTCGGCCCTTTAAGATGGTGGTAGGCTCCAACAATTTCAGATCTGCATTTTGAACCGTATTTGTCTTCTTGTTGTATGGCAAAGCTTGCCAAGGTACTTTACGACATCAGATAGTTCTTCTCAATGTGGATGTCAAAGGGCGAGGTTGATTCAAATTTCAAACAACTTGCGGATGGCCCTGGGCCTGGTCGTTATTTCGCACCATTGAGAAGCAAGACTCTCAGGCTTCTACTTGATTGATTCAGAAAGAGGCTTTGTACGAAACTTTCGTAAAAGAACATGCTATTGCCCGCAGGGCAGAAAAGAATAAAGATTCAAGGGAGCAAGGGAGTGGGCACCTCAGCAGCGTAGCACCACAACGGACCCTATGGTCCCAATGCGGTCAATCAAAGCAAAGAAGACACACAGTATTTGAATCACGTTAGTAATTCGGTCTACCATCTATATATAATAGGCTTCTGCTCCTTTTGCGTTTGGATGGCCCTCGGCACTGAGCAGTCGGGTTGGAAAACAGCAGTTCAGTACCACAGCTTCCACATTCATATTGACAGGCCAAGATCATCTAGTCATTGAGAACCAGTCAAGATGCTTATACTACCCACAATTACACTCTGTGCCCTGGCAACTGCTCCTTTGACAGCTGCGGCTCCGACTGATGTTGGATCCTCCAGCCCGCCACGCTCACTCGCACCTTTCACCTTTGAGCAATGGGCTGATGACATTATCACCAATCCCACGGCCCAGCATCTGTCTGCTAAAGAGGCGGCCGAAGCTTCGGTTAGGGCTCGCAATATCATCGGTGAAATTTCTACCTGTCCCTGGCTTCGTCTATGGACTAGGAGCAAGAACAGTGATGGATCATGGATGATTCGCTAACATTCAATTTACCACGGCAGGTTGGCAGCCTAGTGTCCCTCACAATGCTTCCGGCTCTGGAGACTTTGACGGGAATCAATTGAACAAGCGCGACAAAGTTTTCCTCAAGTCCAAGTCTTCGGATAGCGGCAAGGTCATTGACATCAACACCGTTCGATGCAATAGCTTCCCCACAGACATGGCACCGGTACGTCTTCATAGCTATCAGCTCTGCCCCAAGTGTAGCACCAGACACGTTATCTGACTGACCATTTTTATACTGCAGATGGAGGACGCCGCCTGGTGCATTCAGTGGCTAGCAAACCAAGCTGAAAACAGGTGTGTTGTGAGTGACAAGGAAGTAACAGGTTTCTGCCGCTCAAATGGCAAGACTTTCATTCTCGGATGGAGGAAAAACAAGCAATCTCTGCACCAGTCAACTTGGTAAGCGCTTGCCCCCGCCATGTCACGTTGGCCCTTCTCGAATCCTCTAAACGACTTTCACTGATAGGATTCTCCCGAACCACAGTCAGGAAATTGCAAGAACCGCGGGAAGGATCATGGATTACTGCACCAGCAGCGGATTCGTACAAGGAGAAACGACTGCGTGGAATGACACAGCTACTGGGGTCTTGATTCGGACTTTTGAGTCGGGCAATATTGAAAAGAACATCAAGCTTGAGATGTGATTGGATCTTCGATACAGCTCTCGACAAGCCTAAATTGTTCCTGTGCCTGTGTCACTCATCTTCTTCCCAGAGACGAAATCCGATCTACGTTTTTTACCTTTATGGTTTCGTTCAGATGAACCCTAATCAGTTAGTATTGCTACGTAGAGACTCAGTAGTAACAGTAGGTGTCTGAACTCAACCATTTACAAACTACCATCATGGCGAAGTTGCACATCTAGAGCCTCTGAGCCGCGCCATAAAATGCGATTTGTAAGACATTTCACCATAAGATACAATCCTAATGAACAACCAGTATTACTTGCCTGGGGAAGATGAGATTTCGCTCGAGACTGGACATTTCACATTTGCAATTCGCGAAGAATCAGGTTGTAGAGCTTGTAAGCTTGGTGACGATTTATGGATTTGATTCTCAGAAACATAAACTCGTGAAATTTAGAAGTTCCAAGAAAATTTATTTTCTACCACATTTGTATTATCCCATCAACTGCTAGATGGCGTCAGTACAAGGTACGTACTTTAAACAATCCGATCTTATTTCCCTCATATTCGCCTATGCATAATCTCGAAATAGAGCAAAAGTAGAGAAAGACTGGAGACAGATATAGTGACGGATGTAGTGACGGGTGTAGTGACGGGTGTAGTGACGCCATCCAGCAGTCAATGGGATATTCGCCCTCGCCTTTGTAGCGTAAGAGTCTAGAGAAGTATGCCAATAGGCAGACCCTCAATTACAGTATGCAACAACCGGAATAGATAAGCACATATGCACGGGCCCATAGCCCCTTTAGCTACTTCTCTGTTCACTGGGGTGCTCAACGTCCACCCAAACATCAAAAGTAGCATTGCGCCCATGATGAGTTCGCGGCCCTTCACCTGCACAGAGTGCACGCAGACATTTACGAGAAACGTATGTACCCTCAGACCTCCACTTCGTGATGGTGACTAAGCCACGTCGAAGGAAAATTTGGAACGCCATAAACGCTCGAGTTTATGTCAGCTCCGGCCCCCGACTTTTCAAATTTGTGAAGCTCACATTCGCCAGGACATGGGAGCGATAGCCGTAGGCCATTCAGATGTGAAAACTGCAAAGCCAGGTTCACTAGAAAGGATGTGTGTAAACGACATGCCGAAAGATGCAGAGGCACTTTCAGCCGTGTGTTGACAGTCACCGGTATCGAGAATGGAGCGGAGCAACCGGCACCGGCCCTTGAAGATACTACTCTTTCACCAGACGACCAAGATGACTCGCCCTTTTCGACTGCTCAGGAGGGCATCACAGCTGGTGTTGGTGATGACACCGTCTACCCAAATAGCCCACCAGAAGCTACAGAAGCGCCTAACCCGGAGGAGCTTCTGGTGGCGGAGTATGTTGTATGAAGATGAGGTCTAATTTCACAGCTGACTGATTCTCCAGGATTATGATGGGCGGGACAGAAGCCTACATATCAACGTATTTTGAGAGTTTCCATCCATCATTTCCACTCCTACATCGACAGAGCCTAGGGAATGAGCTACCAAAGTTGTCGAAGCAGATTATTGTCTCAATTGGCATGCTATATGCTTCCAGAAACGTATCTGAAGAGGAAACTGCATCCTTGATGCGGAAGAGCCAGACACTATGGGAATATAGTCATGATGAACATTGGCGAGTTGTAAGTCCAACTTACTATCTCAAATCAAGTGTTGGTCGTGTTATGCTCATTTAGTATGCCAGGTTGAGGCGGACTGGAGAGAAATCCGCAGGACATGGGTTATGCAAGCTTGGTTCCTGCATATTATCTATGGGGCCTTTACTGGCAACACATCACACTTCGACAGATCAAAGAAGATGCTGCGATGGATTGTAGACGTTAGTTGTCTTTGCTGATACGTGCTGGCCTGACTATTTCATCAATCTAACGTGAACAGGCCGCCCGAGACCTTGGTCTCCTACGCCAAAATGTTTTCCAGTCGACATCCAGATTCAGGGACTCGGAAGAACAGACATTACACGATCACTGGATGTCATACGTTGAGTCAGAGTCCATGAAGCTATCCATGTACACTCTGCTGTTCCTTGACTTTCATATTTTCTCCCCTTGCAACATTCGCCCGCTTACCACTCCCACTGAGCTCGATTGGGAGCTGCCCCTTGCTTCATCATTGTGGGAGGCGGACACTTCTCTAGCTTGGGCCCAGCGGCTCGGAGACGAACCCCGAACCGTCGAACTGACCCGATCTCACGACACGCCTGGCATGACTTGCCCAACAATCAAATCACTAAATCTTGCAATGCAATCATTGATGACGGACACACCGAGTCCGCAGCTCTTACCGGCGCTACGTGCTTCGCCAATGGCGACGCTCTTCGTTCTCACCAGCCTCGATTCCCTGGTCAGGGATTTCACCCGATGCTACTACCAGCTCCCACCGGCCTTGGCCGACCCCAACGCGTACCACATTCTCACTCAATCTCAAAACAGACAGGTCAGTGCAGCTCTGCGATACATTTCCGAAATCATCACAACGCAAGTCGCCGCGGCGAATAGCTCGAACTGGCACATCTTGAACTTTGCTGAGCGTATCGCACTATCCGTCAAGCTCGCGCTCTGCAAACCTGATGATCTTCTGATTGGTGGCATCGTGGAGAATAGCGTTGTTGCTGGCCTCACCACCGCGACACATCTCACCATGGGGCTTCAAGTGGGTGCTCGAAGATCGTTACAAAACCTACTCAGTTATAATTCCGGCGATGACGGAATGTTAGTCTTTCTCGATGACTTGATGGACGTCCTGTCAAGCGTGAAAAGCACCGAGAGGCAAGATCCGTTGAGAGAAGCGCCTTGGGCGACGGTGGCTACATCCAAGATCCTCCTGGCGATATGGAGGTTACTACGCTGGGCAACAGGAGAGATGCGACGCAAGGCAGGAACACAGCCGACCGTCCGCACCCGGTTCGAAGCTTCGACCATAGTCTTCAATTCCATCCTTGAAGTCTTGCAGCTTCAGGAGGACATCAATGGCCAGACTCGGCGCCTCTCGGTTCGGGAGTCTACCGCATTGGGCATGGCGTCGGAGGCGAGCGAGGTACGCTTCATGGAAACCGTATTACAGTTCTGGAAGCAGAGGCCTGTCTGGGCAATGGGGTCCTTCATGACGACGGTGCTTGAGGAGGTCATCTCGGCTGGTGGTATGGCTTACGAGTAAGGTTATGCCGACTAGCGCGCGGCGAGGAGGCCGCTGCCCGACACTAGGGTTGCTGCGGAGCTCCGCCACAGCCACCACTTATCTCGAACTGTATATCTACACTTTCAAGAGGCGCTTGAATTGTCACTTGGAATAGTCTGTGACATTCCGAATTTTCCGAACTGTTTCAATCTTTCAAAGGGGTTTATCGCCGGCTATCTCACACGTCAATTCAACGTTAATTGCATCCCCGTCAAGTAAACGCCAAGTGGAATGGCTGCACAAGAGTCTTTCGGCTGGGTACTGCTTCCCCCTGCTGCTCACCGCACTCCCTTGCTCACTCACATGTAACTCTAGTTTGGCCTGGGGTCAATGGGGATAGGCATGGCCTTGAATCTTCAGAAGCATCTTGCATCGAAGGGTCTGCCACCTCTTCGTTACAGCAATCGGACACTCTCTCGAGGGGAGACTCTTCGAGAAGCTGGAGGTCTTCCTGAACGAGATTTCGAGACTTTGCTCCTGAAGTCATCCGTAATCTTCACAATGGTAATTTGCAATCATGCTGTGATTTTGTCTTATAGCTGTACTCGCTTATTGACCATAATAGATCTCAAATAATGAGGTTCTGGACAGCCTTGTATCGAAATTTCTCGACACTTGGAACAGCGCCTTACTCGAAGGCAAGATCTGGGTTGATACATCAACCGTCCATCCAGATACGGCGGCAAAGTGCTCCGAACGCCTTGCTAAAGTAGGCGCCACGTTTGTTGCGTCCCCTGTCTTCGGGGCTAGTCCTATGGCGGCCGCTGGTCAACTCATCTTTGCCATGGCCGGCCCCTCCGCTGCTATTGAAAAGCTGAGGCCCTTCGTAGTCAATGTTATGGGCAAGATCATAATAGATATGGGAGAAGACGTCCGCAAATCAAGCTTGCTCAAGATATCAGGGCAAGGACTACCTCTTAATCCCATTGGCAGCCATGAAACCAAATCGGTCCGAGACTACCCAAACTACTAATCACACATATCTACGACAGAAACATCTTTGTCATTGGCTTCCAGGAGCTGACCGCCGAGGCGCAAGTCTTTGCCGAGAAAACCGGGCTCGGTACCCGCCAGATGGAGCAGTTCATCAGGGACATATACGGTCCCGTTATCGAGAGCTACTCGAAGCGGATGACAACGGGCGCATACGCGCCACCCCTGGGAACGCCCCCCGGCTTCGCGGTGTCCCTGGCGGCCAAGGATGCCGGACACGCGGTGAGGATCGCCGAGGAGCATGGTACGAGAATACCGACTATCGAAACAGCGTTGTCCCGCATGGAGGCCGCTAGGAAGTATCAGGGGAATCATTGGATAGTTCGTCAATCTACGGTGCAGCTCGGCTCGAAGCTTCATTGCCTTTTTGGAACGAGAATAGTAGACAGTCTAACTAGAATGAGCTCGCTGTTGAATTCATCCACTTGAGGCGTTATTCCGATGTAAAGGTTGTTGAAATGAGTTAAGAAGACAAGAAACCATTTTGATTTCACGATAACCCAGTTCTTTTAGACTTCTCAATCAAATTCGTTACTCAACAAGTAAATCATCGACAGCCTGGATACGTCTGGTGAGGACTCGGATAGAATAGCGACGCTTAACAGTGTATCGTTGTCCATGTTTGTTTCATTTCCGAGATCATGACTTGGGGTGCATTTCCCACGAAGCTACCAAAACAAGACCTACTGTCCCGGATCCGGGGAGAGGGAACGGGGCTCCGCTGATCCATCCAGCTGGATACTAGCTCCATAGACAACTGTCATGTTATCTAGCGTCATGTGTTAGAGTGTGTGTCAAGCAGCGATGGAAAGATTCGGAGATAACGGCAACGGCACTCAGCCGGGATATGGATGTCTCATCCCGTCGTACCCCAAGATTGCGGAGCTCACTGCGTCGACCAGGCCAACCTCAAAATGCGGGGGCGGAGCTCCGTTGGCATGCATGAGGCGAGGGTGGATCCGAGATAGCAGCATGACCGAGCTTGATGTGAAAATCCCCTATCTCAGCGATAACCAGCCAGGCCACTCTCAATTTGAGTGTAATTTGGCTTGCTGCCGCCACAAAGGCCACCCCATGTCGATTGCTCCTAGATCAGCCTCAGTCAAGATGAGAGAGAGAAGACTGACTGCTGTCATTGCTCAGCACGGGACACCTATAAACCCCGAGCTTTCCCAACCAGCCCCTTGAAAATTCCCAGCATCTGCCTCTAGCCATCCTCTACCTGCTTAGGTCAACCTCGACACAACCTTTGGCGTTTCGACAACATCCAAGTATACCTCCGGTTGCATATTTTATCTCTTCTACAGTCAGGTGTCAAGAAAACGACCTGTGTCGTGAGGGTACTCGACCAGCACCTCTCCAGACACCCCCTTCGAAGACCATATCATTCATCAGCACCTCCCTCGATCAGAGTCCTAACAATGTCTTCTGAAACCAACAAGAAGACAGCACAGCCTGATGGTGGCGATGTTATCCGAACCCACACCGACTTTGAGGACGGCAGCATGGAGAAGCTCAAGCATGGTGAAGTCGACCCGGCCCTGGCATTTGCCAATGGAGAAGAAGTCACATTCACCCCTGAAGAGGAACGAAAAGTTCTATGGAAGATTGACAGGGCGACTTTGCCCCTTCTGATGTGGATCTACGCTCTTCAATTCGCCGATAAAACTTCCCTGAACTATGCTTCGTTGATGGGCATCCGTGAGGACACGGGTCTCAACCCTAAAAGTCAGGAGTACAGCTGGGCTTCTTCTATCTTCTATGCTGGCTACCTCCTCTGGGAGTGGGTTCCACTACCATCCCAAAACTACAGAATATTTTGCTGATCACTTCAAGGTTCCCTACGACTTATCTTCTTCGACGCCTACCTCTCGGAAAGTACACATCGGCCAACATCACCCTTTGGGGCATTGTCCTAGTCTGCCACGTCTTCGCGTTCAACTACGCCGGTCTCCTCTCGGTCCGCTTCTTTCTCGGCGCTCTCGAAGCTACCGTAACACCAGCCTTCGTCATCCTGACCTCGGCCTGGTACAAGCAAAACGAGCAGGCCAAGCGTATGGGCTACTGGCTCAGCTGCAATGGTGTTGCCCTGCTGACCCTTGGACCCATTGCCTACGGCCTTTCTGGCGCACACAACACCGTCCTGGCAACTTGGAAGGTTCTGTACCTGGTCCTTGGCTTGCCCACAGTCATCACAGGTGTCTACTGTTGGTGGTTCATGCCCGACAACCAGACCAATGCAAAGTTTCTCAACCACCGAGAGAAAACTATTGCCATTGAGCGTATTCGTGGTAACTTCCAGGGCATCGGAAGTCGCAAGTGGAAGTGGAATCAATTTTACGAAGCCTTCAAAGACCCCCGAACCTACCTCTACGTTCTTTTCTCGCTGCTTATGAACATCCCCAACGGAGGCATCACTGCCTTTGGCTCCATCATTATCAACTCCTTCGGCTTCAACTCTCGCCTGTCTCTCCTTCTCAACATGCCTACAGGTGTCGTGGATATCACCTGCAAACTCCTCTTCACGTATCTCTCAGACAAGTTCATGGACCGGACCCTCTTCGCCTTCATCGCCATCCTCATCCCAATGATCGGCGGCATTATGATGATCGTCATTCCCCTCTCAGCTCAGGGCGCCTTGCTCGTGGGCTACTACCTCATCGGAGCTGCAGGCTCATCGTGGTGCCTCGTCATGGTCATGATCTCGAACAACACCCTCGGCTACACGAAGAAGGCCACCGTCAACGGACTCCAGATCCTGGCCTACGGAGCTGGTAACTGGATCGGCCCGCAGACGTTCCGTTCCAACGAGGCACCCAACTATCACAACGGCAAGCTCATGGTTGCCATCATGTACGGCCTTGCTGGCTGCACTATCGTCGCTATCCGACTTGTCAATATCTGGGAGAACAAGCGCCGTGATAAGAAGGCGGCCGAGGAGCCGGAGACCGCCGTATCAGGAACTGAGTTTTTGGATTTGACGGATTTCGAGCAGCCCGCCTTCCGCTATGTTCTTTAATGTGCTTTGATGGAATCAAGCTTATTTTCTCGTTTCGGAGCAATAGAGAATGGCATTTTCGGTAGGCATCTCGTCTCTCAGTTGCTTGTCAGCTTTGAGTTATTGAAATATCAAGACTATGATATGAATGCAAAACTGCTCTCCTCCTTCTAGCGACAGCTCTTGAGTAAATCCAATGGCTTGCCTGCTGCTTTCCAACCCAATAATACTAAATACTATATCCAAGGTGCAGAGTTTTACAGCTAGCTAAGTGACCGGGACGCATGAGCTTGGCTTAGGAGACGCATGGAGCGTGGGTATGTCTAAAAGTGGGATGCTATTTTGTTACTGAACAGCATATACTGGCTGCGCCTTTTATGCGTGATACCAATATGGCAGTTTGGTTACGTTGGAATTCCAATCTTCCATAAGCGAGAATATTTGCAAGATGACAGAGTTTTGTCCGCACAAAGTGCCGAGATTGGTGCTTTCAAGAAGAAAGAAAATAAAAACTTCTGGTCGTGGTCTAGATGGAATGATGAGCAATCTGAGCGTCAACTCTTGGATATAAGTCAAACCCCCCACTTCCTGGCACCCCCCTGTTTCTGGCACCCACAAAAACGCGAAAATCCACCACAACCCAATGCCCACCCCCAACCTCCTTTTATCACAACATTTTCAATTCGCGTCCAAATGGGCTCATCTTTTGCACATACCTTCTTCTATATCTAATGCCTCAATATACCGAAGACCAGCTTCGTCAGGCTCTCGAGGACATCTCAAACGGCAAGAGTCAAAAGAGAGCCTCATTGGAGTATGGGATACCACGATCAACCCTCCAACTACGTCTCCAAGGTGGTCAGACTAGGAAAGTGGCTTTTGCTGACTGGCAGAGGCTGTCTCCTGACCAGGAGAGTAAGCTGGCACAATGGGTTCGCATTCAGGCTTCGCTGGGCCTCGCACCAACGCACCAACAGGTGAAGGAATTCGCAGAGCGAGTTCTGGCTGCTGCTGGGGATACCAAACCACTGGGAAAAGGCTGGATCTATGCCTTTGTGAGAAGGAACCCTATCATTAAGGTTCAGAGAAGTCGTTCTATCGATTCTAGACGCGTTAATGGGGCATCTACTGGTTTAAGTTCCTCGCTATCCCTGAGATCAAGGACATCAAACCAGCCAACAGATATAATATGGATGAGACTGGCATCCTCGAGGGTCAGGGAGCTAATGGGTTAGTGCTGGGTATGGCTGAGACGACGTCTGTTCGCAAGAAACAACCTGGGTCGAGGGCATGGGTCTCTATCATTGAGTATATCTCAGCCTTGGGTAGGGCACTTCGTCCTCTTATCATTTTCAAGGGGAAGACAGTCCAACAGCAGTGGTTTCCATTACATCTCGTTCCATACGATGGGTGGGAGTTCACAGCAACAGATAATGGCTGGACTACAGACTTAACTGCCATTGAATGGTTAGAGAAGGTGTTCATCCCACAGACTATGCCTGAGGCTGAGGGGGAGGCTCGACTGCTGATTGTGGATGGGCATGGGAGTCATACGACGACAGACTTCATGTGGAATTGCTATATTAACAATATCCATTTACTGTTCTTACCACCACACTCCTCTCATGTCCTCCAGCCTCTTGACCAGTCTGTCTTCAGCCTTGTTAAGTCAGCCTATCGGAAGGAGCTCGGTTACTTGTCTCAATGGAACGACTCTACCATTATAGGTAAAAGGAACTTCCTTGACTGTTACCAGAAGGCTCGACTTGCTGGTCTATCAGTCTCGAACATCAGAAGTGGTTGGAAGTGGACTGGTCTACACCCTGTGGCGATGGTTAAGCCCCTGATGAACCCTATGGTACTACCTGAGCCTCCTGCTAAGCCCACCACACCCAAACCAACTAGTCAGGGCAGAAGGCGATGCCATAATGGTCAACAAACTACCCCTGTTGAGCCATGGGATTCTGCCTCCTCTGCAGTGGTCTGGTCGACACCCAGGAAGCTGGCAGAGCTCAGCGGTCAACTGCACTTATACACCCAACTCGACAATGATACCAGCACTCAACGGCTGCTATTCAGGAAGGTGAAAAAAGGCTTCACAGAGCAGGCCTGGCAACTGGCAGCTGCCCAGCAGCAACTAGCTCACCTGAGGGCTCAAGTTACCAACGCTGCAGTGAGGAAGAGGAAGACTGTTCAAATCGATCCCAACACGAAGTTCGCGAACATCAGGGATATCCATCGGGCTCAAATCGAAGCGGGTGAAAAGGAGGTTATCACGGCTGAATCCAGCGACTCTGAATGCCCTAGTGAGGCTGGCAGCTGTATTGTAGTGGGTGTGGTTGAGGATCAATAGTTAATAGTAATGAGGAGGTCGGGTTGTGATCCCATCGTTTTTGTGGTGCCAGAAACAGGGGGGTGCCAGGAAGTGGGGGGTTTGACTTATCTGGAAGCAGGCTGGACTGCAGTTCAGGCCACGAAAGTGGAGGAAGGCATGATGAAGAGTGACAAATCTTTGAGTGATCGGTTCGAGAACTCATAGGAACTGTTCTGTGATAAGTCCAGGCTTCAGTGAAGGTTCCGAGAGGGGCACAGTTTGCGGTCTTGGGGAACGAATTTGGTTCATTTGATCGATAGATGTAGTCAGCAATAGCAATAATCCGTCGTAAGGCGTGCTACCTATGTGATGTGATGCCGTACAAACAGTCGTATTGCGGCAGGCTGAGCTGTCTTGCCGCGCAGATGTAAAGTTATTGTGTGGCCATTTGTTTCAATTACTCAAACACGCTATTCCTATTTCCCTTCTATTTGTTCATCAAAAACTCCTCAAAATCCTCGTCAGGCAGCGCAGGCTGCTCATCAACGCCATCAAGCAGACCAAGGTACCAGGTCAAATCCCGACCATCCTGCTCGCGTTGCGCGAAGCCGTTGCCCCAGTATCCGAACCGGTTGCTCGTCGTATACTTGAGATCATAGTCCTCCCAGCGCGGGGTGGCAATCGTCTCGAAGAACTGGATACGCGAGCCCGGCCACATCATGGGCTCCTTGTCCACGGTGCCGCTCTTGAACCAGGATCGGCATGGCGAAGTCCACGCAGTCCTTGGGAGGAACTTGCGCCGGTGCTCGGCAAAGTCGTTGACGGCCTCCTGCTTTGGGCAGAACGAGGAGATCTCTTCCTCTGACATCTTGTGGAGCATTTGCATCACGTATCTCGCCACCGTTTCGGTGATGGGGAGGAAACTTCCGTGGCCGTAGGGACCGTAAGGACCGTTGAAGACTTTGGTATAGATGTTAGCCTGAGTTCTCGCTTTAAACTTAGGAGTAGTGGGACCAACTTACTGACGTAGTTGGGCATGTTGGCAACTGTCATAGAGAGGTAGGTGTTTGGTGTCTCCCGCCAGTTGTCAGAGCCCTCCCGGATAGGGGCTAGTAAGAGGTAGTAAGGAGTCCAAGCAACAAAGGAATAGCTCAGATATATATACAGCGCAGGGAGTACACGTCGAGGGAGGAGCAGACTTCAGTAATTCATCATTCTACCCCTAACTGCAGTTGGCCTCTGAGAGCTTCCACCCTGCGTCAACATCCCAACTTGACAGTCTGAAGTCTCTACCCACGAAGGGGACCAGGCCGGAAGCTCGAAATGCCAGCCCAGACGAGACGCATCGAGAGAGCGCAGTCAGCGCGACGACAACGTGGAGAAGAGACACCATTTTCCGACCTCCCAGAACCCCCTCAAGTTCAGCTAGCAGGACTAGGTCGCGGCTCTATAGGCCGCGAGACGCAACAAAATAAGAGGAGCACGGCTCAGATAGAGGACGACGAATACAACGAGTACGACGAAGATACTAACCCCTCCTCTCCCCCTCCCTTGGGCCGTAACCGCACCAACAGCGACCGACTCTCGCAACTACGAGAGGAAGAACGACTCCTAGAGGAAGAAATCCTTATCGCTACGCACGAGGAACCCCTACGCAAGAGGCGCGCCGATCTAGAACGCCTCCGAAGCGCTTCGGCCAGTCCGGCTCCCGGATTGAGACAAGCGGTTTCAGCTGCGCCCGCTCCCGGAGTTGTATTGAGCTCAGCTGGGGCCGTGGACCTCCGCAACACGGTTAGCCCCCTTACCCAGGCTGTATCAGGAGCGCCGTCAGAGCAACAACAGAGCGACGAGTTCATCGCCCCCAAGCCACCTTCCACAAGCTCCCTACCAACAGAAGCGGCGGTCACAGGAGGCTCTTCGGTGTCTAGGCCTCTGTCCCTCCCCAGCCTGTCGTACACGGGCAAGTCGGCAAGGGACTTGCACAGCTTTCTGCTCGACTGTTACTACCGCTTCGACTTATGGGCGCAACAGACGAGAAGCGATCGCGACGAAGTAGCTTACGCAGTGAGCTGCCTACAGGGAAACGTCAAGACGTCATGGATGCATTGCATCTTCGAACGGAGACGCGACGTCGGGTTCACCCTGAGAGCCGCTACGGAACGGGCGATGCAGAGCTACCAGCAATCGTTGACGCACTGCGTAACTGGCGCCACTACCTCGCATACAGCCAGAACGTGATCACTGTTTTCACAGACCATTTCAACTTACACTTCTTGGACACAAAGAAGAGGCCCAACGGGAGACAGCTGCGCTGGCTCGACGAGCTAGCGGCGTTCAAAATAGAGATACAGTTCAAACCAGGCGTCGTGAACCCAGCAGATGGATTGTCAAGACGGCCTGACCACGGCGAAGGAGGCCATGTCAACGGTGCGGAAGAACTGCTTGAACAGATGAGGATTAAGCTTCACAGTGCAGAAGAAGCTTGGAAGCCGCTGCGGGTGGCACTGCTCACAAGGGCACAAGGGCGCCGCAAGAGCGGTTCGAAAGATGAGGATTAAGCTTCACAGTGCAGAAGAAGCTTGGAAGCCGCTGCGGGTGGCACTGCTCACAAGGGCACAAGGGCGCCGCAGGAGCGGTTCGAAAGATGAGGAGTCAAGCGCATTGCGGAGAAGCAAGAGAAGGAGGGTAGGAGCTCCGGCTCGAGAGATGGCTCACGAGGAGCCCCTCGAGAGGCGCAACGGGGCTACGAGCCCAGGGCGTCAGAGAAGCGGCGTAGCACTCCGGGAGTTGCTTAAGCCTGCCGCTGGAACTGCAGATCGCGAGCTGCTCGTTCCACGGGATCCCGAGGGCAGGGGAATACCCGAAACAGCGCTGTGTAGCGGCGAGTTACCAATGATAGGTCAACTACGAGCAGCCCAACAAGAGGACGCTTTTGTTCAGGAACGCCAGTGGACCAGGAGGCAACGACGCCCTCGCCAAGCTGGAGGAAAGCAACGAAGGAGCTGGGGCTACGACTCGAGAGGTCTGCTGTGCTACGGCGACCGAGTCTACGTCCCAATGCACCGGGGATTGAGGAGAGAGGTCATGGAGGCATACCACGATGCGCCTACGGCGGGCCATTACAGCGTCAAGCGAACGATGGCTCTGCTTAAACGCTACTACTACTGGGACGGGGTAAGTAGAGACGTAAAGAACCATATTAACACATGCGTAGTATGCCAGAGAACGAAGACACGTCACCACAGACCCTACGGCCTACTACGACCTCTGCCAGCACCGTCAAGGCCGTGGCAGGAGATCTCCCTCGACTTCATCACCGGCTTGCCAACATCGACGACGCTGATAGGAAAGAGGCCATGCGACGCGGTACTGGTGGTAGTCGACAGATTCACGAAATATAGCGTCTACATAGCTACCAGGGCGACGCTCACAGCGCAAGGGTTTGCCGATCTACTGTTCGCAAGGATTTTCACCAAGTTCGGCGTCCCAGAAGGCATCGTCTCAGACCGAGGATCCCTTTTTACGAGCAAGTTCTGGACTCACCTATGCTACCTCCTGGCTACCAAGAGACGCCTAAGCACAGCCTTCCACCCGCAGACGGACGGTCAAACGGAGCGACAGAATCAACATCTCGAGCAGTCCCTACGCTGCTTCTGCACTTGGGACCAATCCGACTGGGCTCAGCGCCTTCACCTCGCTGAGTTCGTATATAATAACGCATGGCATTCAGTAATCCGAAAAGCACCCGCAGAAGCTCTCTTCGGCTTCCTGCCGAAATGCCCAATGTCACTCATAACAGGAACGAACGAAGGGACGCAGAATGTCTCTGCCGAGGAGCGGGCAGTACGCCTACGAGCAGACCAAGTCGCCTTACAACCACTACTACGGAACGCCAGAAACGCATACGAGAACCAAGCCAACAAATCCAGGGTCGACAAGTCGTACAAAGTAGGCGAATGGGTTCTGTTATCAGGAAAGAACATACGGAGGCAGCGACCAAGCCGCAAGCTAGCTGATAAGTACCTGGGACCCTTCATGATCAAAGCGATCATTGGGACCTCGGGAGTCGCGTACGAATTAGATATACCACGATGGTACCGGATCCATAACGTGTTCCACGTATCACTTCTGGAGCCTTACCGACATCGCGAAGGAGCACCTCGAAAGCCATTACCCATTGGCGATATCGACGGCGAGCCCCTTTACGAGGTAGACGAGATCATTCAACACAGGGGGCCAAAACAGAAGAGACAATACTTGATCAGGTGGAAGGGTTACAGCAGCGAGGAGGACACGTGGGAGCCGGCATCACACATCGAGGACGCAGCTCTAATCAGCATATACGAGAATCGGGTATCGATTGGGCGACGAGCCCTAGCTCCTGATGAACCCATAGACGCAGCTAAGGCAGCGGCGGCCCAGAGGTCGCCGATGTGGGGCCGGGCGGCAACTATTGTTCCGTGTACGGAACCCACACCTGGACAAGCGGTCGGCATCTCCGCGAACGCATCGACGCCGCCGCGACAAAGGGCAACGCTACCGCAGGGAGATAACGCAGCGCGTTCATCGCTACTGAGCTTCGAGGACGAAGCCTAGTTGGAAGGGGCGCCCTGTCAGAGCCCTCCCGGATAGGGGCTAGTAAGAGGTAGTAAGGAGTCCAAGCAACAAAGGAATAGCTCAGATATATATACAGCGCAGGGAGTACACGTCGAGGGAGGAGCAGACTTCAGTAATTCATCATTCTACCCCTAACTGCAGTTGGCCTCTGAGAGCTTCCACCCTGCGTCAACATCCCAACTTGACACCAGTACTCGCTGAGACTGACACCGTCGCGGCCTATCGTGGGGTAGTGCGGCCTCCAGCTAACGTCGAAGCCCGTAGCGCAGATGATGATGTCGAACTCGTGCTCCTTTCCATCTGCAGTCTTCATTCCATTGGGTGTGATTTCCTGGATACTTGAAGAGATGACGTTCACGTTGTCTTCGCAGAGCGCCTCGAGGTACCCATTTCCAGGAGATGGCCTCCGGCAGCCGACGGCGAAGTCTTTCGGGATGATGAGGTCCTGGAGATCCGGCCTGCTGGAGAGCTTGCTGCGCATGTCTTCGGCCGCGAACTGATGACTTGTTGGTAAAAGATCTGGGGGAGGAATTCGGGACTTAACTTACTGCTTTGGCATCAGCCTGCTCCTTTGAGCCGTTGAGAATGAAGCGGAAGCGGGAGTTCAACTCGGACTCAATCTTTTTCCTGTAGGCGAGGTACTTCTTGGGGTCTTTTCGAAGAATCTCGTGTTGTTCTTCGCTGTCTGCAGTTGCGTGTGTCAAAAAATTGTCAAACGTTCTGGTTTGTGATCTGACAACTTACACTCGAAGTTGCTGCCTTTCTTTCCAGCAAAGCGCTGACCGAAACCACCAACTACCCAAGAGGAACTTCTAATGAAGCAACTCAGACTGCCGACGACTGCAACTTGTTAGATTGATTTTTTGTCGAAATAGGGGGTTAGGGTTGTGAGAGAGAACATACTTGGCTGAATATTGGGAACGATCTGAACTGCAGAAGAACCAGAGCCAATCACGCCAACCTTCTTGCCCTTGAGATCGATGCTGTTATCCCAGTTGGCGCTGTGCATCATCTTGCCCTTGAAAGTTTCTCTGCCCTTGATGGCGGGCCATTTCCACTTGCTTCCAGACGATGTGTTAGCCAGAGACGCCTGACAATCTTGAGAAAAATGCTGCATACTTGAGCACGCCGCTGGCGTTGACAAAGATGTCGGCCGAGTCTTCGATGGTGGTGCCGTCTGCCTTTTGGACCTGGATGCCCCACTTCTGCTTCCCCTCGTTCCAGAACGCACCCGTCACGGTGTGATTGAGGCGGATGTACTTGTTGAGATCATATTTATCCGCGATATCCTTGAAATACTGTAGGATTTCCGGGGCACTCGAGTAACTTTACCAAAACGATGTTAATCTCTGCATTGACTGAAAGCCGGGGACCGTCAGACGCCAATTAACTCACAATTTTGTCCACTCTGGCGACGGCGCCCACGAGAACTGGTAGTTGACAGAGGGAATATCGCATCCGCAGCCCGGGTAGCGGTTCTCGTACCAGGTGCCGCCGATGGAAGGGTTCTTTTCGTAGCAGACGAGGTCCAGGTCGAGAGTCTTGCAGGTGTCGATCTCGTGGGCGAGGTTGAGGGCGCTGGCGCCGCCGCCGAGGCAGACGATGCGAAGCTTTCTTCCGCTTCGGCTTGGCTTCTCCAAGATCTGGTACTCGGTTTGGGCCGGGGGTGCGGGGAGAGAACCCATGTTTGGGTCGAGTTCGGGGGGTAAAGAAACGGAAGACAGGGGGTAAAGTTGGGGTAGTAAGATCTGTATCTGTGTGCTTTACGGAGTACTCTTGACGAAGATTGAGTGAGCTGAAGACGAATTGTAGCGATGTAAGGGGACTTTCAGGGACGGGTGACGAGGATTAGATCATGGGTGTCTTGGATCGCCAATGCCTCTGAGCTTGAGTTCTGTGATGTTGTATACGGAAATGCGCTCTTATATGACATCTCCAAGTTTCAAAGCGCATACAATAACCCTTTAAGCTCGCGCGTATTCTGGTGCCTCCATGTATAGCGGAGCTCCGCCCATGCAATACCGCGCCATCCCAATCCTCCCCACACCTTTCAATCGCGCTGAGCTTCACGATCACCCGCGGCCTTCACTCCGCCGCCGCCTCCGCCTCCGCCTCCGCCTCCGCCTCCGCCTCCACTGATATCCTTCTTCCCTCTCGACCCTCCTTTTTCCCATCTCTGTCTAAATTAGTCGCGCTTGTGGTCAGCAATCGCTTGTTGGTTACGCGGGGTTATCGTAGACTATTCAAACACACCGAGGCGGATAAAGATAGCAGGATAAGGATAGCGTGTGCCCGAAGGACCCTGACCAAGGATAGTTCAGCCAAGGAAAGTCTGTCAAGGGTATCGTGGAAATAGATTGTGGATCACAATTCGCTTCCGAACCAACGTCTTGTTCATCTCTCCGACCCTCGAATCGAGGCGAATGGACAACGAAAAAAAAAACTCTATTTTGCTCCGGTTGCCGAAATGAGGCGAGGGATGTCCCGCGGGCTGCGGGCTTTGCCATTGGGATTCCGATGCCGAGTAGCAAAAGATTATTCACAACCCCCCTGCGAAAGCCATCTCACGAAGCAACAGCCAAGTGATATCTAAGGTATTCTGCCAAAACTTCTTGGCTGGCTTTTTATTCCGAAACCAAAGCTTCGATGAGATGAACATATCACCAGCGGAACGTCAGTGGTCACTTATATCAACTGGTTCACTAACTGTGATTTCAACGAAACAATATGATTCTTCAGTTTCTCGCCATGTTCATTAAAGTATCCCATGAATGCTAGTCTATTGGCTGAATATCCCCACAATATCGTGCACATTAAAAAGCCCCTTGAGCCAACTAACACCAGCCTCCACCAACAGTTTAAGAGACCTCACAAACCACCAGCCGGCAAGAACGACATGTCAAACGAGAAAGGACACTTGACGGCGGTGCAGATACACCCGCTGCCCTTGGGGATCGCCTTGCAGCGCATGGCGGGCGTCTTGGGGTCGCAGCAGCAGCACTGCTCCTGGGTGGCCGGGTCGAGCGGGCACGCGATGAGCGGCACGGCGCAGATGCTCTTCTTGGCGACCTTGCAGACGTAGTTGCCGGCGCCGCGGTCCTTGAGGTCGCAGGAGCAGCAGTTGGCCTTTGGCTCGGGGAAGGGGATGGCTTCGCGGGGGGAGAGGAGGTCTCTGGAGGCGACGCCGGCGGGGGAGGCGTGGACGAGGGTGAGGGTGCCGATGATGGCGAGGAGGAGGGGGTTGATGGAGAATTGCATTTTTGGTAGTTTTTTTTGGTTGGAAAGTTTTGAAGGTGGTAAGTTGGATGTGGGAGGTGTTGTGATCTTTGTGGTTTGATGTTCGATGTTTGAGGTCTGGATGTTTGGTGATTTTCTGGAAAACATATTCAGTTCTTCGAGGTTCTGCGATGGCTTATATACTCTTTCTATATCGTGTAACCCCTTAACTGTCTCGTGCTTGTGAGAATCTATCCAGCTATACCGGCAACGATGACAACATCGCACCAAATCTCTGACCTGAAGAACCTGATTGGTCACTTAGAAGAGCCATATCTAACCCTCCCTAGACTTACTTCGTACCCTTCCGTACCAGTCAAGAAAGTTCCTCCAAGGAGAGACACGACGATGTCAGACTGAGACTTTCAAGCCTCAAGCCGGCACCACCCGCGACCGGTGAGGTTGTTGGCGCTGCACTGCACGCCTGAATTGGGCAGTAGCACGAACCGCTTAGCGTCTTCGCCTAGATCTCAGCCACCCGCAAGAATTTCACGAAAAACCCCGGATCTGCGCAGATAATTGCGGATCGTTTATCAAAAGGGAAAAAAAAACTTTTATGGCCGGTTACCTACGGAGTGCGCCCTCGTCTCTTACGATGCGTAGGGTGATTTGAAGGGTTTTATTTATTTTATTTTTATGAGTTTGTTGTTATTTCGGTTCACCAGGAAATATTAGACGCCCGCTGTTAAGCGAGATTTTGGAATTTGCAGGACTGATTGTATGCTGATTGCAAACGTGAGGTGATTTTTAGGCATCTCGGATCATCAAATACGTGGAAATGGCCTGGAAACAGACCTGAAAAGTACGAAGAAGGTTACTAGGGCTGCAATGAGTTCCTAGCTCGATGTTCGTGGGTCACCGATATGCTGTGTTGCGGGCTTGACTATTATCCCCCCGCAAGATCTCGGTTCCCGCCGAGGAAAGGGCCGATCACAGGGTTAAAAGAATGTCTCGATCAGGGATGTCGCGTTGAATGTGGAGAATCCAAGTAGACTGTAAGACACTCGTGTAAGTGTCGAAAGTGTTGAAGGGAGGAAAGCTACCAAGATATGAGCTGTACATCATCTCGCGGCTCTCGCCAAGAGTCAGAGAGAGCGTTTTCGTCCTCGATATGGCTGTTGTCTGTAAGCCGGAAGCTTGGCAGGTGCTGACCCGTCAGCTCATGTCTCAGTCGAAGCACTCAACAGACTCGGTATCGCGTAGGGCAGTAATGTCACACGGGCAGACAGCATGACTGGCAATTCTCGTTCCCTGATGATATAGAATGTTCAAATTCGTCTTGAATTATCTGTTATAACCTCGGCATCTGGTCAATGAGGACCAAGGGCCGGTCCAAGGGCCGGTCCAAGGCCATCGTGAAGGACCATTCCATGGACCCCGAATCAGACTCCCGCTCTGCAGCCTGCTCTACCTGAACCTTGAAAAGGAAACAATTTCTGAAGGGTCGCGAAGTAGGCCACGGGGCTCCGGCAACATTCCTCAAAGGCGCAAGAAGAATTTAGGGTTGGGTGACCGAGAAAGAAAAAAAAAGGCGTCCTGGGCAGACGTGAGAATGACGATCTGCGGCCCGGCCCCCGGTCTACCAGAGACCGGATCCGGCCATCTTGGCAAGACAACTTCATTCTCTCAAAAAGGCATCCATCCGTAGACTCTCTCGGTTAGGGCCGGGCAACGACGGATTGTCAGAAAATCGTCAGCCATCTGCTCTATCTACAATAACGGCCAACCGGCCGTATCGAGGAATCAGCTCGCGAGAGACCGTTGGTGCCCGTTTCTATTCTTAGAGTCGACGTGCGGAGAAGGGGTTCTTGTGGAATGACATGGCCTACGGGCTTTTGCTAGTAATTAGTCGGCCGGAATTTTTTTTTTTTAAAGATGATGGGCAAAGTTTAAAGATATAGATCTCGGGGCTTCTTCCATCACATCCGGGGGAGCAAAAGCGGCAGCGAGAAGGGTTGGGCCCTTGGGGCGGTTTCGATGGTTAAGACGGGGCTTGCGTTTCTAGACACAAGTTCGGCTTGACGGCCCGGATGGGAAGGGTTATTCAGTTGAAGACATGGCTTGACTTACACCCCAAGACAGATGCCAATGATCTAGTTCGATCTCGGAATGTTTTTCTACGATAATCACATGTGCCAAGATGTCATATCAAATCAAGCTCAAATGATCAAAAAGTGTTCAGAGGTAATAATAAGCATTCATTTCGACCCTTTGCGTTCGAGGCCAAGGAGACTGACTACATAGGTGGCGAAGCAACATGACTTTGTTTTGGTGGTTTGGTTTGTTTTCATGATCTCATCATTTCCCCGTTCCGATAATTTCCGTATGATAAAAAACCGCGCAACCGTTCGTTGATGAAGGTAGAAAAGCAAAAAAGATGTGTTTCGCACTCATAGCAATGTGCTTTGGAACTCGCAAAGCCCTCCCGAGTGTTTAAAACTCCCCATCTTTCCGTTGACATGTTAAAATGCTTAATGGGGGTTTGTGTGAAAATCAAAAGTGTTGTTTGGTGTGTTGGTTTGGGAGTATGTCCACTCCAATCCATCTGCGTTTTGAAGACTGCGTTGATTTCAAATCCGACTTTGCCCCTTTCAACTTCCACCGACCAGGGTATGTAAACGTAACAAAAGAGGCTTCGACAAGGCTTGAGCCTTTTGGGGGGGGGGAGGTATTTTGCCAGAAGCGCATTTGATAAAAAGAAGAAAAAAAGAAGTTTTGCAGTAGAATAATATACGAACCAGTTTTTTGTTAAAACCGATCACTTTTCCCTCAATTCAAAGTTGGAGAAACCCCTTTTTGGAAAACACGCTTGTAGGGCACACACAGCTATTGGTACACGCGCCTAAAAGGCCCTCTCTTCGACAGACAGCTCAAAGGTGTCTGTGTTCTTCAGTTCGCCATGCGCAGGATGGGGTACAACGGCGCAGCCGGAGCAGGCTTGGTGTCGACCTCCATAGGCTCCGGAGACTTGAGACGGCTAGTCTCAGGAGACTTGGGAGCTGCTTCTGCGGCCTTCTCGGCGGACTCCTCAGAGTACTCTCTGCGATCGATGCGATCGCGGATGTACTCGCGGAGCGCCTCGATGGTGCGCATGTTCTCGAGCCACTGGTCGTACTTCTCCTCGCGCTCGCGGGCACCCTCGCTGGTATCCGACTCGGAAGAGGGAGAGCCGACGGACGAGGCGACGGACGAGGCCTTGGGAGTAGTGACGCTGGAGGAGTCCTCGTAGATGATGGGAGACTTTGGCGAGGAGGGCGCGGCGCGCTGGAGCATGCCTCCGGAGTAGCGTCTGCGCTCGTTGCTGTCGAAGCTGGGTCCGAGCGTGGAGGCAGTGGACTGGCCAGGGAAGACGGAGCTGACGGCCGGGAGGTTGGGGTACATGACTGAAGAAGCGGTGGAGCTGTGTCTTGATTGGGGAGACATGCCGGAAGAAGAGGGGCTGGGCGAGTGACCAGATGTGTATGACATTGTGCTTGAGGGAGGAGTGACGGCGGGGGTTCCAGTCGACGAGACTGCGGTCAACGGGGACGCCATGTGAGCAGCGGACACGGGGTAGCCGTCTTGGGTGACTGGAATGCCGGCGTGAGAGCCTCGGTGAACACCCGGGGGCGAGGGGCTGTGGCGGAGATCGAAGGTGTTCTGGCCGTGGATGTGGATTCCTTGCGTGGCCTGGTGCGAGTTCTCATAGACAGTGCTCTGCATCTGCTCCAGGATCTGGTCGATTTGGACCAGGTCGTTCTTGGTGCGGGCGTTGGGCATGGGCGGCAAGTAGTACTGCTGGGACATGGGTCCGGGGCCGGAAGGAGGTCCGCCGGCCTGTTGGTGGTGAACGTGCTGCTGGGGCGGGGCTGCCATGTAGTCGGAACCGGGCATGGGACCGGCGTGCAGGCCGAGAGCGCCGTGAAGGGGGAGAAGGGATCGGCCGACTTGTTGATAGGAGGTCGGGTCGACCTGGCGACGCTTGGCGTGTGCGAAGAAGTCGTCAACCATGTCGAAGGCGCGCTTGTTGCGGTTGTCATAGCCGCCGTGGTGGCCAATGTACTCAGTTCGGGGAGGGTTCAAGGGTTGTTGGTTGAAGTACAGTCCATAGTTTGTAGATGGTTGGGGTGCATAGTAGCTAGCATGCCCAGCCTGGTGTGCGAAGGCGGCGCTGTTAGTCCGAATATGGCCATTATGATCATAGTAGCTAGAAGAAGCTGGAGGCAAATTAGCCTCTAGTTGGAGAAAATAGAGGACAGACTTTTTTGGGAGTGTGCAAACTGAGCTCTACATACCTTTGCCAGGCTGCGCCCGGTAGCCGTTCAGACCTTGGTCCTGGGGCGAGCGGACGAGCACCGAGTCATCGGCGTGGGTCTGTTGATTCGTGTAAGCTTTGAGGTCGCGAAATGGTTTTGGTGGGTAGATGTTGGCTGATTTACCTTGACGTGCTTCTTCAGATCCTGAGGGCGCTTGAATGACTTGCCGCAGAACTCACACTTGTGAGGCTTGAGAGGAACGTGCACACGAATGTGAGAAGTGATGTGGTCACGCTTCACAGTGGTCGTTCTGCAGGAGTTCCATTGGCAAGTCAGGTTGAGGTTGTTGGTGCTCTTGCGGCCAACATGGCGTTCACAGATGTGCTCCTGTGGAGTTGGTTAGTGAGATGTCTGGGTGAAATAAAGATTTAGTGCGAGTTGCCACTTACGTAGAGAGCCTCGGGTGAGACAAACTTCAGGTTGCAGGCGTTCCACTTGCAGATGAGGTTGTCCTCATTGCTCGTGCTGTTGGCAGACTGGGAAGTGTTGCTGGTTGTTGTTGAGGGAGCGGGCGTGCTGCTCTTGGGAGAGTTGCTCGCAGAGCTCTCATTCTCTTGTTTGGCGGACATGATGACCGGGGTATATAGTGTGTGTGTGTGTGTTGACCGAACTTGCGGGCTCGGTGAAGAGAGTCCGGAAGATTGGAATGTGCCGGGTCCCGTTCGGGTTGTGGGAAGCAGGCGCTTTGGGATTGGATGGTTGTGTAAGTAGGAGTGGGGTCCTTTTCTTGGTGCTTCAGGCAGTGGTGGGTTGTAGATTGCCGAGAACAGGCGAGAGTATTCTTGGGATAATACAAAGCTGAACGGGGGAAAAAAGAGACGGTCAGCAATGCTTTTATGTTTTTCTGCCGACTCTCATAAGACTGGGTTGTTATCGAGGGAAATCAATCAGTCTGATCTGGGGGGCATGGACGATGGGCTCTTCTCTTTATTCATGAATCACATTTCCTCTCCGCTCTTCCTACCCTTCCAGGAGTCTTGGCAAAGTCTTGGCGACCGGGGCTTGTGAGACCAGCCGACTTTTGATTGGCCCAAGGTGGCGAGGGCTGCCGAGCTGATGTCGCGGATGATGGGAGGAGACAACAAGGCAGTCAAGGTGCGTCGAGCCTTGCCTTGGTTGGCACTGTAGTCCGCACACTCCGCTCTATCATTTTGTGGTGACGGATACACGTCAGCAAGATAGTGGCGGCTCAGCAACACAGTCAAATCCTGACAAGAAAACAGACAGCACCCACTGACACTCCAAGTACCTCGCCAACACCGCAACATCCGGGCGCATACGATGCCAAGACTCTGGCTGTCTTGGGGCGTCTTGGCAAATCTCCAGTTTTCACTCTTTCTCCCTTCGCCGAGACCTTGGCATTTGTACTTGGCTCCTATTGCTTCATCCTGCGAGCACCCGCTTCCATTTACGTTGGTCAATAGCTCGACATCAGCTGATGACCGCAAGCGCAGCGTTTGATTTCCTCCTTTCGTCGGCGGCCTTCGTACCGGTTCCTGCCAGCTTTCTGGGTTCTGGGAAAGTTGGCCTTCTTTGGTGTGCGACCGGTTGCCACGCTCGTGGGAAATAACGGCGGCACCCATCATCGATGCGGCTCGTTGGAGATTCCCCATGGCAATGGCAATGTGTTAGGTATTTCTGACTGCGGGATACAACACTCTGTGTCGTCTGAAAAAGAGGCCTGCGACCGTCTCAGATGAGGGAGCGCTGTTTCCAGCCAAGCAGGTGAGCCGAGTATTTTTGGGCCTTGGATTGCTTGGGGTCCTTGGGGGTCTTGGGGTGACCGGACGGGACAAGAGCCCAAAACTGACCTGTCCTGGAAACAAGCCGCCAAGTACTCCCGTACCTGATGTCACGGGCAAAGCACCCGTCGCACTGGACGTACACTTTCAGGCGACCAAAGAGATAGGACGATTGACAGGACATGGGAGATGCATGGTGCCCGATTGACAGGAAAGGGGCACGAAAACGACAAGCCTTCCACCCTTCCTCTTTTTTGTTACCAAGACCTCCATGCCTCGAGTCCCAGATTACCAAGAGCCAAGAGACCAAGTCTCCGTACCTTCGTACCAAAAGAAGCAGAAAGCGAAAAGAGACACACGACACGGGGTGGGGACGAGGATGCGACGGCGGCCTCGGACGCTCCGATAAGGGCATACCCCGTAAATGTTGATAATTCTCCCATGGAGTCGGCCCAAGAATAACGCGCCGCACACGGCAAGACGGGATGCAGCCAGCTCGTCATTTCCGCAGGCCGCACCGGTTCACCGAAGAGCTGCCACACTGCGAAAAGCATGGCAAAGCCGCAACAAATCACCCGTGTGCTTAACCGAGCGATTTCCCCCTCCACTTTTTCAACTTGAGTGTGGAACAAACTCGACAAGCCGGACACACAAGTGGCGCCCGACCCTCGATAAGCTGGGGGACGGCAGACTCGGGGGGGGGGGGGGCAGGTGACTTTCGGGTGACGGGGGGGATGCTGGAGACTCTGACAACGTTTTGGGGCAATGCCCAAGAGCCAAAAGAAGCTTTCCGCTCCTCTCTTCTTGGCCTCTCCGCCGCAGCCAAGACTGCCAAGTCCTTAGCGCCAAGGGCTACGCGCAATCCAAATGCCCTCGCCTGTTGTCGCTGGCCGTCGCCCCCTCTTCTCGACATGTCCACGATACAGTCGCCGCTCCCCTATGGTCAGCCAGAAGCCGTTCAAACCGGCTCGTCCAGAAAGTGTTGCGCAATACCGCCTGTTATGGCCCACGCAGGGAAGCCGATGTGCCGGCCGTTGGTAATCGCATTCTGTACGGGAGATGCGGTGGGGTTCGCCAAGACTTTAAATACGTGGACGAGGGACCATCTTCGATGAACTGGGACCTCGAAAGAAGGACAGATGGAGAAAGAGGGATGTGTTTCTGCGAAATCAAAAAAGATTGGGTGGGCGAATGGTGCGGCGTGGTGAGGAGGATGAGATGCCGTGTGCCAAAACGACGCAGCTGTCGGGGTCCGAGGGATACGTACCCTTCGCATGCCTCGAGTCGACACCAACGGAAGTTACAACTCACCAGCCTCGATCCGCCAAGACTCATTTCTGGTCATGGCAGGTACCTCTCGACCCCCTTCCCAAGATCATCCCGTCCCTGACCGGCCATCCACAGATTCCTTCGTAGGTGGCACTTCACTTTCTCCCCTCACACTCAACGACCACTCAATTCCCTACGGATACGTTATTTTGCCTTTCGACTACCCAAATTTGCCTTCTCGTTGTCGGTTTCCACCACGGCACTTTGTGTAATACGTCGCAAACGCACCGACACAGCCATCTCGACTTGGTCGATCCAGCCAATTGTCACCCCGTCGATTACCTTAAAACATGGACCCAACGTGCCCGACGCCGACGCCCGTCCATAGTGCCATGTTCACAGGTATTCAGGTGAGCGGGTCGCTCAACTCTTGGCAGTTCGACCCACGATGGCGGTACGCCAATTGGTGTCAGACTGCTCCCCTATTCTCCGTGGATGAGCAGTGTGTCGTTGACAGTCGACTTGGCCTCTTTCCTCCTGGCTACGGCGCCAAGCTTGCTCGACAAAAGAAGACATAAGCCCAAGAACGACGAGCCGTCTCACAAACCATGCCATCGCATCATGGCCGACCCCGCCTGTCCACGGGATCCCGCACTGGCACGGTGTGTTCGCTGCAGACCATTCCCAAGGACTCGAGAATCAGCCAAACCTGAGAATTTGCCGCTTCAAAGCCCAGCCAGACGAAAGCTGGGCATTCTTGGCTGCAGATACCAAGCACCTTCAGCCTGTATCCCCCATCCTGTCCACCTTGCGCCCGCCGCTTCGCCGTTCAATGAGGCTGTGCAAGCAATGCCAAGACCTGCGAGGATGGGTAGTTTCGCCCTGGCTTCAACTCTCGCCGGTCCAGGGGGGAACCACATCGCCAGCGCTTTACAATCAATCAGAGGAGAAGCAATCAAAACGAGGCCTTTAACAAGTCTTGGCATTGCTCCTTTCACATTGTTTGGCCGCCACATGTATTTTATTTGCGCGATTTGTGAGTTTGTTTAGTCCGTCTCGAAGTCGCTTGAGTCTTACCACATCCTCGTCCATCACCAGGTTGACTTTCACTCCCTCTACCCGAATCGGTCATCGCTCGTCCCACACTCTCACTGACATGGCTCGAAGAATTAAGGTTCTATGAGGAATACCCGCACACTTTGTGCCGTCCTGCATGGTCATCATCCATTGGCTGTACCGCCAGAAGGCTCGCCGATGTGCCACGAGCCCGATGAGCCTGCCAATGCCACGGAAATCTACCAAGCTTTCCGGCGAAATCTTGGATGCACGACACCCGAGCGAGAAAACGACCGCGTGCACCTTTAGCAACATGACTGCCCGCACACCTGGATGTAGCCGCACACTACAATGACTCTTCCGAGTTTTGAGCCATCGTCCACACTGGAACTCTCCACGTTTGGTCGCACTTATTCCGGGCTTAATCAGACCATCATGTTCGCCTCCCCAGACGATCGCGACAACCCCGGCAGTTTAGAGACGGGTGGTCCACCGAAAAGCCCCAGATGCGGAGGGTCGAATGGGCTGCTTGAGTTCGGACGCCAGGCCGAGATTAGGAAGGACTCTGCAGGTGGTGCAGTCAGTTCAAGAGGGGGATCACCGCTGTCCTGGCTCGGCGGGATCAAGCCAAGATGCCAGTAGGGCTTGTTGCAGAGTGGGCTTTGCTCCATTCTCATCGAGCCCATGCACTCTTGGCCCTCCTCTTACGAGCTCCAGACTTTGAAGGACCTTCTTGGCCTACGACCATAGGCCCGCCGCCCAAAGGCGACATACCAGCCCGCAAAGCGCGCCGGCATGGTACCGCGTTGTGCAACAATTCTTCGGAACCTCTCGGCGTCTTGGCTTTAGCTTGAGCGCTTTCTGTGTGGCCTTGGATTACATCAAGTCTCAGCGCCAACTGGCTTACAGGTGGAGTGGCCAAGGCCCACAGCCATCTTCTAATTTCATATTCTCTTCCATCTGCCGCAGGCGATGCTGATGTGCAATGCAGGAGAGAGAGCGCAGAAGGAGAACGCTTCAGTCACGTATCAACCTCCGTTATCCAAAGGCCTCGGGATCACATCGCAACCCTCCGGAAACTGTCGAGAAACTTGGGCGATATTTTAGAGTATTCGGAGCCTCTCAATTCCAAGACGGCAACGCCTTGATTTTGGCCTTGTCTCCATCTTGGCCGGGCAATCGTGACGATGATCAAGAGTAAGCGTTGGGTTTCGGGGGACTGAAACGGCTGCCGGTCTCCGGTACCCGGGTGGACAAGAGATGAACGTCGACGAGTGGGCCGTGCTGTCAACTGGCGGTTACCCGTGCTATCAATTGGAAGAGCAGCGACCTGTCTTTTCTTGGCGTTTACCTACCAAACGACGATCTCTATTGCGACCATTTGCCTCCTGTTTGCCAAGGATCCTCACCAGCGTTCTATCAAGCGACGTACGGACAGTCGCTCGCCGATGCTGTAGACAAACAGCTATCTAGACCCGGGCCAAATGCCCTTGATCAATCAGAAGCGGAGTCTTGGTGAGCAGATGCGACCTAGGTCCGACAATAGCTGCCGCTGTTCGATGGCGACGGTGAGAATTCCCGACGAGAGGTTAGTCTTGGCACACGACTTTTTCTCACGGACTACTCCATTGCTGTAGTTCTGGCTCAAGAAGCTTGTTACTGTCGTACTGGGCATCTTGCCAGTGGCCAGAGGGAGTCCCCACTTGCAGAAAATAGCTGCAACCCCCGTCCCCTTTCTCCCCATCGTCGTCTTGTTTGTTTCCATTGCTGTTTCCAGCTATTTCTGTTTCTCGCCGTTCATTTATCGAATTGATCTAGTTGACCCTCCGAATAACCCGGCCGCTCACACCCTATGAGACGCCAAGAATCCGGACTTGCGTCGATGCTTGACCAACATGACCAAAGTCACCGACTGATGGAGACTCCGCTTCTGTCCGCGGACCAAATTTCCCTCATTCAGCAAAGTCGAAGTAAAGAGATCCGGCGGCGGGTTATTGACCTGGGCATGGCAGCATAATGCAGGCCACCGTCACCCTCAACGGTGTGCAGACCCCTCGGACTGCAGCATGATGCAGTCAGTAGGTCACGGCTGCTCCTCAATGAGGCCTCCTGTCTCTCTCTTCCGCGACACAAGCAGTGTCCAGTGTGTTACGTCTCCAGAAGAAGAAATCTAGCGACTTCCTTCCGGTGTTGGGTGGGCCACTGAACAACTCATCTGGCCATTGATTGGCATCTGCCCGCTTGTACGGGCTGGACGCGTCAGGAAGGAGGGAGAGTCCAGTTTCTGGTTCAGAGAGAATCGATGGAATGTTGGAGCGTCCGTCGCCTCGGCTCTCGTAGTCTGGCGGGCTTCGCAGGCGATGAGATCTACTCGCCGGTCTCGTTTGCGCTCAACATACCTCTAGCTAGTATCGCCATGGCCATTCTTGCCAGCTACAGTAGGCAGCCCACTTCGAGGTTGTTAAGTCATCTTCATCTCTGCTACGTATTTGTCTGCCAATCTTCTTTGAAGTAGTCGATGTTCTCTTACTTCGAACCAATTCTCCCTGCCTTCGCTCTTTGAAGGGAGGCCGGTCTCCTCATAGACGCCCCCTGACCACAAACAGGCGATGGTGCTTTCCACTGCACATCATGTCAGCTAGTCCTCGGCGTTTAATGGACATTGAATCAACAGGATTCTTTGGGTCTGTAGGCACACTCAACCCGCTGCTATACTTGACTACTGAGATGCTTGAAGAAGCCGCGATGAGCTTGACTCATCGCCAATCGTGTCGCGAGACGCCTCGAATACGTTTGCTGATGCTGAATGCGACTCATCTTTTAGTACAGTTCTTGTCTACGCCGTGCCCAATTGCCCAATAATTGCGAGACAGCCTACGAGAAGTTCTTCATCTCTCGTTCTCTGGTCTCTTCATCGTGTATGGCAACGAAACGTGCTCCATCACAAAGACAAGCCATTCTCGAACAACAACTCTTGATTCTGTAGCATCGCTAACCCCCAACCCCTTACAACGTCCGCGCCCTAGAGATACGATCTACAAATCTTTACTCCATGACCAGCACGCCCCTGAAGCGCACCTTGTTCGAAATCATATGCTCCACCGCGTCAGGCGCCTCGCCCAACGGGAACTTCTCAATCAGGCACTTGACGCCCTGCTTCTTCGAGAACTCGATCGCATCCTCCGAATCCTGCGCGTGTCCGCTAGGCCATCCGTGAACCGAGCACCCGAGCCCGATCAAATGGAACGAGCTGATTTCGATATTCCCAACCGGCGCGAGGACCAACAACTTGCCGCGCACCTGCAGCGCTCCCGTAAGGGGGCTAATAGCCTTCGCACTCGGCGCCGTCGCGACCACGAGCGCGGCGCCGCCCATGGCCTTGAGCTTCGCCACGGGGTCCTCGACGCTGCTGTCGATGAAGTACTCTGCGCCCAGCTCGGATGCGAACTTCGCCTTGGCGGAGCCGGAACTGATGGCCGCGACGCGGTAGCCCATCTTGTTGGCGTACTGCACGGCGAGGTGACCTAGGCCGCCGAGGCCTTGGACGGCGACGAGGCTTCCCTTGGGGATCTCCATTTTGCGGATGCCGTTGAAGACGGTGACGCCGGCGCAGAGGAGGGGTGCCGTCTCGGCGGGGTCGAGGTCTGCGGGGACGCGGACGACGGCTTCGTGTCGGAGGGTGACGTATTCTGCGTAGCCTCCGTCGCGGGTTACGCCGTTGATTGCGCCGTTTTGGCACGATTGGAATTGGCCCAGCTGGCATCTGGCGCAGGTTGCGTCGTGGCCTTGTATGGACGTCAGTTGATTACGGTCCGAAGTGATCTTGGGAAACCCATCTTCCTGCTTGTTGGCAGTCCGAGGGGGGGTTTCCAAAGACGCAAACTCACCTCCATGCCAGGCTCCTCCCACACGCTCGCCACCAGTGAATCTCGTCACGCCCTCGCCGACGGCAACGATGTCGCCGACAATCTCGTGGCCTGGGATACGGGGGTGGACGGGGCCGAATTCGCCCTTCTGCATGCCGACGTCTGAGTGACAGACGCCGCAGGCGAGCACCTTGACGAGGACCTCGCCTTTACCCGGCGCCTTGGCTTCCACCGTCTGAAGTTGCAGAGGGGCGCCCGCCTCCTTGACCTGCCATGCCTTGTACGTCTTTGGGAGAGACATGGTTGCTGGATTTAGATGTCGTGAGATGGTGAGTAACTTTGATGTTGCGATGTCAAGACTGTTTCGTATGTTTTTCTGCTCCATTGTGTACTACATCGTGAAGAGGGCTGGCTGTGCTGCATTATATACACCTTTTTTTTATCATGATGATAGTGCTGGTGGTTTGGAGTTTTGAGGAGGCTACAGCGTGAGGTTTAGTCAGAAACTCCATGATTTGTGATCCGGCGCTACTGACCAACAAATCCGCGGCGCCGAGTAGCGCCAGGCGCCCACCTCATACGTAGTTTGTTTGCCAACTTTCCCGGGATCTGACGTCTAACTATTCCTTATCCCCGTTAGCTCCTTTTTCTCATCAATGGTAGAAACTTTTACCTCTAAGCTCTGAATCTGTTTTATGGAGCTGTATACCAGCTTTCTTCGCCTGTTTGACCGGAGTTAAGTTCATACTACCTACACTAGGAAATCCGTACTTCGTTACCCAGGATTGGAGTAACCCGTACGGCGTATCCACGACGGCATACGCGGATGCGCCGTGCGGGTGTGCGGGGCGATGAATGGATATCTCTTACTAAGGTTACAGTACAACTGAGTGAAGTTCGAAATACCTCTGCCTAGCAGAATGCACTGTGTGTCAGTGTGCTTCTAGATTTCCAGAGTATATCAAAGGCAATACAGGGCACTTACGCCTGGTCTGTGAGAAGAGAAGCAGGCGTGGGAGATCTCGTGCATCGAGCTGAAGAGGTGGAACCCCGGGGAACGTTGAGGAAGTCTCGTGATGTTCTTGGAGCGAGGTACTCGACAAACGGGAAAATTGGATTAAGTGCTGATAGGTAGTTCTACTCTAATTCCTGTTGCGGCTCATCTCAGGAAAAGGTTAACAAGCAAAATCAAAATCAAAAACGCGCCACAGGAAATCAGAATGTCGCTCTAGACCACCAACATCACCCCGCCCAATCATCGACTCATACCAACTCTGGAAAACCGGAACCTAGGCCTTCTTGACCTTCTCCTGCCCCCTCTCAAAAATCTTCTTCTTAATCACCGCATCACCCAACCCAGACGTCCCATTCATAGTCCCATCAAACACCGTCCTCGGCCCAAACGCATTCAAAAACCACACAAGCCACGCGTTCGTGCCCTTCCAGACATACGGGCTCCCGCCATTCTTCAGCACAAGGGGCACGACCTGCCGCGCAAACTCGTCGGGCTTCATCGTCGTCTTCTCGTGCGTGGCGCTGCGCTCCCGCAATTTATCCTCGGCGTCGACGTACAGGCTGTCCCGGTCAAAGGCGATGTTGTTGGCCTGGATGATGGACGTGGCGACCTCGCCCATGTAGACCGTCAGGACGCGGAGGCCGAGGGGCGCGACCTCGAGGCGGAGGGTGTCGGAGTAGGCTGCGACGGCGGCCTTTGTGGCGTTGTAGCCTGATGTGAAGGGGCCTGGGAGGCGGGCGAGGACGGAGGCGACGTTGACGATTGTCGGTTGGGAGGAGGAGGTGGAGACGGCGGCGAGGAGGAGCGGGGTGAAGGCTGTTACCATGTCGAAGAGGCCGAAGACGTTGGCGTCGAACATTTGGCGGGTGCGGTGGGAGTCTGCTTCTACTGCTGGTGCTTCGTAGACTGATGTTGGAAACTCCCATGTTAGTTGTCTTGTTCTTACATACTAAACTCAGGATGTTGAAAGTGAAAGGCGTGGGGGGGGGGGGGGGGGGGTCGACTCACGAGCACCCGCATTGTTGTACAGAATGTCAAGGGTACCGCCTGTACGCCTTTCAATCTCCTCCTTCACTGTTGCGATGCTCTCCGAGCTCGTCACGTCGAGCGTGAGTGTTTCGATGCCCTTTTCTGTGAGATTCGCCACCGACTTGAGGGAGCGAGCAGTTGCAAATACGCGCAGGCCCTGGGCTGCGAATGCGAGCGCCAGCGTGTTACCGACACCCCCCTGAGAGCATCTAAAGACGTGTCAGAATTTGGAGGAATGCAATGTCAAGAAACAGAGAAAGTCAAGGGAAGGTATCTTGAAGGCGGTTTAGCTTACCCTGTGATGAGGATTGTTCGCTTGTTAGGTGACGACATGACTACAAGGTGAGGATGGAAGTTGGCTGAATGGTGAGATACTTGGGAGACTGAAGAAGCTGGATGGGTTGAATGAGTTGAATGAGTTGTCCAACCACGTAATCTTGACGTGGAAATCCCGTACGACTTAAGTAACTACGCGATAGCTGTAACTTGGAATGCAATGGCACCCAAATCCTGCCTTTCATCAAGCCATTGTCCAAAATGTCAGTCAAACTCTTGCCATGATGACATATCTCAGGCTGTGTGCATCAAATCCAACGAACATTGGTAAGCTCATAGACCAGCACTCTTTTCAAGATTACAGCAAGGACGTGCGCCTTCGGAGCCTTCAGATGCTCCTTCTCCCGCCATCTTGGGGGGCGCCACCTCCCCTCCATGTCGTACTCCGGAAGGAGGGGCCGGGCTGGGCCTCGGGAAGACAAAGGTCGACTCTACTGGTATAAGCTTTGGTCCCAATTTTTATCCCTCTGTCCACCGATCGCGTATGGTGAGTAAACCATAATCTTCCCGGGCCTGTTTAATAATCGCCCCCGAGAAAATGGAGACTCTCCGGCGCCGATTTGAATGTAGCCGTAGCCCGTCGAATTTGGGGTTCTAGTCCCACCCGCAACTCGTTGATTGACCGTCCGTCTCCTCTCCGCAACTCCGCAATGGCGGCAGGACGGACAGACCACTGTCGATTCGTAGCCCTCGAATTGGGGGCGAACGGATCGTGCTTAATAATGTTCGTTCTTGAGTTTCAACTTTCAGCATGAGAAAAAGCATACGGGAAGCTGAGTATAAATGACAATCGAGGAACCGATTTCGCTTCAAGACTCTGATAGCACTCTCCATCATCACCAAATTGCGATCAATCTTACCATAAATTACCAAGAACCATTATTTTTTACACAAAAATGTCTTCCAATCACGCCATTGTCATCCAGGGTGCAGGCAAGGCCCAGGTCGTCGAAGCCTCAGTCCCCAAGCTCCGCGATGACTACCTCATCGTCAAAGTCAAGGCCGTCGCCCTGAACCCAACCGACGTCCTTCACATCGACCTCTTCGCAGTGACGGGCGCCCGCGTGGGCTGCGACTACGCCGGCGTCGTCGAGGAAGTCGGCTCCAAGGTCACAAAGTCCTTCAAGAAGGGCGACCGCATCGCCGGCGTCGCCCACGGGTCCAACGCCATGCACCACGAGGACGGCACCTTTGCGGAATACATCACCGTCAAGGGTGACCTGCAGCTCCGCATCTCGGACAACGTCACCTTTGAGGAGGCCGCCACCCTCGGCGTCAGCGTGACGACCGTGGGCCAGGGCCTGTACCAAAGCCTCGGTCTGCCGTACTTTGACAAGCCTAGCGCCGAGAGGTTGCCTGTCCTCATCTACGGCGGCAGCACGGCGACCGGAGCGCTGGCGATCCAGTACGCGAAGCTCTCTGGTCTGCACGTCATCACGACGGCCTCGCCTCACAACTTTGAGTATCTCAAGAAGCTGGGCGCCGACGTGATTTTGGATTACAAGTCTGCTACCGTCGTGGAGGATATCAAGAAGAGCGCGGGTGGCCAGCTGAAGCACGTGCTGGACTGCATTTCCTCGGAATCGTCTGCGGATATCAGCGTCAAGGCGATTGCGGAAGACGGCGGTATCTACTCCACCCTGCGGCCCGTGCCGGCGGAGCTCGTCTCGGCGATCAACGGCAAGGTGACGACCAAGATGACGCTGGCGTACACTGCCATCGGCGAGCCGTGTCAGTTTGGTCCGCAGGCGTTGCCGGCGATCCCGGCGGACTTGGAGTTTGGGAGCAAGTTCTGGGCTGATACCGAGCGGTTGTTGGGAGAGGGAAAGGTTGTGGCTCACAAGCCGACTGTGAACGAGGGCGGAAGTGGCCTGGAGGGCGTTCTCAAGGGCCTTGATCTTGTTAGGCAGGGCAAGGTCAGCGGAACCAAGTTGGTTTATGTTGTGTCGTAGTGGGTGAAAAGTTAGCAGCAGCCAAATGGATTTACCGGAAACTGTTAGCGACAAACAAAATCCTTGCATGCGAAAGCTTCACAAGCAAAACAAAACCGCATAACCAAAGAGGCAGTTATTACTTCCGCGCCTTCAGCTATAGCTCTTCTCTTCCCATGAATTTCATGAATCTGATATGCCCATCAACTTAAAAGTAGTGCTCGTTCCTAAAAGAACCAGCACCCGGGACACCAAAATAGCAGCTTTACTTAGTGCCTAGCAACGCCGGTAATGGAGTCGGAGACCAGGGTACCGGAGCCGAATGCTACAGGGATGCAGTCTCCCGAATCCGAGCGCCACATGCCTGATTCGTCTGCTGACGAGAGCCCATTGGCGGCTCAGACTGCAGAATTGCAGATGTTGTGCAGGTCAGCGGGAGGATGCTAAGGTGGCGCAAGCACGCCGTCACCATCATCTTTCGCGATATGTGATATGTGCTCGCAGATCTGAACTCTTTCAGCAGCCTGTACCGAGAAAGTCACAGTGTTCAGTTATGCAAATAGATAGTAGTGGCATGCTTCTCCTTCCCAAGAAACCCTGCTCTTCACAGGAGAGTTCCCTATCCCATCAAACTGCTAGATGGCGTCACTACATCTGTCTCCAGTCTTTCTCTAATATTGCTCTATTTCCCTTATATCCGCCATAGAGCAAAATTAGAGAAAGACTGGAGAAGAATGTACTAGAAACGGATATACTGATGCTATGTAGCAGTAAATGGGATACGAGACGGAGAAGCTGATTCAGAGCTAAGATGGGTGAATAGCTATTTAACACAGTATTGTCCTACGTCGGCTACACTTTCTCTGGACACATTCTACCGTACTCGCACACTTGGTCTACGTTACTATCCACTTAGCAGAGCCAAACATCAATAGACTTACTTGTACTCTGGAAGCTGTGGCTACAGCCACACGAGAAGTCCAAGTACGTAACAAAATTAAACGGCCTCGGCTTTCAACTGCTATAATGGGGCACAAGTAGGCCTCTAGGTACTTACACAGTATATCAGTGGCCGATTTTTGACCGATATCTGCCGAAGTCATGCACGACGACTCTGAGGGAAATTGAGCCTCCCCTTGAAGAACCGATTGATTGATAAGACAACCTAACATGAGTTTAACGTCATGCAACTAAACTCGATAGCCTGGGATAGCCTATGAGAGGAGGAGGAGAACGGGACAGTCCACCCCAGTCAACAAACGTTCGCATCTCCCCCGCAGCCACGCACCCACGTTTACGGAATCTTTTTTCTTCATCGGAGGCTCAGGGAGACTCACATGGAAGAAGTTGGAAAATCCTTCATCATCATTGAATACCCCTCGAAAAGAAGAACGTTCCTCATGCGGTGTTTAATGGCAATTGACTCCATAAGATAGGTCCGATCAGTCCTGCATCAGAGAGTTAAGTTACGGGAGCTATCCGAGAGTAGCCTTTGGTGGGGCTGGTCCGATCGAATGGCAACCCGCTCAGGAACCCAGGATGTCACCCCCAACGGGGGGGGGACTTCTTAACTTCTCCAAAACAAGCTCTTTTACACCCGTGATGTTCCATTCCGCCAAGACTTCGAACCGCTGCTCATGGCGGAAAGCGGCAATTGAGCGGGAAGGAAGCGTCGCAATCGTCATGAAAGCCAATATAGAATTCTCCCCTGAGAAGACTCAGACTTAGAGAGAATGCTCTGGGCTCGCAGTGCCGATGTCCAGGATCCCGGTTTATTGCTGTGAAAGCTCCCCCCCTTCCTGGGTCTCGGACTTCACCTATATGCGAGGGGCGGCGGCGATGGCAAAGTTGAGCCATCTTCAAGAAAGACAAATACCAGACGAAAGATGTAGATGCTCTCGGGACCCTTCTCTCTCTCTCTCCCCCCCCCACCACATCACTCTCACTCGTTTCCAAAGCGGCGTGCCTCGCCACCCCCAAGCCCTCAAGATGCGGTCGTCACTTCTTTCCTCCCTCGTCTGCCTCTGCCTGGGCACCTCGTCGATCTCGGCCCGCCACGTCCACCAGCTCCGCGCCGACTTCAACCTCGCCTCCCTCCCGCGGCCTCCCCGCCGCAGACGGCAAAAAGGGCGTCCTGCTCATGAACCGCATCGGGCCCTCCACTTCAGAGCTCTACGTCGCCAACGCGGACGGCAAATTCGTGACCTTCATCACCGAGCGCAACGGCGACGGCAACCCGGACCTCTACCGGTGCAGCTTCTCGTCTGCCGGCACCGGAAACACCACCTCTGCCTCGTGCTCAAGCCTGGAAAAGCTCATCGCCACGCCCTCGGTCGAAGACGTGGGCGCCCTCTCCCCAGACGGAACCAAACGCGCCTACGTCTCCACCGAGAACGGCTACCGCGCCAACATCTGGGTGCTCGACATCGCCACCGGCACCTGCCGCAACCTCACAAACACCCCCGCCATCGCCGGCGACCCCTTACTACCCGACGGCCACTTCAGACCCAGCTGGTCTCCGGACGGCGAGTGGATCGCCTTCGCCTCGGACCGCAACACGGCCTGGCGCGGGCACGGCAACGGCACGGGCTGGGAACACACCCAGGAGCTCTCCGTCTACGTCGTCCGGCCGGACGGCTCCGATTTCCACCAGGTCGCTACCAAGGCGGGATACTGTCTCGGATCGCCGAAATGGAGCCCCGGCGGGAAGAGAATCCTCTACTATGAGATCACGACCGAGCAGACGTGGGACGCACACCGGCCCGAAATCTCTCGCCGCCGCCATCTCCCAGATCGTCTCTGTTGATTTCGAGACCGGAGAAGATCGCATCGAGCACACCTCGGGCGCCAGCGTCAAGATGTTCCCGCAGTGGTTGGCTGACGACAGCATCTCGGACGGATCCAGCAGCAGCAGCAACAGCATCGCCTACCCTAATCAAGGGCGGCGACAACGAAGGGTACAACTACACCTCGGGCGCCCACGCCCCCGTCAAAGCCGCCATCCGCTCCCCGGCCTGGTCCCCCGACGGCCGCTTCGTCATCTACGAAAAAGTAGGCTTCACCGCCCGCGCCATGGAGAAGCCCCTCTACAGCTGGGACGCGGACTGGGAATACCGCTCCACCGACGTCTTCCCCCAGCTCTCCCTCCAGGGCCGCCTCGTCATCACCCAGAAGCAGCTCGGCAACTCCTCCATTGTCTCCATGAACCCAGACGGCACCGACATCTCAAGCTCGTCTTCGACTCCTCCCAAACCGGCGAAATCGACGCGGCCCTCGTCGCAAAGGGCCTCGCGGGCGCCTTCCAACCAGCCTGGTCCAGCGACGGCAGTCGGATCGCCTTCGGCCTCGGCTCCTGGTTCCAGTCCCGCGCGACAGGCAAAGCCCGCGTCTACCGCACAACCTCCAACGGCAGCTTCTACGAGGCCCTGACGGACGGGACGGTCCACTCCGGCTTTCCCTCCTACAGCCCGGACGGCCGCAGCCTCGTCTTCCGCGAGTGGGGTCTCCGCTACGGCCTCGGCGTCATCGACCTCGAGACCAAGACGGTGCGCAGCCTGACCAACGCGACGGACAACCTGCCGTTTTGGTCGCCCGACGGCGAGCGCATCGTCTTCACGCGTAAGACGTCGGCGACCAACTTTGATGTCTGTATGATCCGGCCCGACGGCACGGATCTGCAGACGCTCACGTCCAACGGCGCCAACGACGCGCACGCCGTGTGGTCGGCCGACGGGCGGATCCTGTATTCTAGTGGGATGTACGGGTTCCGGGATGAGGCGGCCATCTATGATCAGACGTTCCAGCCGTACGGGCAGATTCTCGTCATGGACGCGGATGGGTCGAATAAGAGGACGCTTACGGATAGTTTGTGGGAGGATTCTATGCCGTTGTATGTGCCCAACGAGTTTCTCGTTTAAGATATTTGGTGGCTTGAAAGCCCGCTCACTGTAGATAAGTTGCAGTGTAAACACCAAAGTCTCTGTGCAAGTACTTCATCATGTGCATGTTTTAATTTATTACGAGTGGCCAAGTTGAAGAGAAAACGAAACCCCCAACAAAAGGGGCTTGCTAGACATTCAGAGGCATAGGTTTCTCACCTCCAACCTTGCCTTGACTCTAATAAAGCAACACTTTAGTTATCTTAGCCAATTTCGTCGAGTCTTGTGAAGGACCATTCCAGACTTCTCCGAAGTAACATTTCTAATGACATCTAATGCACTCACTCTACTTCGTATGACGAACAGAAGCGAGATTCTACCACTTCACCCAAACCTTCATGGTATCGTCTATATTTTCCTTCCTTAGCAGCCATCTTTCACCTGCGCATAGACTCGGCGGTGTGACCATCCTCAATGTCCCGAAATCATGTCATGGCCCCTTGATCAACAGTCGTCGTTGATTTTTGACGCACATCTTAAGAAACTTTTCGGGAACGTAAAGCCACAATCAACCCAAGAGTAATTTTATCCTCATTAGAGAGGTCAGAGTCTTTGTCTATTGACCAGGCTTTGGGGGCATGTCGGCTCGGGAGCCGCAGGATCCAGTGTCTCTATATATCGTGGCGTAGAGACCCCAACTCAACAAAGGTGCTGTTTCACTGTGAGGAGGCCTCGGCATACACAAACCACAAAGCACAAAGTGATCACACGACAGTATACACCACAAGGATGGGACGAAAGAATCAATAGTTCCATTCTTTGAGAGCTAGACCTAGCCGCCCAATCCCGGAAAGCCCAGATCCCGCCGTTCGCCCCTCAAATATATATATATATATATATTTGAGGGGAGGGAGGTAATTTCTCTTCTGTCCTTTTTTTCTTTGATTTTGGTTTCAATTCCTCTGCTCTTCCTCATGTCCTAAAAGACATAGGGCTCTGAAGCCGATCAAATAGGTAGGCAATATCAGCGAGCCAAGCATCACCAAGGTTCCTCATTTCTAACTGCGCGTCCAGTCCTCCGCGAGAGTTGCCAAACAGCCAAGCTCGTGCTGCTCCTTCTAGTTCGCAAACACAAAATCATGTGTCGTGTGTATTCAGTGTTCATGTGACACGAATATCCATAATCTTTTCGTCGTCTTCCAACCCCAAAACTGATTAAAACAGGTGTTGGTGTCAAGTGCGCAAATAGGGGCGCATAGTGTGATGGCTGACGAGGTGAAGCTCGCCCAGCGCTAGATGATGTAATCCGCCACGGCGTGTTGAAGTGGGGAGATGCAGATGTGCGAACAAAAAACAAAAGGGGGGGGGGTTTATGTGCAAAATGTGGTATACGCATGAATGGGAGAGAATCGAAGTGTGTGTGTTTGGGGATGTGGTGTTGTCAGGCCAGCCCATTCCAACCTGTCGTCGACGCCACCGCGTTGCCTTTGGTCTCAAATAGACCGGTGCTTGGGAAAGCCGAACAAAGATGGTTGTGAGGGCGGCTCAACATCTTCGACCCAGGTACCAAGATGAGACCACACAGGCAGAGGCGGGGCGACGAGACGACAGTCCCCAAGATAGCCAGCCGGCCCAAGTAGTAGTGTGTCGAAACGTGTTGTTGACCAAATGTGTCGGGGTATCCCCCAATAGAGCCATGATCGTAATGCAAAGTGGTGCCCAAGGCCACAATGATTGCCCTTCGCGCGAGGGCGTAATTTGCCGTTCCAATGCCAGGAACGCCGAACCCATGTAGTGCAGAACCGCCGTGCCATGACGAATGCCAGAGAATGGTGGTGCATGATCCAGAGCGCGCCGGCTCGGTCAATGAAGTCATGACACGGTATCCTTGGTTCAGCCAACCCAGCTAACCATTCCGAACCCAAGGAAAAAAAGAAGACAAGCTTTCTCATCGGTCAAACAGACCGATCGCACAGCGCAGTCCTTTCATCCTCCAACGCCGTGCTATGCAAAAAAAAATTTGGTATTATACAGAACCTAGACGCAACAGAGCCTCAACCGCCTCACGCTCCTGCGCGTCAGACGGGCCCTGGAGCGCCGAGAAGTCGAAGGGCATAGGCTGAAGCGAGCGCGCCATGCCAGTAGAGACGGTTCGCATGCCTCCCGAGTTATATACACCGGTGGAGAGGAAGCTGCGTCCCGCAGACGGGGCGGTTGCGCCGGCGGTGTTGTAGGACTCGGCGCGAAGAGCGGCAGCTCCGACGGCAGCCCAGTCCTCGTCGTCGGTGGCGTCCTCGGGGTCGTCATTCATAGCGACATCGTCGTCATCCGGAGCCTCGGAGCACGAGGCGGAAGCCGAGCCATCAAGGGACATCTTATCCGCTTCGCATTCCATCATCATGGCATCGCGATCGTCGTGAGAGAAGACGATGGAATCGCCGGCACTAGACGAGGCGACGTTCAGGCGAGACCTGTCGGCGCCGCGTCCACCAGTCTTGTTGATGGGAATGCCGGATCGGTAGTCAGTGGGGGGTGTAGACCCGCGCGCGGCCTGACCACGTCGTCGGGCATCCCATCGGCCCCAGCCCACCTTTTCAAATTCCACATCGCCGTCCGGTCCGCCACCTTCGCCTCCGCGACCCTCCAAAGCTCCCACGACCAAGCGACGCGCCTTTGTCGGCGGGATTCCTGCGAAGCCCGGGACAGACGTTGTCAGGTAGCCCATGATGTGACGGATAGCCAGAGGGCCGTGGTTGAGGAGGATCTCGGGGAGGTGGTGCTTGGCCAGTAGGGTGGTGCTGATAGCACCGGTGGCGTCGTAGGAGGGTGACCGCGATGCTTGCCTGCGACCAGTCGGGTCATCATGCAGGTCCAGATCCGAGTCGATGGGCTCGAGCCTGGCCTTCTGAAGCTGGGCCTTGAGGCCGTGAGGCGGAAGGGCGGGAGAGATGGAGTTGGGAGGAGTAGGGAGGGGGTGAGATCGTGTCACAGTCGTCGCAGGAACACTCCGAGCCGCTACAACAGTCAAGTTGTCTCGGCTCATGTTGGAGGCCTGGTGGATATCGCAAGCAGCAGCTGCCATGGTCGCCATGGTGTCGTTTAGACGTGTCTTGTGCTTCTAGACGTGTCTGTACGCGATAGTGATGGTTAGCTACAGGTGCTGAGTAGAGTGATGGTGATGTGACTGGTAGAGTATATGGGAGGAATCCCACGATGGGAGGTTGTGGTGTTGAGTCACCAAGGGGAGAGGGAGGGATGATGTGACGCAGCGCAGCGCAGCGCTGTGGTGTGCGGTGGGATAGGGTTTACTGTTGACGTACTGCTAGAAGCGGAAGGGATGCGATGCAAGTGTGGAACTGTGCAGGTAGGCTCAGTTCGACGGGTCGGCTGATAGACTTGTTGGCAGATCAGGCTGGCGTTGCTGTGGCTGTTGCGATTATCGTGACTGTGACAAGAGAATCTCGTCAGTATTCAGTTGTGGTTCTTCGTGATGTTGTATTTGCGTTGAAGAAGAGAAGAGAGGAAAAGGAAAGGGAGGGTGAGATGAGTGCGACGGCCAGGGCTAAAGTAAAAGGGACCGTGGTGGTGGACGGATACGGAGATGAGATGGGATGGGATGGGAGTGACAGACTCATACCTGACTGTTGAATGACTGAGAGCGACACACACACACACACACACACACACACACACCATGCCTTGCCTTACACCACACACCAGACATTCGCGGTACCTCCATCTTTTGGTGTCGGCTCTCTCTCTCTCTTTCACCTTGTTCCTCTTTGCTGGGCTGGAAGGTGTGTGAAGGAGGAAGAGAGGTACATGGGGTACATTGCAAGACCTGGGGCATGTCAAGAGACGGCGACCGGGGGGGGGGGGGGGTAGGAAGTATCCACGGTACCGGACAGATGCAACCCAGGATCCAAGGTATCCGCAGTCAAGTGCGGTACACCCATGTACCTCGCTCTCTCCTCTGCTTCCTCGGTATCTACTCCGTACCTCCCACGCACGCTGGTGACTCCTCCTCGTTCTCTGTGGCGGGCCAGTCTCCTTTGGTACAAGGCAATGACCCCAGAAAGCCTGAAGGGAGAGGAGAGGGATAATGACAGAGTGATGCAGTGCAGCTTGGCTTTGGCACCTTACATGGGCGCAAGCCCGGGTGCTTTCTCCAGCAACTCGCAGCCAACCTGACGCCCGTACCAAACTCAACCGTCTGCAGAAGACAAAGGCCCGCGGCGACGAAGGCAAGGGAAGGCGATGGGTGGCCGGATTATGGATGGATGAGCACCTGGCACCCTCCAGTCTCAAGCACCAAGAGCAAAACCAAGGCAAGGCAAGACAAGGCCCGACAACGCAACAACGACTACGGCGACAACAGGAAAGGAGCAAGAGACGGGCGCCGCTGGCTGGCGTTGGCGCAGGTGATGGACGACAACACACCCTGGGGGGTGCAAGTCATGGCCACGGGTGTCGGGTGTTGGTCACCAGGTGTTGACTGACGCCAGCTGAGTGTGGATGGTGTGTGCGAGACTGCGAGAGTGTGTGTGTCTGGAGGACGAGGTATGTGTGGCTGGGTCGCTGATACCAAAAAAAGGACTCCCCGGCTGCGAGAGGAGATGGGAGAAACGGCAAGAGAAAAGGGGGGTATCGCTATCCTCCTACTCTCTCTCCTACACGCCCACCTTCACCTTGTTGCAGCTTGCAGAGGGCAAAAGAGTTGCTTGAAGGCATCTTGTACACAGTGTGTCGCACACTATATACACATCATACCTCAAACCTGTGCTTCCGTCTCTTCCCTATCCATTGATTCCAGTTGCCCTGGCTTTGGGTGGGAGTCATCGCTCTTGCTGATGACAGGCTGATGAGGAGTTGAAGAGACTACCTACGACCTTCTTACTTGCCTTGTCCGCGCTTACCTTATCATCAAGAGTTCCTTATCAACCATTGATCTGATATTCTTTCATGATCCTACCTGCTACCTTGACAGTCTGACCTTAAAGTCCACCGCTTCCCTAGGGTCCTGGTCTCTATGACCTTTTAATCCAACTGATTGCTTTTTCTTTGATCCAAGTACCGTTGCAGAAAGATACCAAATTCCAACGACAGATACAGCTTCAACACACACCGCACACAAATCGCAAAACCCATCAAAAAATACCCACCCATCGACAGCTCTAAACTCCATCCTTGACCTCCAAACAATCCACAACGACGGAGCTTGGGCGGGCTCCATCTCGTTATCCCGTCTCTGTCCCCGAGCTTGACCGCCGAACCGGCCATCGATACGGATACCTTGAGATACGCAGGTTCAAGCCTTCAAGGTCCAACGTCCCATGCGATCCATATCCATGAATGATTTGAAGCGTCCGCGACAAGTTCCACGACGGACCCAGAAGACACGTCCCCCCATGCGCCGGTCAGTTGTTCTTCTTTCTTCCCAAGTTCCCATACCCATGCCCCATGCCGAACCCGAAGCTACTGAAACGAAGTTCCCACCTCGTTGTCTTCCCCGGACTGCCGATAGGGTCGGCCGGTAAGTGTGATGATCCAAGGCCTGGGAACAAAGGCCCCAGTGGCCCCAGGGCCAAGGGTAGGGGAAGGGGGACAGCAACCCGTGGCCTTCCGGAATTGCAGTCAAGCCCACGCACTTGATCCCCGGCCTAGCCCACAACGCGCTTCTCCATTCGGAGTCCATTCCAATAACCAACTGTTGACCTTCCGCGTCCAGACCCTCTCTAGACAGGTCCATAATAAGCTTGATACAAGGATAGAGAAACGACGGTGAAAACGAAGAGAGTACCCGATCATCGTGTTCAAACGCCGCACTATCAAGAGGTTACGCCAGGAGTCAAGAGTCAAGAGTCAAGCAGACGATGGATTGCCAGTTACAAGTCACAACAAACCCGTAGCGCAAACAAGCAGCAAAGTCACCAACTCCCTGTCAGGGCATCAATGTCGACGAAACGCGCACACATGACGACACACACAAGCCGTTAAGCTCTAGAAATTGCCGCCTCCCACCCCCTTCCACTCACCCATATGAGCCAAGGTCCAAGGGCTGCTTCTAGATGCGCATCAAACCGCGTCGCCGGCGCCCGCGTCCACCACAACATCACCACCCAGCCGACGGCGCATAGTGTATCCCAACCGGTGATCCCGTCCTATGGCACACTGGGCGCGGTAAAATGGAAACCTTCGTCTCGGGTACAGCGTGCAGCCAAAGAGCTTACCAATCTGTCGGGGATCTTTCTTGCTCTCTTGAGTCTCTCCTTCGTCTGTCACTTCTGTCACGGTACCTTATTCCTGAGGTACGTTGTCAAAAGACTCAGCCATGAAACTTTGCTTCCAAAGTGTCCCTGTTTCCATATCCGTTTGTCCCGTCTCGTTCCCATCCCTTCCTATCCATGGCATCCAAGCCCCCCTTGGAGATCCACCATCGATAACACGAACTCCGCCTCATGGCATTTTGACTCTTTGCCCTTTCCTGTCCCCCCCCCTCCTTCGTTCACCTACAAGTAGGACATTGTGGTGATAGGGTTCGAAAACCCCAATCGCGATCTCTTCTCCTCCCACATCGCACACACACTTTGACATATATCCATATCTCACTATCATCGGCCTTTGTCAACCTTTGATTCATTACCCGTTCCGTACCCGCTCATAAACCCACCCGCTTCCTTTGTCCGGATCCCGTGCCAATGCCATTGCCCCCTGTCAAACCCCCCATGTATCCGTACCCATGTTCCATCCATGTCTGAAGTCTTTCCCGCCAGCAAGCCGCTGGCAGACGCGACCACGGGACCGGTGTCCACTGAAGCAACTACAGCTTTGCAGGCAAGCACCAAAGCAATGCGAAGTTTGACTTGGTGGAGAGCTGTGGGAGTGTGCTTCTTCCTGCTGCTGCTAATGCTGCTGCTACTGCTGTTATCCCAGACGGAAACAGCAGAAACGGACGGACCGGGGTTTGAGATGGATACCTCGGCGGCCCTCAAGTTTGCTGCTGCTGCTGCTGCGGGAAACTGGAGAATGCGATAGTGTCGTCATCAATCGCAAACCCGCAGCTTCGCTCTGTAAGTCCATTTCTTTCCTAGTGTAAGAATACTCTCAGCCCAGCAACCAGCAACGTGCGACCATACCAACACAGACCGGGGGCCTTGTCAAAACAACCAGGGGCCAGAGTGCCAGAGAGGGCCTTTCATCACCGCACAGAACACACGCACATTTTCATGTTGTATTTTTTGTCACCATCATCCCCCTATTTGCAATGGTTGCAATCTTGATTTTTTAGGGAGGAAATTCCCAAAGCCTTCGACGCTTTGGTCAACTCCAAGTGATCGAGATGGTTCGAAAAAGAAAGCGAAAGAAAACTCTTCCCTTTGGCGAGATTGACATTCCTCCTTACCCCGGAGCGCCTCTTATTCCCTTCACCTTAATACCCCTTTTCCGGACGACGCCGTGGAGATCCTGGAATGGAAGTCTTGGTGGAATCTGAATAGAATCTGTCCCATGTCCCCATGCCTCTATACCTACCAGCATCAGGAGTGAAGATGCAAGGGGGCGTGTAAGTCAAACCGAACATTTGGCAACGCGCAATTTCGTGCAGACTTCAAGCAGCAGCAGCAGCAGGAGCAGGAGCAGGAGCAGGAGCAATGACAGGCCAGCAATGTCTGGTTCCTATATTTCTTCATGTTTTCACCCTGATTACTTCTGTGTGGTTACGAATGCTAATAAGCGTTCGTATGCCGGCGGGACGATCCAGACCGGAAATGTCTGAGACACGCGCTCACCTAACTTCCAAGAAAGGAAGAACAGAAGGACTCGACCGTCATCTTCCATTTCTCCTATCTCTCTTTCCTTGGATGAGATCGAGACAACGAAGCTAGTCTCAAGCAAACCATCTCACAACTAAGAAGGCGTACCGTGTATCACGGGCTATTTTCTTACAGAGAGGCCTTAGTTCGCCTACGCGACGACGTGTCCTCTTACACCGAGTTCAAAACCGTCGCGTTAGAGATGATCGACACTCCAGACCTGACTAAACCTGCGTCTCAAAGTCGCAAGTGAGAAACTGCGAGCTTCAGCTGAAAAAATCCCCGGTTCAATACCTGCCCCTGCAACGCCAACATGGCAGTCGCACTTCTTCTTCCATTGCGATTCTTTTTTTCGAATATCGTACGGATATCTATTTGACTTTTGACCTCGCACACTGCGCCATTCCAAAGAAGTGCCAAGACTACACCCATCAACCAGTGACCACGCATAGAGTCCCCCCAGCAATTGCTTCGTGACGGGTAAAGCAACTGGAAACTGGACCTGGACCAAAGGGGGCGTGTCTCTAACAATCAGCTGCTCTCTCGAGTGTAGCTGCTTTGTACCCCACGGTACGGAGTACAGCTGAAATCCATCCCATCCCGCTCTCCTTTCGCCCTGTTCGCCCTGCCCTGTGGCTCTGGTCAACTCCACACAAAAGATACACAAAAAAACCACTCGCAATTTTGGACACTGTGGTGGTGCAGCTACTTATCTGTAAGGTAATCCGTTATCCGTATCATTTCCAGATTTGGTGACCATCAACCGCCAGAATGGAACATGGCGATGCGTGGGCTTATCTTTCCAAGGCGCGCGCCTCAACCCAAGTCTGCCTGTTTGAAGATGGACCGACAGACCCGGTCGAACCGCGTCGGCTGAGGCGCCTGTCTTCCCATCTCTATATTCGTGTCTGAATGCTTTGGGTGGTTTAGAAGTAATCCGTATCCGTATGATGCACCTCGCAATGATCTCCCCCTCATCCCATCTTCGCCCCCGGATTTCCCCTTGTGCCCCCCCAATGACCTCAAAGAAAAGCCACCCCGTGCTTCTAGGCTTTCTACAGTAGTTAACTTGCGTTTTTTCCGGTTTCCCGTGCGGTGTACGCCTTCCCTCTTCGCGATGGGCGGCATGCTGACGACCTTCTTCAGCAATCGCCGCACCCTCTCTCTGTCTCTACTATGTATGTCCTTGATCGAATCCGTCTATGTGCTTGCTTTCCGCCTCAACTTGGCTTGATCAAATCAAATCAAATCAATCGCATCTCATCTGGTCTGATTTCCAACTCCACGCCCCTGTGGCCTAGGTATACCCAAGAGCAGTGTCCAACCGACCAAACACCTGTAGAATACGGCAATACACCTATCATATACTGCCTATAAACAACTCACCCCCCCCCCCCCCCCTCCCACCCCCCCTCTCTCTCTTCTCGCCTCCTCCTCATCATGCAAAGGTGATGTGCTGATATGCCATGCATCCGGGCAACATCCCGCACCGTACTCGGTCGTTGGCGGGTTCGGCGTCTCGGAAGGCCTATCGAGTCTCGACCTGCAGTCGGATGTACCGCATACGGGAGTACAGGAGGAGCCGAGGGTAAAAGGTGTCAAACCACATTTTGTGACATCCAAATGGAGATATCGTGGGGTTCAACAGAAAATCTTGTGTATGTTGACCAGCTTTATCCCGTACCTTACTCCTCACTCCTCACCTCAAAATAATACGTCTATGGTCTGTGGCTGGCTGTAACAAAGCCCTGAGCCAGGAATGGACAAGATTTCCTCATCTTTGACGCAAAAAAAAAAAACCAAAAAAAAGGCATCCCCGGAATTCGCGCAAAACTACCAAACCCAACTTCTTCTCGTCGCACGCCGACGAGCGCAACCATCACGTTGCGTCCAGGCCATGATTTGATTGGTCCTGGCACCGCAGCTGCGAGAATCACTCACGCCCCCTCCGGATGAACCCTCTCTAGGGCAACCTAACACTTTTGATTCCTGGAGAAAAAAATACGAAGCGATCCAGGAATGCAAAGTACCGAACATTTTCAACAAATACCCGGTTTCCTAGGTAGTATACTTCACGGTACCTTTCGTCTCGTCAATGTGGACACTTGATGTTTCTCAACCCGCAACTATACAACTCTACAACTATCCCGTACCTCTAACACAGTATTTCGCAATGAGGTAGTTACGTCAATGCCGTCGTCGTGGTCGTGGTCGTCGTCGTCGTCGAATCAGGCTCCCCCATCGCGAGCCCGTGGTCGTCCACCTTCATCCACTTACGAAACCCCACGTTGTGACATGCTGCATCGTCGAGGCTTCGGGCTCTAAAGTCCTTAGCCCCAAGGCCTTCTCGTTTTCCCCAAGACCAGACCAAAGACGCCCCTCTATCTCCCGATGGCCAATGTGCCCATCTTTTTGTTCCTAATGTGATCCCTCCCTCGGGAAGTCTGTGGGGTCATTCGATCCCGCGTCGCCGCAACTAACCTACCTCCTCCCTCTCTTTCGCAACCTCTCGGCTTCAATGATCCCTGGGAAATCCTCCGCCTTTGGGCCGATTTCTGCCCGGGTTGCCCCCCCCCTCCTTCGCGCGGGCGGGCACCCACTAACTGCAAGTCTGCAAGTCGACTTGCAGTAGCCGCCTCACCCCGCTTCTCGTCCAAGATATCGCGGCGGGGTATCATTCACACCCCTCCACGCCCCTCGTCACTGCGCCTTTCCCGACCTCTTCCGTATTTGCCTTACTCCTAGTCCCGAACGGCCGGTTGAAACCAAGAGCGCCGGCGTGCGTGCTGACCTGACCTTAGCCGCCATGAGACCTCAGACGATGATAGAATGTGTAGATATGTCGCGCAGCTTATTCGGAGCTAAACAATGGTGAGTAGCCCAACGGCGCCGATTCTCGGACCGTGGTGACCTTTCCAGACGCACCAGTCGTCACACCCACGTTTGGATTCCTGTGGACACCATCGATAAGGAAACCTCGCCCCGTGGTCCTTGTTTGTTGTATGGAGCCATGCTACCGCGACGACGATGTTTGGGATTATCCCACTTCATTTCGACACTTTCGCGTCTCGCATAACCACAAAGGGCTGAGCCCTTATCTGCCATCACGAACAATCGAATTGCCGGGCTCACTCGCGAATCGACATGTATTCGCGACACGCCTAGGTAAAGTCAGCGCGTGTAGTAGACGTCTTAGTGATGGAACCCCGACTTACCGCCTTGAGAACGTTGAGCCGTTCTTGCGAGTCCCGGAATACCTGCCGGTACTGACCTAGACTTTCCCGCAAGACGGCCTCCTTGGTCATGCGCCCGTCGCAGATTGCCTTCATCTTGTTCTCCATCTCTTTCCGCAAAAATGGCTTGCCCAGACTAGTTTCGAATTCCATGCGATCAAATCCCGTGATGAGAGCCACGCCGAGTTGCGTCGGGATGAAGACCTTGAGCCCTCTCCGTCCGGTCGACGACGCGCCGCGACCCCCTCTGCCACCGCGACCACCGCGACCACCGCGATTGCCGCGGCCCCCTCGGCCGCCTCTAGCTGGCGGCGAAGGAGGTCTATCCCGGTCGTCATCATCGTCGTCACCATCCTGGCCACGTTGACCCCCGTCAGCTAGCTGGACATACTCTCTGTCTTGAATCTTTTGAATGTGCTCCGCCATCGTGGCGTCTGTCCCGATCCCATTGGCATCCATGAGAGCAATGAGGTCTGCTTCTGTAAGGTAACCTGGCGGACTTGTCTTGCCGTCCGTCATCAAGGCTTCCGTAGGCTGAAATGTCTCTCCTGGCGTGAATTTCGGTAGTTCCGCAGAGTCGTTCCACTTCTCGTAGACGAACACGTCAAGGTAGTTGCGCTCTAGGACGACTAGTCCACGGGTATGGAATGTCTCTTCGCCATAGAGTATTTCCACGTCGGTTGCCAGGCCCTTGGCGTCTTCAGAGCAACAAGCAAGGAATCGTCGCACGACGTACTCGTACAACTGCTTTTCATCCGCATTCAATACTGTGGGCGCCGCATATGTGACTGGGTGAATGGGCGGATGGGCCTTGTCATCATGCTTCCCCTCTCGCGGTTGACAAAAGTTGTCATCTAGTAGGCTCTGCGCATATTCTCCCCATCGAGAATCAGGCGTCTGCTTCCTGCATAGTGCTTTGAGGTCCATGCCTTTGTCGAAACGATCTGTCTCGGTTCTGGGATAGCTGATAAACCCCTTATTGTAGAGACCCTCGGCGACTGTCATGGCCTGTTGACCACTCATCCGGAGGAGACGAGTTGCTGCCTTTTGCAGCTCGACAGTGGTCAAAGGCAGAGGTTTCCACTTCTTTGTTGGCTTCTCCTGAACCTTTGTGACCTTGGCCTTTTTCGCGTTGATGCAGCGCTCGTAGAGAATGACAACGGACATCCGGTCAAAGAGGCGATTTCGTGACCAGTTGAAGTTGACCTTTTTGCCTTCGCGGGAGTGCATGACCTTGATGCTCCAGAACGGTTCGGGGACGAAGTTCTGAACCCGGAAGTACCGATCTACGACAAATCCTAGAGTCGGAAACTGGCAAGAGCCTGGAGTTTGGTTAGAAGATAAATGGCACACCAAGTACAAGCTTACCATAGCTAATTGTTCGTTCCTGCAGCGCACCTCCCAGGGGACGAAGGCTGATGGTCAGGAAACGCGTAAAAGCATACCCAATCCTAAGATCCAGCTCTATTCTCGCATCTACGGCGTCGACTTGCTTCTGATCAAGGTCGGTGAGGCGTCGGGCAGCAGTGAGAATATGGCTACAGACTATCAGAGACAATTCTCGCATGTAACGAAAAGGGGCCAGGCTTACGCTCGTTCGATGTTGCTGAAAGTGGCACGCTTGACGGTGATTCGGTTGTTACCTTTCTTGGCAGCATTGACAATTTCTTTCCCAATATGCTCTCCCTCTCGATCACAATCAGTCCAGATGACGAGAAGTTGGCAGTATCGAGCCTGCCGCTCAATGTTCTCGGCAACGGTTTTCTTGTCCTATACATGCAGCTATCAGAATCCATGGAAACCCGGGACGAGAGCCAAAGTAGACGCACCTGAGGTACTACGGTCACGACTGGTGCACTGAACAAGCTCTCTGGTGGCGGGTGCGACCAGTTTTTGTTCTCTGGCGTAAGCTCGAGTTCCGTAAGGTGGCCAAGAACGGCCGTCATGGTGACACCACACGAACCCCATGGGGCGCCAAAGTCGAAGTCGAAGCCATAGTTCTTGATGTATTGAGAACGTGTGTTGTGCTGAGGAATGTCAGCTTCTTTAAGAGAAAATATGGCTTGATTGATGTGATACTGACGACTTCAGGGCTTCGTCCTGCCAAATGGCCGGCGACGGCTTTCGAAATGGACGGTTTCTCGGCAACGCAGAGGACCTTCATCTTCTCGATGTGTCAGGATAACCAGTGCTCACTGCATGTAGATGGATTGTGACTCGGTAGTTCTTTGATCCTCGATCCTTTCCGCGAGTGCAGTCACGAATGTTATTGCTGGGAGAGCAGGAGCATTTTGCGATATCTATGTTCCTGCCTCAGAGGCGCGTCTTCGCAGGCTTAAACGCGTCAAACCCTCACAAACCAGCTTTTCGGTGTCTCTAACACGTGCCAAGGGATTCAGTGTGTGTGACTGCGATAAATTTTTGTGCCTTTTAACCAGCGGCTTGGCCCAACTTTAACATCAGAAATCGACACATTGAAGATTTTGAAGTGCACGTCGTTGAAGTGAGGTCGAGATCATCTTCCTCGCTAATGTACCTAGGCCTGGTGCAACCCCACAGCGGGGCTCCCACGCTGATTCGCGCGTGCTTACAGGCTTCAGCTCCGGGACATGCCTGGATCCCTGGGCCGGTTGGCGATCTTGAGGCACTTAACGCTTACACAGTAGCTTCAGCTCGTCGAGTCACCCAAATCCCTAGGCAACTGATCACTGCCTGTAAGTACATGGCCAGGAGTTAATCGTGATGGAAAAAGTGGTAAAGCAAGCCCGTCGGCTCGAACCCGCGGCCTCTCAATCTCGAGGCCCAGGGCAGGTGGCCTGTAGGTGAGGTAGGTATCTGTCCTGGGAGCTGCATCGCTCCGTCACCAAAATCCCTAGCAACGGAAATGTCACAACAATACAAGCTACCGGCTATAGCCGGCTGGTTGGATTGTTTACCGCTCAAGGCTGCCCATCTGGTACCTTACTAGGGTGTTCAAGGCACAATTTTACCATTCGGTCGTCATCGCGAACGGCCGCTGCTTCCTTGGGGGAATAGTTGCAATTCTGGGTTCTATGACGGTTTCGACATTGCCCCGTACGATGGAATATACAGGAGTACCTAGAATACCTAATGGTACGCCTTGAGCTTGTCGAGATGGTGGCCACCACCTCACATGCAAGACTAAACTGACGTAAGCCATCGATCCAACTCTACATCTCGACGAAGATGATTTTATAGATTGATCGACCCCATCTCATAGATCTGAGATCTTACCATAGGAAGTCCTTGCTCTCACTGCAGTTAAATTATCCTTGCTCAGTATGGATACCTTCTCACATGCAGAGTAAGGTATTGTAGGTAAGCAGCGGGTTTCCACCCATGGATCTCTACGTGCAAAGGACGGATCTTCGGTGTCAAAATGGCCGAGGACCCCTGCACCGCATCGGAGCTGGCGGCGGGGACCTAAGCTCCCTGCGGATCTATGACGCGCTTTGTACAATTGCCCTCATTTGCACCACCAAAGCTACACGGTCAACAAAGACGGTCTTCAAGATACCTTTTCGCAAACCATCCATAGCTCCAACGATCTGAAGTGTGCAATTCTGCAGCTACAGAGATTGACCAGAACCAAGCAGCCCGATAGAACTCGTTCGCAATGGCGCTCCCCGCAGTCAAGTCTCTAGAGGAGTGCTCCGAGTGGGCCAAGGTCGTCGAACCCTTCATCCCGCAGCTCCTCGAGCTCCCCGGCAAGATCATCGCGAGCCCGCAGTCGCTGCCCCAGATCTACCTCGAGACGAACCCCCTCGTCTCCGGCTTCGCCTTTTCCTTGCTCATCGCGGTCCTCACACTCGGCTTGTCAGAGTACCACCGCAACTTTTCGCAAATCGACCGGCTGTGGAGTCTCCTGCCCAACTGGTATGTTCTGCACACGGCGGCTTGGGCGTACCTGAATGGCGAACCCTGGCAAAGAGTTGCGCTGGCTGGGGCCGCGACCACTCTCTGGAGCGTAAGGACCACGTCTACCTACTGTGGAAGCTCGAGAGCATTGCTGACATTGTTGTGCCGATAGACACGGTTGACCTTCAACTACTGGCGCAAAGGAGGCTACGAGCGTGGAAGTGAAGACTACAGATGGTACTGAACCCTCCCCAGCGATCACTACCCTCCCAGCGAGTATTCTAACATGTCCATTCACGTAGGGAAATTGTCCGCGCATACGTCCCCGCCTGGGTCTTCTTCCTCTTCAACGTAACCTTCATCTCTTTCATCCAGTCTATCCTCCTCTTCGCCTTCTCCGCCGCACCCGCCTACTCCCTCCTCCTCGCCAGCCGCATCGAGCCCGACCTCGCCGCCTCAGACTACGCCTTCTTCACCATCCTCGCCGGCCTCGTCCTCAGCGAGTACATCAGCGACGGCCAGCAATGGGACTACCAGACCGCCAAAGCCGCCTACAAAAAGGGCAACAACACCGCCAGTGCCGTCCCCCGCGGCTGGGCGCAGGCGGACCTCGAGCGCGGCTTCGTCACGCACGGTCTCTGGGCCTACAGCCGTCACCCCAACTTCTTCGCCGAGCAGATGGTCTGGTTCGTGCTCTACCAGTGGAGCTGCTACGCCACCAAGGTGCTGTACAGCTACACCTTCGCGGGCTCCGCATTTCTCGTCATGCTGTTCCAGGGCTCGACGTGGCTTACTGAGTTGATTACGGCGGGCAAGTACCACGAGTACGCCGAGTATCAGAGCCAGGTTGGCATGTTTATGCCCAAGTCGCTGTTTCCGTACAAGAAGCCTGCGCCCAAGGTCATCCGCACGAGCGAGCTTGCCAAGCGCCAGAGCAAGAAGGAGAAATAGAGGAGGTTCCAAAACCTTGCGTACCCGCGGTAGATAAGGTACGGTATGTCGAGCGCGTGACGGAGCATGTCTCTGGTGGTGGGGTGTGCATCGAGTAAGTCGGAATAGACGGTCAACTGCATTTGTGTATTCTTCTAGGGGGTTTCTTTCTAGTTTCCAATGAGGTCGTTATGGAGTCCGTCTATGCATCTGAAGCATGTAGTCATAGGGAAATAATCATACCAAACTCATTCCAACCGTGTCACACAGCCCGCGTACTCATTTCTCAAGCATCAAGCTTCAAGCTGGCGAGGCTATCAACATAGTACGCCGGCACAGCCGCCGCGCCCTCCTTCTCCCAATCCTCCTTCTTGTGCACACCGGTCAAGACGGCGAGCGTGCCGCCCAACTTCCCCTCGATACCAAACTTGATATCGGTATCGAGCCGGTCGCCAATCATGCACGTCCGCTCGCGGTTCAGCTGGAACTTCCCCTCGACGGCGTCCATCATGGCCTGCGACGGCTTCCCCAGCGCAACGGGCTGCTGCTGCGCCATGTTGACGAGCGGGATCGAGATGGAGCCCGCGCCCGGGAAGAAAGTGTGCGACATGGGCAGCGTGCTGTCCGTGTTCGTGGCGAGGAAGACGGCGCCGCGGCGGAGGTACTGGTATCCCAACGACAACTTCAGATAGTTGATGTGGAAGTCCAGACCGGCCAGCACGACGCCGACTTGCGGGTCGAGAGCGGAGCCGTCGGCGATGGCGGCAAAGTCCTCCGGAGTGATGTCGCGGCGTAGAGTCGGGTCGGTGCCGCCGATGAAGTCGACGCCCTCGGCGCGGAGCTCGGCTTCGATGCCGGCTTCACCGACGACAAAGACTTTGCGCTTGTCGGCGGGGAGGTCGAGGATGCGGGAGACGTAGACGGCGGAGGAGTAGGCTGAGCCAAAGATGTCTTCCACGTCGGAGGGGATGTCGAGGGCGGCGAATTTCTTGTGGTATTCTTGGCGGGACTTTGTCGAGTTGTTTGTTACGAAGACGGTGCGCTTGCCTGTTGGTGGGGGGAAACGAGCACTCAAGAGGTTAGGGGCCAAAAAAACAGAGATGCGATTTTTGCAGAAAGTTCATGAAAAATGGGGGGTTCAGGGTGAGCAACCTCTTGAGCGAAGGAAGGCGAGCGTCTCGCGGATGCCGTCGAATAGGTGGTCTCCGGACCAGAGGACGCCTGTTTGCAGAGGGGGACAGGACTTGTCAGTTGGTGCTCTGCAGAAGGAAGAAGCGTTTGCTCATCCGGAATGAGGACGATGAGATTTACCATCACAGTCGATGAGAAAGACCTGTATCTCGTGGTCAGTAACCGGCTCATCTCATTTTCTGACTTTCAGGAAACATCGTGAGATTCTCCACTGGTGAAAATGACTCAACGAGGTGGGGGTGTGCTGCTCACGTCAAATTTGTCGAGGAATTCTTGAGTGGCGGCAGAGTCGCCGGTGAGGTATTTGGGCTGCTGTTGTTGAGACATCGTGAACTTTTGGGAGCTTGGTGTTTAGATTTCAACAAAAAAGTATCGCGCTGGGCTAGGTAAGTGAGTATGAGGTGCAGTTCGTTCTAGAGGTTGAGTTTCGGGATGGTGGGACAAGGGTGCGGAAGCGGGTTTCTGGCATGCGGCGCTGATGACGGAGTGGGGGAGTAAGGTCGGACGGCCATCGTCCGATTGGTTCCCGGGGTGCTGACGGGGTGCTGACGGGGTGCTTGGCCTTGCAACTTGCGAGTGACGGCTCTCTGGATGGGGGTCGTTGGCATGCGATTATTGAAATCTGGGGAGAAAAAAGTGAGACTGAGGGGAGATTCAGAAACATGTCTGTAGCTCTCTGGTCTGGATGCAATGGGCCAAGGTCTTGTTTTCCGAGTCTACTAGGTCTTCCATATGTTGAGAAGGGCGGGTGTCGGAATACCTTGAGACAGGAGAGTAGGTACTTAGGAAAGTAGGTGACGCAATACTGACCGGCATCTTATTTTGTCACCCACTTGGTAAGCAATGTTCGATGAGATTTGAGACTTCATCGCCGTGTTGAGCGTTGTGCCCCCCAAGCTGATTTCCCCAGATTTTGTCAGTTGCAGTTGAGACAAGTAGAATGGCTGGCTGGGCTTGTTATTCGCATTCATCTCATATTCTTACATATTCAATTCCGCCCTCACCTCATGTCTGCGAAATCGGACCACTGCAGCATCTAACAATGCAAGCCCGCATTTTTGTCCAGGGACAGTGGCACGGCGCTCACAAGCATTTCAACAAAACGGGGAGCTCCCCATGGGCCGGAATGATTGAGGAATGTAGCTAGGTTGAGATGAGCTTCCTCCAGCATATTCAGCAACGCAAGTCAACCTAGAAGCATCCATGCAACCTGGTGAATGGGATGAATGGAATGCAAGACAACAAGCGCCATGCAAAGCCCGTCCCGCTGCCGGTCGCAGTGGTCGAACGGCCCCCAAGAAGAAAGCAAGCAAACGCGCCGGGTGCGGAGTTTCTGTATTCTGTCGGGCTTGCATTGCGGCTGTGTCAGCACCTCAGCGAATCTGCTGACCTTATGTCTCCATCTGTAATCCCTTTCCTATCGCCTGGGCTTCTGCAAGAACAAAATGCATCTGAGGTATCTGACGACTGATGACCAACGTGAAGCCAGGTGACGTCAGGTGGGGAGCTGTCATCGCATGGAAACAATGAGTCGTTGAACGGGGTGTCCGGGCGTGGTGGCGTCAAGAACGGATTTTTCATGTGCCAATTTTCTTAATTCCCCATCACGTTGCTTTTTTTTTCGGGTGACAAGGGTATCCGTACCGTAAATACGGTAGGCGCCAACGGGTGCATCTGACAGTTCCATTGACGTATGCCGATCTCCTTTAGCAGATTGAATTGACGCGCAATCCGTCAGGCCGTCCGCCGTGTCCGTCTGCCATCCTTAAGTGCCAAGTGCCTGAGATAATAACGTCGAAGCTCCGAAACCTCCGTGGGAGCCGGATAGGATGCCGTCGCAGCTGCACGAGTGCACGGGGGTTCAACTTCAGTGGTGGCAGATCGCAGATTTGTCTAGAACTCTGGATCGGGGGCCATTGTGCCGATCAGCGGCAACGGACCAGAATAAGTGGCGGACCCTGGAAATGTTAGTCCCTGATGATCAATGGATGGAATTCTGCTTGGCTCCGCTGCATGTCTGTCAGTAATGTAACCACCACCTGGAGGCTGGCACAGCGGCTCTCTTCCGTTCGCGACGTCGTTTGAACCTCCGACTACGGCGTCTCATCTGACATCCCAACCCCCGCGGGCTTTCATCCACTCAATCCGAGGCCGAATTGCGTGCGCGGCATGCCATGGGGTCTCGTTCTATTGCTTCCTAAACTGGACCAGGATGAGGAAGTTGTCCGAAGCGGCCGACCGTCACAAGCACAATGCTTCATTCCTCGGGCGGTGTAGGTGAATGGCTGCCTCACCGCTTTCGCATGTTTCACCGACCAGGCAGAGACCCTGGGGAATGAGCGTGGGGTGTCTTGGGTAGCTCACGAGGAGAGGAGTCCAGCTGCAGCATGGTAGAGACCCTCGTCCGGGGAAAGGCACGGATCGTGAGTATTGGCCCTTGGGGGACGTTTGGGTGTGGATGAGGGTGGTTGCTTGGCTGGGCGGCTGACAGGCTGGGCGGCTGACAGGCTGGCCACGTTTGGCGTGGGGAGCTAAGCATGGGAAAGGTCCCGTGTAAGGAAGGTGAAGCAGACAACACGACTAGTACCTACTTTAGACTCAGAGAATGATAGAAAAAAAAAGTTCACTAGTCCAATCCGTCTCTACGGACCCTTCCCGGTTGAAAATTGCAATTCACCGAGGCTGCAGGCACGCCGCACTTCAGGTGATGAACGAGTTTTCATCGCTATTGCCCTTTCGGTCCGTTGCTCCTTCCCCCACGAGAGACACATCAGACACAATCCCGAAAAGAATTGAAAAGAAAAGAAAATCAGTCGTTTGCTTCGGACGGAAGGTATTATAAATCTGCTCCTCCCCGCTCCATCGCCACACACATTCGGACTTTACGGTCACAAGTCACCAGGGACAGCCAATTTTGAACCGAAAGAGCCCCCCATCGAGATTTAACTTTCTTCCCTCGTCACGATCACCCAAGGTTCCCTCGGTCGCCGTCCCCTTTGCACCCAAAAACAGCATTAACAACATTGATACGAGAGCTCTCGTCCGCCCACCTTCAGCATCAACCACATCCACACACCACGGTTCCCTGGCTCGTCCGTACCTTGCTGCCCTTTCTCCATAACCTTGTCCACCTTGGTCCAAATTAATCCCTATTTTCCTCCCACACCCACTCAAAATAGTCCCGCGGAACCTGACTCTTCCCTACGGACCTACGCTATCTTTCTCCACCGGCCCAAACAATCGTCTCATCAGCATTGGACCGAAAAAAGCGGCAAATCAGACCCCACAGGAGACAGCTTTTCGATACCACATATATCAGCAGCCATGGCACCCGTCCCAATTTCTGAAGAGCAACTGCTCAACCTTTCATCCCTCCCAACCTACAACTACACAATGGCTTCTCAGGCACACAACGTCCAGACGCCCGTCACGGGTTCCTCCACCGATGCCTCTGTTCAGGGCGACTACTTCACCTCTATTCAGAGCTCTGCAACCACCTCTTCGCGCACATCCGCCGAGATTCAGGACCGCCCCGTCATCACTCCTGGCGGCACTGTCACAACCTTTGCGGCCCTCCAGAGCAAGAACCCCCTGCCGCCCCTCTCCCGCGACTTCCCCAAGCCTACCACCGAGATCGACGTCGAGGAGGCTCTTTCTCGCAAGCCTGGCCGTTGGACTGTCAGAGGAGCCATTGCCGTCGAGCGACCCGTCCAGGTTGTCGACGAGGAGAAAATCAAGGCCCAGCGCCGCAAGGCCCTTGAGGACGCCAAGAAGGAGCTCTTCGCCTCCAGCGAGGCTCTCAAGAACGTTCCGCTCCCGCCGCGCAAGAACAACTTCTAGGCGACGACGAATGATCACGGCCAAATGGGACAAGACGTCGCTGGCTACGGCAACGGCGACGCATCCCACGAGATACTGCTGGCGACGACGATTGAATTTCAGTGTTCTTGCATTTTCAGTACACTTCGACACACGGCTTGTTCGGCACGCGAACGGACTCGCGTCGGGCACCATGCGCCAGTCGAAGACGATACCCAGGCGTAAAATCGGATTGATGGACGGACGGAGAAAGCACTAGCAGTCTGAGAGGAAGGCAGAGGCGTCGGACATTGGAACATCTGGGCAATCAGTAGCGCACAGAGATGAATGTCTTTGCACCTCACCAAACGGCGTTTCATTCGAGCATGAGCAATTTCTTTATTCTTGGGGTCGCTTGATGAACATGGATAAAAGGGACAGGAAAAGTGACAACGTACTGCGTTTTTGCGGTAATCTGCCGAGTTGTACATACGTGCGATGAGTTAAACCCTAATACACGGCTTCGGCCAACCTAACCAGTCATCCAATTTGCACTCTTACACTATGATACATGGACATGGCCTTAGTCAAGACGCGCTGCTAGCGAGAAGCCGTACTGGATCATGGCGATGAAGCCAGCCAGGTTGATAAGGGTGGAGATGCCGTGCAACTTGCCGAAAGACTTGTTGAGGGCTTGCATCTCCTGAGAATGCGGCGCGGCGTCGTAGCTCTTCTTTCCATCCTTTTTCTCTGCGTCCAATAAGTCAGTACAACTCCTTTCATCCCAAACATCGCCGCCTGAGCAGCTGTCGCCAGTTTCGACTCACCTTGAGCATATCTAGCCTTCATGACCGTCACGGTCTTGGGCAGAACGACGGTGAGGTTGACGAGGCCGGTAAGGAACATTGTGGCGATGGGCAGCAGGGCGGTGTAGCGGTTCGATTCCTGGAGAAGGCCGGTGATGCTGCTGGCTTGCTCGCCGAGGAGGCCGCGGCTGCCCGGGTAGGTGAGGGCCATGAGGGCGGGGAGGGCCGTCTGGATGGTGAAGTAGACGGGGAACAGGGCGTTTTGGGCGGTTGCAAAGGCCGGTCGCTCGAGGACGCGGAACATTGTGATGCCATTCACGAAGGACTTGGTTCGTCCTGTTAGTGGACTCTTGCGGTGGCTGGCGGGCCGATGTGCGAATCGCGGTGGTGACTTACATGGAAGAATGTCGTTCCCAGGAGGGCTCCATAGCTATGTTGAGAATATCAGGTTATCGATGAACGACGACGGATGATCTGACTCGGTGCAACTGAGAGAGGGAATGGGAACGGCTTACGAGATGATGTGGTAGGGACCCGGGGAGAATGCGATGGACTCTGACATGATGGGCAACGGTATTCACTGATGCAAGATATTTGATAATGGAAGGTATCCCACTTGGAGGTGAGGTTAGATGATGAAGAGTGGTTGCATTAATTGAGAAGCTGCAGAATGATGCGGTGCCATCTGGAACGAGCCGCTGGTGAGGAGTACAGGGGTCCCGTTGAATGTATGAGGTCACCTCGGCATAGCTCCATTCCTTGCACCAGGGTTGAAAAAAAGTATACTTAAGTAAGTACTGGGGTATACTAATACTAGCCTAGTTCAGTATTAGTATACTAAAAAATACCAGGCTAGTATTAATATACTAATAGTATAACTAAGTTATTAAAAGTATTATGAATATTACGTAATTGTATAAGTTAACTATAAAAAATTGAGAATAAATTAAAAAAATTAAAAAAATTAAAAAAATCTTTAAAGTATTACGTAATAATTTATTTTTATGATATTTTATATATGATAACGTTATATAAAAATACTAATTAGTATAGTTATTAATAATTACTTAAGTATATTAATACTTTTTGCTCTAGTATTAATACTTATTAATACTAGGCCTAGTACTGATTTTGTTGTACTAATCCTAGACTTACTTAAGTATACTTATACTGGACTAAATACTAGCAGTATTTTTTTCAACCCTGCCTTGCACCAGTGCCAGCTCGGGGTCCTCAAACTTTCGTCCTTGCTTTGCTTGCAAGTCCGATGTCTCGAGTCTACATATGAAGCTGGGTGCACAATGTTTCCTCGTAACTTGACGCTCAATTCGCAAAATCGACTCTCGTTCAAGAAGGCATTTCGAGGTACTGACATGGTTGTGATTGAATCAGGAGCTGACAGTCAAGAGATGATTGATTCGCTGGTCTCTTCCAGTGTCTTATCGCTATCACCACGTGACTTCGTGTTTGCGACGGCCAACCTAGAGCAGCTGTAGCGCGGTACCCCAAGTCGCGCCGGAGCCTGGAGCTCGATGGATCTCATCTGCCTAAACTGAGCCAGGATCTAAGTCAAAGTCTCCGCGCGCCAACATCCTTCTTAAACAAACCCACCATCACCTGCCCAGAATTTCCTCTATATGCTGCAAGACCTGACATTGATCTCAATGCCTTCTCTTTAAAAACTTTCATCCTCAAACCTCTACTTCTTCTAAGCATCCTCAAGATGGCGGACAAGGAGGCGTCAGTCTACATCGTCGACCTCGGGTCCTCCATGGCCGACTGCCACAACGGCCGCACCGAGTCAGACCTGGACTGGAGCATGCGGTACGTATGGGACAAGATCTCAACCACAGTCGCCGCCTCGCGAAAAACATGGACTGTCGGCGTCATCGGCCTCAAGACGGATGAGACCAACAACGCCATGGGAGAAGAAGAGGGATACGGCAACCTTTCAGTCTTGAAGGAGCTCGGCCCAATGACCATGACTTCCCTGAGGGAACTCACGGATGCGGTGAAGCCGAGCAAGACGGACACGGGTGATGCGGTTTCCGCGGTGGTCCTCGCGGTGGACATGATTGAGACGTTTACCAAGAAGCTCAAGTACAAGCGGCGCATCTATCTTATTACCGACGGCATGTCTGAGATTGACGGTGACGATGTCGATTCGATTGCAAAGAAGATTAATCATGATGGAATTGAGCTGATCGTCCTGTGAGTTCATCCATTGCATGAACGTAGACTCCTCACTAACACCCTCCAGGGGCGTGGACTTTGACGATGCAGAGTATGGCTTCAAGGAAGAGGACAAGCCGTCAATCAAGGTCCGATAAATGTTCCTACTCTCTGCCTCATATGACTAACACGTTGTCACAGAAAAACAATGAGGGAATTCTTCAGGATTTTGTCTCAAAATGTGACAATGCTCAATTCGCAACCATTGCAGAGGCCATTGACGAGCTCGACACACCACGCCTCAAACCCGTCAAGCCATACAAGACATACGACGGGCCCCTGACGCTAGGTCTCGCCGATGCTCCAGAGGATCTCAAGATCCCACCCACGCCGGCAGTCATCAACGTCGAGCGCTACTTCAAGACCAAGCAAGCCAAAGCCCCGACCGCCTCCACCGTCGTGGTATCAGCTGAGCCAGGCTCCTCGCAGCAGGTTGAAGGCGGCGACCCCATGGAGGGCGTCGAGTCAACGTCGGCCGGCTTCGCGGCGGTCAAGTCGGCGCGGGCGTACAAGATCAACGACCCGGACGCACCGGGCGGTAAGCGTGATGTCGAGTTTGATTCCCTGGCCAAGGGGTACCAGTACGGCCGCACAGCCGTCGCAATCAGCGAGTCCGAGTGGAACGTCACCAAGCTCGAGACGGTCAAGACGTTTAGCATCATTGGTTTCATTCCCTGCGAAAAGGTATAGTCTTGAGATGAGACACGTTCTTCCCTACGTGCAAATCCCGCCCCTTTTCTTTCTCTAACAAGGAAACCTCCCACCGCAGTACGAGCCATTTCTCAACATGGGCGAGACGTGCGTGACGGTCGGCCGCAAGTTTGACGAAAAGTCGCAGCTCGCGCTGTCCTCCCTGATCCACGCCCTCTACGAGCTCGAGTCCTACGCCGTCGCCCGGCTCGTGGTCAAGGAGAAGAAGGACCCCGTCCTCGTCCTCTTGGCCCCGCGCATCGAGCCAGACATGGAGTGCCTATACGACGTGCCCCTCCCCTTTGCGGAGGATGTTCGCGGATACCAGTTCCCGCCGCTCGACAAGGTCATCACCGTCAGCGGGCAGAAGATCACGGCAAATCACCGATTGCTCCCCGGCGACGAGCTCACAGATGCCATGAGCGACTACGTTGACTCTATGGACCTTGGTACCTTTAGTACCGATGATGATGGGTAAGTCTTCCCAACGTGATATTGTCATTTCAGCATCCGCTAACCCTCTATAATGAAGAAATCCGTCAGAGTACGCTGCCATAGATGACGTGTACAACCCAATCATCCACAGAATCAACCAAGCCATCCGCCAAAGGGCAGTCAATCCCGAAGGCCAGATAGATCCAATCCCACCCATCCTAGTCCGCTACGCCGCGCCCCCAGAAGATCTAGTCGAGAAATCAAAATCCCAAATCGAGGGTCTCATCTCAGCAGCTCAAGTGAAGAAAGGTAAGAACCAACCCCGCCCCCTAACACCCCCCTTTCTCTCTCCTATACTTCTAAGACTCGGTTTCACTAACAACCACGACAGTCCCCCCAAAAGCAAAGGGAAAACGCAAATTCGAACCCTCGAAACCCCTCTCCGGCCTCAACGTAGACGCCCTCCTAAGAACAACATCCAAATCCACCTCCACCAAACGCCCCAAAATCACCCCCGAAAACGCCATCCCGGACCTCAAGCGCGCCCTCGCCCTCGCCGAAGACGAGTCCGAGATCCGCGACGCCGCAAAGCAAATGGCCGCCGTCGTCGCCCAGCTCGTGACGGACAGCTTCGGTGACAGCCAATACGCCCGCGCGTCCGAGAACCTGATCGTCCTACGCCGCGGGCTCGTCGAACTCGAGGAGCCCGGGGTGTATAATGACCTGATTAAAGACCTCAAGAAGAAGATGCTCTCGGGCGAGCTGGGCGGGGATCGGAGGGAGATGTGGTGGCGGGTGAGGACGTCGAGGCTGGGGTTGATTGATCAGGGGACGTCGGAGGTTTCGAATGTTAAGAGTGAAGAGGCTGATGAGGTTTGTCTTCTTTGTTCCCCTTTCTTGGGGGTTGATTTCGTTGAGAGGTCGCGTTTGCTAACTTGAGCTGCAGTTCTTAAAGTCGAAATGAGTGATAGGTCAAATCATAGCGGGCGTTGGGAAAATTGAGATAGTCTACGGGGTATCTAGCGTATGCCCCAAATGAGCAAAAGACTAACTTCTATGCATGCCTGTCTATCTATCCATCTTCCAAAGGTGCTTCTGTGAACGCGTAGAAGAAGAATACTCCTCTACATCCCGGTCCGAGAAGCTTCACTTCGCCTCAGTCCGCTCCTTCTCGGCATTCTCCCACTCCTTGTCAACTCTCTCTCTGACAGCCACACCGAGCATTGCCTGCATGGTGTACGCCGCGTCGTTGCCCGCATTGTGGAGGTTGCTGTGCTCGATGCCGAGGTCAGTCAGCACCATACCCAAGCTCCGGCCCTGCGACTCGCCGCGCCAGGCCTGGTGCATGTCCTTAGAGTCGAGGGTACGGCTCGCGACGCCGCTGATGCCCCAGAGCTCTACGCCCATCTTATCAAGGTATCCGAGATCGGCTCCGAGGTCGTGGCCGAGGAGGACGATGGTGCGGGGGCGCTTGTCGTTGTCGCCGGCGTCCTCTTTGCCGTCAAAGGAGAGATCACTGACGGCGGTGCGGGCCTTGTGACCAAGCTCGCTGAGCTTGGGGTACTCGCTCTTGCTGTTAATCGTTAGTTGACGCTCCTTCTTGAAGAGTGGCATTGAAATGACGTACCCAAAGTTGAAGAGTTCGGGACAACCCTTGATATACTTGCGATTACGGATGTGACGATATTCATCGGTGACGAGATGGCGGTTCTTGATGAACGGAACCCAGTTGCGGCCGTTCTCGCCAGGCGCGACGCCAACGAGGTCATTAGTGTCCAAAATCGAGATGCCAATCTCCAAGACAGTTCCATGGTGGTCCTCGGCGACTTCAACGTCGATGCACACAAAGACCACATTCTGCTCCAGCGCATGAGGGGCCGGCTTGTCCAGCTCGACCTTCTTGTTCTTCCCATCGACATCGCTGGCCTTGGGTCGAAGGCCGAGGTACAGCTGCGCATCGTAGATGGACTCGGCCCGGTTCAGCGCCTTGTCCTGTTTCTTCTTCTTGCTCTTGGTCTTGAGGTCCTTGAAGTTGGCGTGCATGTTGAGCAGCTTCATGAGCGCCTCCATACCAAAGGCAGTGGCGTCGGCGCACGCGTCATCCTCCTCGGCAGGGGGGATCGCGTCGGTGAGGGTGCGGTACTCGTTGTGCGAGGCGGAGCGGGCAATGTACTTGGGTCGGATGGTGCAGCTGGAGCCGAACACGAGATAGAACATCTCGCCTGGCTTACCAGCAGGGACGGTCAGATTCGTCTGGATCGAGGCATTGACGACGTCCAGGAAGTGCTGGAACTGAATCGTCGGGACGAAGATGTAGGGCGACTGATCCAGGGCCTTGGGATGGTAGACGTAAAAGCTGGGAAGTGTTATTTTCTTCTCGTACAGTATGAGCCTGTCGCAATCTAGGTGATCACTTACAAGTCCCACGTCTGCTCCTCGCTTATGGCATCGAAGAAGGGAGTTGCCTATAGCCGGCGTTAGCTAGAGAAACGAGGCATCTTGGCGCAAGCTGCTCACCTTGGGTCGATTGGTCTTGCCGATGAAGCTGAGGGGGTATCTCTGGACGACATCCCACGAGACGAAGGTCGTGTTCTCCGCGGAGAGGTCGCCCGCCTTCATCCCCTTGAACTCGGGGAAGTCTTGCTTCATTAGGGCGTTGAAATCCGCAGGAGCTAATTTCTCAGATTTGGAAGGCTCAAGAGGTGGTCCGATGTAGTGAGGAGTTTTCTTCTCGACTGGCTTGGTGATGGACTTTCCCTGAATTGCTGCTTTCCTGGCTGCAACTTGGCGATCGAGAAGGAGAGGGTCCAGGATAATTTCCTCGGGGACATCTTCCACTTCTTGTGAGGCTCCTTTCTCGAAAAAGATCTCATCGCCAAAGGCCCCGAACAGACGCTCGAGCTGCTCGGCATGGGTGACGGCCATGGTGGAGTTAGTGTACGGAAGTGTAAAGAATGCCGTAGGATGTAGACGGCAAGACAGGTTTGGTAGGTGAATTTCCGAAAGACGGAAGAAGTAATTTGAACTGGCCAGAAAGGATTCTTTTGGTCAAGGATGTATGAGTGAGGCTCACGTGTGAAAGTGAGATTAATGGGGGTTGTTGGGTTGACGAGGGCTGAGTTGAACTTGGCAGAGGTAGAAGGGGAGATCTTTGAGCGTAGGCTCCCTTTTAAAGACAGAAGGCTACAATTAAAGAAGAAGGAGAAAGAGGCAGTGAGATGAGGCACCTTCCCGAACGATACTTCACCATATGGAATACTCAGGAGGATTGTGAAAAACCAAGACGAGGGGATGAAGAGGTATGCGGCAAAACCGAAAAACTTAGATATGAGATGTTCCCTCAAAGATACAGTACTGCGCCCTTTCAAATGCCGCTGCCATGAACATTGGCATGTGGACCCTTCACCTCCATCCGTGGCTTAAACCGGTGGCACCTCCTCCAGCTCCTTGTGGAGCAGCTTTGTTTGGGATGATGAGAATCTCACTTGTGCTCTTTCAGTACGCACGATCTTCTGCCAGAAAAGAGGCATTGAGAGAAATTGGGGGTCTTTGAAGTCAGCGTGTCACTACTGAGAAGGTCTTTGGCAAGCCGCACGCCCTCAACTGTGGAGGATCAAGCAAAGAACAGCTTAACTTCAGTGAGAAGGACTCGATACTTCAACGATGCGTTGGCGGCTGAGTTACCTCTGAGAAAAGAATGACTGAGATGGTTGGACTTTGCAGACAAATCTCAGAGCTTCTCTAGTCTACTTACTGCGATCAGCGGATTGGAAACAAGAACTACCACATTCAATATTCCAAACTACGAACTAAGAAATGTACTCTGAGGCATTCAGCGATCGATCAAATCTCTAGCAGGAAAGAGGTTGAAGCTATCTGAGCGGGACGCTTCTGAGTAGTTATGAACAAGCATGTCGCAGCCCGAGCGTTTGCGAGGTCAAGTGCTTTAATGGTGAAATCATGCTGTGAGTTGATTTAAAGTGGTGAAAGCATCTGGCGGCAAACCCGTAAAAGCATCTCAGCTATTTGGCTTTGGCATGGGTGGGTATATGCATTGGTATGATTGAGATCAGAAACTGATTTGCAGTATAGTCAGATGGCAGTACTTCAGTCTCTTCTTACACCACAACACAACCACAGTTCAACGAACTTGCTTAGTCCCGAATAACTCATCGGCAGTCAAAGCAGCAGCCTGGTACCCAAAATTTTCTGGCGATAGCAATCTCGCATTACATCCGACCAGACAGGCAAAGACAATTCAAGTTGATCCGCTGCTGGTTTCCTCATCTCGAAATGCTTGCATTTGCTTTCAACCTGCTCGTCTTATGCTCTAGAACGCGCTCCTTCATAGGTAGCTCACAGAAGGGAGATATATGCGATATCATAGATAGATGGGAGAGAAGAGAGACGAGAGGGCCTCATGCCATTAAACATAATGTTACAGGGGCCCCGATACCCAAAAGACCAGACCATCCTAGCCCGGCCATACGCGAACCCCCCTCTTTTTAGAACCCCTCTAAGAAGGACCATATCGTCGCCTATAAAACGCCACCGCTATGAAGAACGACCAATGTGTTATTACAATACCATTTCATTACGAGGCTTCGGACAAGGGCATGATGGAGCCCGCCCGCCCATCCGTAGTGAACCATGGCATCTTATTTTTTCCTTCGTATGTTGTTCGTGCTTGTTGTTACATTCCAAATTTCCGGAAACCGATATGATGACGGCTAGTGTCAAGATGTTGTCTTTTCGAGCAGCTCCTTGGCCTCGTTGACCTTGGTCGCGAGGTACGGGCTACCGCCTCGATCGGGATGGTTCATGAGCATCAAGGTGCGATGCTGCTTGCGGATCTTGTCACGAGTGACGCCGCTCTCCCTAGTAACGCATCATGTTAGAGGCTGTTTCTTTTCCTCGACCTTTCCAAACATCGTCTTCCAGGATTTCCGTGCCCGGGGGTAGGGGGGTCATCAGCTTACTGCAGGGACAGAATGAGGCAGGCCTCCTTCTTGTTCATCTTGGGCTCGAAGCCGCCCTTGTAGAAAGCCTTGCCCATCGCGCCCACGCCGCCGCGTGATCGGCGCCATGCGACCAGACCGGCTCGGCCCTGTAGGAAACACTCTTGTGTTAGTCGTGGCTCTTCATTCATTCATGCATCCAAAGGAATGCGCTTTGCTTCTCTCATACCAAGAAAGCTGCGACGGCAGCGCCGCCTCCGATAGCAAGAACAGAAGCCATCGTCGCTGGTATTTCGGTGTTATGTGTCGTCGGTGAGTCGTTGGAAGATGGTGGATGACTGCGGAATAAAGCGGATGGGGTATCGCGAAGGTCTTCGGAGTCGGAGGAGAGCTTTTTTTATTGGGCTACATTCGCCGCCGCTCATAGAGCAAGCCGCGATGCGCCGGTCTTGGTCCGTGCTGAACCGTTTTTCGGAAGACCTGTTGGGCCGCTCCGACAAGCAATTGGAGCTCAAAAGATACTGGATTATGTCAGCAGGACCAAGGGCTCCACCAATCCCGCTGCAATCTTATCGCACCGCAAAGAATCAGTTCCATCACCCCAGCCCCACCACTATCGATAAGCGGTGCCTCTGAGCGGCAGAAGAAAAATTTCTAAAAAACTTTTGGAGGGTGAGGCTTTGATCACCGCCTTCTGAACCCTCCCCATGTGTGTGTTTGGAAGAGTCGTCGAAACCAACACCAACAACCCAACAACCGTGTGACTATTTCCGTGATACCCGTGAAGGTATCAACGCCGTCACAATGAGGTATGTTCTTGTCTATTGTTCCATTGTCTTACATGTCAGCCATTGATCTATGGTTTACCTTTCAATTCCATTGGTTTTGCAAGCTTTCTAACTTCGCGATGCTTCTAGAATCGAGACGTGCTACTTTTGCAGTCGCCCTGCCTACCCCAGCAAGGGCATCACCTTTGTTCGCAATGACTCCAAGGTCTTTCGCTTCTGCCGCAGCAAGTGCCACAAGAACGTACGTCACCAAGTTGTCTTCAACACCTTTGCGAACACGCTCCCCTCGGCCAATGGCTAACCGCCCCTTGGCACTACAGTTCAAGATGAAGCGCAACCCCCGCAAGCTCAAGTGGACAAAGGCCTACCGCGCCTCGGCGCACAAGGAGATGACTGTCGACAGCACCCTCCAGTTCGGCGCGCGGCGCAACGTCCCCGTCCGCTACGACCGCGACCTCGTCGCCAAGACGCTCAAGGCCATGGATCGCGTCTCCGAGATCCGGTCCCGCCGCGAGCGCGTCTTTTACAAGAAGCGCATGCAAGGCAAGCGCGAGCGCGAGATCGCCGCCGCCCGCAAGCTCGTCGCCGAGAACGAGCACCTGCTGCCCCGCATGCGCGGCTCCGAGAAGAAGAGGCTCGCCGCCGAGGGCGCCACCGAGGAGGAGATTGCGGCGCTCGAGGCCGAGGGCCGCTTGGCCAAGAGCAAGGCCGGCAAGGTGTTTGGTCGCGAGAAGATTCGCCAGCGGGTCACTGTCGACGGCGACGTTGTTGAGGAGCGCGAGGGCGGCGTCATGCAGGAGGACGATGGCGAGTGGGACGACGAGGATGCGGAGGAGGATGATGATGACGAGGACGGCGATGTCGACATGGAGGATTGAGTGTGACGGCGACGACGAGGGACGTTCTTTTGTCACGTCTTTCTTTTAACGAACCGACCAAAAGGAGAGGAGGGGGCCGTTCCCTTCCCCCCCATCGAAGGAAAGGAGAAGACGGAAAAAAAAGAAAAAGCCAACAAAACGGACGAAGAGAAAGAAAGAACAAAATGCTAATCGAATGGACCTCTCTCTCCGCTCTCCTACTGCGGAGACAAGAGTTGATTTTGGGGGGGCATTGTTTTTTTTATACACGGGCGTTCAGGGATACAAAAGGGCGATTTAGCATCGACGGCGTTTGGTGGCTCTGAGAAGGAATACCACAAAAAGTTATCCAAGGTCCAGATTGATTCAGATCGGTTCCTCCGTCATCTCAGTCGCCACCTTTCCTCCCGTCTCGTGGATGCCGTATCCTCTCGATCCGTGTCGTCTGAAATAGCCATCCGGATGCACCCCGCGATCTCGGGGGTATCGGACATTGTCTGGAGTGAATCAACGGCATGCTAACAGAACGCGCGCCATCATGTTGTTGCCGCGCCCCCTTTTTCACAAAAGGAGCAAGCGAACTAGACATAGCGAATGCAGGCTTACAAACTGTCAAATCTCCTACATGCCGTCAAAATATGCAAGTGAATACGCTCAAGATGAGCGTTGCGGGTATCAATGCCTTTTGAAATGTTATACAAACGAAACCCCCTAACTCCAGGTATCCCTCAATCCCATTCACGGCAGTAGCATGCCGTGGTAACGTACACACCAGTCCGGGTGTTATGCTTTCAAGCACCCTCCTCTTCCTTCTTGGTAGTGTGGTGAAAGGCCTTGGGCGGCATGGGCAGACCAGCCTCGACATCCTCAATAATCTTCTTCTCGAGCGCCTCTTTGCGCTTCACCTCCTCCTCGGTCGCCTCAGCACCAGGTACGCTACCCGTGTAATTGCCGGCGCCGCCGCGGCCAGAAGCGCCCCTCGTCGCCGACCGCGCAATGCTAGCATTCACTGCCGCCTGTGTCTTGCTCGCGAGCTCCTCTTGTTGTTTGGTGCCGGGCAGAGAGGTCGGGTCTACGTAGTTGCCCGAACCTCCTCGTCCCGCGCGCACGTACCCGCTCGAGGTCGGTGATGTCGAGGAAGCGGCGACGTCGGTTGACCTTTGGGCTTCGATGTCCTGTTGTCGTGGGCATTTTCAGTCAGCCAAACGTTCCTCTTGAGAAGGACGGTCCGATTTTGCGCATTACCTCTGGCCTCGCCGTCTCGGCATCGTCCACGTCCTTTTTCGAGAAGAAGTTTCCTGAGCCTCCTCTCCCTACCTTACGGAATACGTCGGACATGGTGGTCGTCGCCCAGGGGTCCTGGAGCTTGATGCTGCAGACGAGATGAATTTCGTGGTGCGGCTGGGTCTGTCTGAATGATACAGACAATTCGAGCAATTTGTGAGTCGACTAATGCGGAACAACGGGTACGAAACAGTCGAAAACGTGAATGGAACCATACGGAAATGTGAAAAGGAGATCAAAAATGCTGCCTGGTATCGCTGGGCAAATGGTTCAATAAGAAAAAGTGACGTTCGGTTTTGGTGTAATTGGCACTCCCTATCGGCTAGCCACTTGCATAGTGTGGCGCCGCGGGGTTAATCAAAGCTGCGCGGGATGGGTCCCAACACCACTTTATCGGTGTCCGCAGTCGGGCTTCCGAGGGACAGATTCATTCCAGTCTATCGACAACAGACATTCCTGACCGTCAGGTTGCTGTGCGCCGGATGCCTCGAGTCTTCAGGAGCATGGGCGGAATGTTTCTCGTATGGCTCCCTTTATGGCAATATATTCCCTCGGACACAACGCGTGCGGCTCAACAAGGGGAAAAGAAAAGCTCACGTAACGCAGCACTCGCTTGTCGATCGCTGCATCCGGACATGTCCTGCCCTTCACTCATCCTGGATCTTCCATGTGCTGCTGTCAAGGGATAATTCTGCTCGGCTTCGGGCAGATTCAGAGAGAGATCGACAGGCACGTCGACCAGGACCCATGACTTTTCAGTCTTCAACAATAGCAACGCCTTGGGGGAAACACCTTTGACGCATCTTCATCGCCGGACCGAGACGAGTGCTTTGCAAAATCCCAAGCTGACAGTTATCCCCGAAGGTGGCTGCTGCGAGACTTTCCCATTGCAGCTCTCGCAATGAGCTCTACCACCTTAGGCAATCCAAGGGTCCAACCCCTCTCTTTCCAGTCTCTTTGTGTGAAGGGGGAGCGGAACGCACGGGAGCGGCAGCACCAAAAACCTTCTCCCGATCCCCGATGAACCTGCCGTACGGTTTGGCGCTCTCCATTCATACAAAGAGAAAAGAGGTCCAAACCAAGGAAATAGCATCATCCCACGTGGAATGCCTTAACTGACGCAGGTACGCTGGAAATCGGACTGGCAAAAGCAAAACCGCGAGCCCTTTGGCTGGAGCTGTCGTGGGCGCCCTCCATACGTCTTCCCAATGATAACGAGCCCCCCAAGTCTAGGTATCCGTGGAGAGATACTTGACAGTACGAATGTGTACCTACCTGTGTAGTATCCACTCTCGCAGACAGGGTTTCTGATAGCGACACGCATCCGACGGAGACTGGAGGGGTGATGTGCAGCTGCGGCAAGAGGGGCGAGCTGGCCAGACGCGCTGATCATCCTAGTCCATTTGTGAAAGTGGCATCCACAGGTGTCTCCGATGTTCTTCTGTTCTCGTCACGACGGCGCGGGGATGACAACGTAGCAGATAACATGCTGGGCCGTTTCCAAGACGAGCTGATGTGATAAATCCCGGGCATCCGTATCTTGGTGGAAAGATAGGGAAAAGGTGAAATCCCATACTCACGTAAGACCCTAAGACCGTAAGACGGGGCGCAGCGCAACTCTGTCCTTTTTGCGCTCAGTCCTATGACCCGCGAGAACAGGCATCTGCCTGTTCTCCGTGTCTCGATTCTTTCAAGACGCGAGGTCGGCCGCGAAGCTGTCACCTCACCTGGTAAACCTTATCTCCCTCGCGTGCAGGGTTGCGCCTTTCCAGAGAGTCCGCCGGCACAACCGTTTTGTGAAATTGTGCGGCCGGCGACGATCGGCGGGGGCTGTTGCCTCGATGGGAGAGCTTTTATGCATGGAGAAACCAGCTTCGGGATGGCATGGCACTGTTCGGAGAGTGAGGGGTGCAGCTGCAATGGAACAGGGCAGGACCCTGGCACACTTTGTCTCAACTGCCCTACTGCCGTGCTGCTGAAGTTTTGGGAGCAATCGACGATTTGGCTCGGTGGCTCCCTTTCAACCCGCTCGATGTGCTAGGACAGCCCTGTAACAGTGAAAGGCCGTAGTGTGATAAAGTTGGCGATCGACAACACGTTGACAATTTCGCGGTGGAGTTGCCATTGGGGCGTTGCCCTTAGTGTGTTTTTGTTCTGCGCAAACCAGCTTCAGAGTCTGAAAAGAATACGGAGTAATCGGAGTGTGCGCCGATGCGCTTGAATCCTATGATTTGTCGAAGGACAATGTTGGGAGAATGCTTGGCTGTACCTGGCCGTCTTGTGGGAACCCTTGGTCGATCACGGATCAAGGGTATAGGGCACGACTTCTTGCGTTAATCAGACGCGGATGAAGTCGACGTCGAAATGCGACGATGAACAGTTGTCCTCTTCAGTTGACAACCAACATGGCATCCCCATACTGTGTTTGTCGTAGAATATGGACTATGCCTCCCCAGTCTGGTCGAAAGTCATTTGGCATGGGTTACACAGCATTGTTAGCTGCCGTCGATTATTGGTCGGGTCGTTGAACAATGTCTCTTCCATCTCTAGTTCTCTCAGCGGAACAACAACGTGACCAGTGTTTCCGAGAGCCTTACGTACAAGAAGCAAACTCCCGCATGTTGCTTTCAAGAGTTGAGCTCTCAAGCAACTTGGCATCGGTTTTGGACAACTTTCAGTGACGTCCAATTCCAAAGAGCAAGTCTCACTAGTTGCGTTAGGTATCTAGGTAGTCCCCTAGACACTGGTTGCAGTCGATTCCGTTCAGTTGGTCACCTTGAATGGTAATGGGCGTAAAACCCGGTGAAGTGGTTTGAGACTATCAAAGAATCAAGATGTGAAGCAGAGGAGGGGGCGGGTGGCTGGCCTAGAGGCACATAGCCAGCCTGGCGTTACGGGGAATCCCAGAGTCCAAATTGATGGCAAAAGAACATGTTCGCGTTCTGTTGTTCCCGAGACAAGAGCGGCTAGTCGACGTTGGGAAATCACCGAAGACATAGGTACCAACGGCAGAACCCGAGAAGACATTTTGCATGCGTTCAAAGCGTCACTTTTGGCAACTGAAACTCTCTGATCTCCCAGGCCTAGATTTGTAAAGCTGCGCCCAGTGACGTACTAGTTGCATGCTGGAGATAGGTAATACAGTAGGAAGGCGAGGTTGGCTGTAACCAAGATTCGGGCAGAGCGTGCATCGTGTCTTTCTCGCGTGCGGTGTGGCTTGTCCATCTCCGGACATTGGCGAGTACATTGATGTTGGAGGACAACTCCGCTGACGATATCTAGACTGCGTTACCAATAGCCCAGGCTGAGCAATGGCAACTACTGTGTAGGCAATAGCGTCAAGTGGCAAGGGCATCCCATTCTGGCCGGTCAGAGCAAGAGGAGGCAGCATAAGCGACGGTCTGCGTCGGGGAGCGCAATAATGACGGGGTGGACGACGTTCCGCCAGAGGCATGAGAATCCACCCGACTTGCCCAGAGCAGAAGCCCGCATGGCGCCCGATGAAGGAGGGAGGGGGCAGCTGACCGTCCCGAATTGAAATGGCGGCCCCCCTAGCACGGCGTGAGGGAGACGGAGACGAGGCCGGGCCCAGGACTGACCGTCTGACCGATTTCCTGGTCAACAGCTGGGCTCTATCAGATTCCAGCGGATTGCCGGTCAGCGGAAGGTCGAGAGAGCGAGTCTGTTGTAAGAGACGGCCGACGGCGAAGGGGGTAACTGGTGTTTCCGTGCTGCGAAAAGCGCAGTAGGCCGGGCCGGAAAGGAAAAGCTGTTTGATCGGGTTCGCGTTGCTCTCACGCCGCCTCAGCCAACTTCAGGCCAGGTAGACTGTCCGTCTCAGTGGACGAGTCCTGTGATTAGTGGTCACTAGGAGGGGGCCTGTATTTGGTCAGAAGGTGGTAAGCTGGTGGTGGGGAAGCCCCAGGCGTAGGTTATGGTCGTGATGTCCGGCTCAGGCGCAGATGATTGAGAGAACGTTTCGCTGGGGTGTCTGGTTAGTGTGGAGCAAGATTGAAGAGGACAAGGAGTGCGAGAGGGGGAGGGGGAGGGAAGGGGGAGGTGGACAGGGGATGGGGGTGGTGTTATCGTCAACTTACTGTGTGTGGTGAAGTAGACCGTAGTGGTGGTGGTGGCTCTCCATCGTCGCAATCCGTTGATGGTCGTAGCACGTCTCCAAAACGGACACGAGAGCTTGAACGGCACGGTGTAGGGTTTTGTTTGTCCGATGTTCTGCCTGTCGTTTCCCATCTGCTTTGGCCGTGGTCCTTTACATCCTTTCACGGATTGAAGCCGCAGCTGTTGCCCCTGAGTTGACAAAGAATTGAACTCATGCTTGTTCCGCGCTCGGAGCAAACTACGTCACTGGTTGAGATACGGATGGATTGGGGCTTTCCCAGGAACGTGACTGACCAGGGCACTGTCCCCACTGTGTATTTGTCACAGAATTGTGCAGGCAGCTCTACAGTGCGTAGTGAAGTGTCACTGTCCAGGGAGAAGATGCAGAGATACGTACCTCGCCCGGGGTTAGGGGGTGCTTACCTAAGGCTGCACTGTGTACCTGCGTTGTTTCCCAGCACCAACATGAAGGAAGTTGTACCTGCCTCGTTGCCCGCACCCAACGACTTGTCAACCCAACAACGCCGTCGAAGAGCTGTCTCCTGCTTGGCTTCCGTGTGATCAACGATCAGCAGAACCGTCCTTCGGGGATTTCTTTTATTTTTGTTCTTCATCATTTCTTTTCCTTCGTCCTTGTATGTATCTGTACTTGCTACCTATTCCTCGAAGTTCCTTGCCCCTCGCGCTTCTCTGCATCGACTAGCATGCAGCTCCAATGAAGAAACAACAGGTTTATGGCAACGTCGGTTGTGAACTCGCTCCGGAGTATCATGTACTAAGGTTCTCGCGCAGTGTTCCCCAAGCTTGCCGTTGACAACCCCCTCATGGTCTCGCTCATTCGACCAACGCACAGCGCATTGCGCACAGCTCACACAGCTCACAACCTTGAAGCTCGCACAACACAACTTTGGCATGACCTGGCAAAGCAATGCGAAGCTACTGCCTTCTCCCCCGCGTGCGAACTTCCGTTCCTGATCCGATGGAAACCACCTTCTCCAGTTAAACAACACCAGAGGCAGCCAATGCTCTTTCTGTCTCTCTCTCCGCCTTATGCCCCAACGCCCCAACCTGATGCTCACAGCTCCAGTTCTATGGCCCGGGAGCAGTCGCCTGTCCTCCCGCCTGCCTCTATGGAGCCTCCACGTTAGGGGAGTAAGGTAGAGCTGTCGTGGGGTGCGACGCAACTTTGAACCTGGCAATCCGCCGAAACATGCCACTTGCAGTCGATAGGCCTCTCGCTTCCGACCAAGACACGACATTCTTTACAACTCATTGGAGCCTTGTTGTCTCAATCATTCCACATCGTTACCTCGCGAACAGAGAACTCCGAAGAAGAGAAGCAGAAAAAAAAAGATTTGGCGGTCACCAGACTAGCAAGGTCCCGACAAGTCTTCAGACGACTACCTACAAAGTATCCGTACGGGATCAAGGGAACAAGACAATCAGAGAAATAATTAGGCACTCGAGCCAAACTAAGCCACCCTGGCCCAGCTAGGGACCAAGGCACGAGTCCATCTGTGTTGGTGTGCTCCGTACGGGCGAGGCGTTTACCAACAAAGGCCGCGTTTCTTTGAGCGTCTCTCTTGTTGGCTTAGTCGTCTGGCATAGATCCCGGGGCAGAATTACTCCCATATCACACACCTCCACCGTATATCGTCATGTATGCGCCTATTTCAAGGATCCGGATCATCCAAGTTCAGAGCAACGAGAACAACCGACGAGCGGCAACAGCAACAGCGCCTGCGAGCACTCGAGAGTCGAGAATAAAAGTGCCATACATAAAATTGCTATTTACGAATGTGCAACTCAAGCACGCTATCGGCCCTGGCCATCAATGGGTCTGGGCTCTGGGACGAAGGACGAGGGCTATGGGTTACTGGGATGGATCCATGGGTTCCGTTCACCCCTCCCCCAGTGACCTTTCCCCGCCGCACCGGCGCCTTACGGACACGTCCATCGCTCGGGAGGCCGACCATCGCTCGCCCATTGCCAAAGGACGACCACGGGCCATGCTCCATGCTCCTTGTTCCTGGCGCCCGTCCGCTGCGCTCACGGTCATGTCCACTTCCACCTCCGACCACCTGAGAAGTACATGCCAGCGTATCTTGGCCCGGTTGCACACTGTGGGACACGGGGAAGGGGACAAGAGAGAGAGTGAAGGTGGAAAGATACAACAGAGACGGGGGGAGAGAGAGAAAGAGAGAGAGGGCAGCCAGCCAGCCAACCAGTCACCTTCCCTCGCCCAGCTGCGCCGCGCACCTCACCCTCACTTCCAACGCCAAAACCTACGCCCCCTTTTTCTCAGCTCACACCCAGCCCCACCCGCCCTCTCTTCTTTCTCTCCTCTGCCACTTTCTCCTTCTTTCCCGCCGGCCAGCGTCGTCGCTCTCTGCGCTCTGCGAGTTGAAGGTGGGAGGGGGAGTGTGTGAGTGAGTCTGGTCTGGTCTGGTCCTGGACTCCTGCTGCGGTACGGTCTCCTCCCCCTCCCCTCCCTCCTCCTTCTGGCTCCTTCATCCTAGCGACCTGGTGGTGCAATACGACCAATGAAGGCTGATGCTCGTCCCCGACCAGCGCTTCTCTTCCATTTCTTTCTGGCAACTTGTTGGAAAGGACCGTCTGGACTGTTTCGCCCATTGCTGGACTTTTTGGATCCTCTTCCAAACGCACTCTGTCTCGAGCCCACAACTTTTTCTTCTCACTTCAGCTACACCTCGATTCAAAGCACAGCATTCAAGCGGAAGGGTAAAAAAAAGTTGAATCCGGCCTGGACCTCGACAGCCCTGTTGATCATCAGTCGACTAACCCCAAGGCATCCTGACCGTTCAACACCACCACCACCACCACACTCACCACATGCTGTCGGCTGGTCCAGCTCGGAGCTACTAGGTACACCCGCCCACAGACACACCCCTGCCGAATTGCTGCTCCTCCCCAAAATAATATTATTTCTCGCCCGGAGGCTTGTCTTTGCGACTCACTTTCTACCTATCCATTTGCCTACCACCGTCGAACAATAACACACGATACCACCGCGTCTACAGATCACTACACTTTCACGATACTCTAGCAAGGGACAAAGTGTTCGACACTCGTTGTCGAACCTGATTAGCATCGGCAGTTGGCAATGGCCTCTTCAAAGGTATGCCCGGAATCGGGATTCCAACCCATGCCCTGCCCTGCTTGGCTCGCTCCCAACACGCATCTCAACCCAGTTTTGCTGATCACTTCATCCTCGTCCAGGAAATGCAGCAGACCACAAGGCCATTGAACCAACACCGTCCTTCACTATCAACTGCTTCCTCTTCCGGACTTACCACACGACAATCCCACTCCCGTACCAACTCCCACTCCATCCTGAGCGGCGCTCTCAATGCCAACCACCGTGTGACTCGCCGCAAGTCCATGACAAACACCGCCGCGAATGCGGCGGCCATGGCAGCGGCAATCAAGGAAGTGGGCGGCGACAAGGTCACGCCCATTGCCGTCAGCTCTCGTAGGAACACGGCCTCAAAGAGTGCTGCAGCCCGCGCCGCAATCATCGGGAGTCTTCCCTCGCCCCCAGCGAGTCTGCCGACGCATAAATTCCTCTTGGACGGCAAGACAGAAATCCACGAGAGCGCCATTGAGGATGACCCAATTAACGGGTCAGCCGATGAAGGCGATGATAACGCTCAGAAGGCTCGTATTCGTCGCGCCAGCGATGGTCAGCCTCTCGTAAAAGAGGGCAGAAAGTTCAACCGCATCGAGCTCAAGTGCGAGACCTGCGGAAAGGGATACAAGCACAGCAGTTGCCTGACCAAGCATTTGTTCGTTTCCCTTCCCCTTTCCCGATCCCCATATTCCATTCCAAATATTGTAGCCCGGGTTTCGAGACCTGCATGCTGGATTCCCCATATTAGAACTAGTCGGGCAGTTTGTTGACTCATTTCTGGTCAGGTGGGAACACACTCCCGAGTGGTCCTTGACTTCCAAGCTGCTTATTTCTAAGCATCAGCAAGTCCAGCTCCTCGAGGCTGCCTCTGTCTTGTTAACCATGAACCACAAGGAAGAGGGTGATGCGGCGACGCCCCCGGATTCCGCCAAGGACTTCCCTAGTGACCAAGAAGAGTCGACTTCTCCCGCTGCTTCTGGATATTCAGACGAGCGACACAGCTCTGCCGATACCACCCCACCTCCTCAATTGGAGGGATTCTCGTCGTCGGATCGTTCGTTCGCGAAGCGTTATGGATCCGGAAGTGGATTCGGTCGATCATACCAGTCGGCGCCTTCCATCAATCCTCTCGTGACAGGCAGCATGCCCCGTGGATCAGGATTTTCTTCACACTTCCGTCAAACCAGCCAGGACCAACGACCGCCGTCGTCAGGAAGAAATGCCACCGGACAAGAAGATCAGGATTTGGCAGCCGCGGTTGAGCTTCTGAGTTGCAGCTTCAACAGCAACAACGGAAGAACAGTGCAGCTTCCAGCAGACGCCCCTCCGGTGCCTCCGCTACCGGCGCAATATCTCGATCAAGCGGCATCCTTCTCGAGTGCTGGATTCAGCGCAGGTTTCAGTGCCGGATTCCTGAACAGCTTCCCTAGCAGGCAGCCAGAGAGCTTCACAAGAGGCGAGGTCCGCGGCTCTGATGTCAAGATGGAAGACAGCGACAGCGTGATGGACGATGATGACTTTGACCGCCGATCTCGATCTCGAAGCGACGAAGATGACGACGGCGTCTTCGGACGTATGGAGGAATAGCGAAACTCCGTTCCACGATTGATGCCGACGATATCTGAGGATATGAGTACATAACGAAGAGGGAAAGTGAGGGGAGGATGTGTTTCTTTTGTACCACCATATACTAAACCCTGTAAATGAGGTGGTTCTGTCTCCGCCGCCGATCTCTCAGCACCAAGGAGTGGAGGGCCCGATCTTGCATCATGGTCTGTCTAAGCAAGGCAGGTCGATAGGATGGGATCGAGATTGCATCTCCACGAGGTTAAAGTGAGAGATGGGGAGGGCGTCGAGCGAAAGCCCAAAGCTATCACGCTGATGGTCATGACGAGACAAACGAGTGCGATGCCCAAGATTGGCCGCGACGCTCCGTGTTCGGTATGAAGCCAGCATAACGAAATGAAAATGAAAAAGATTAAAAAGTTAAAAAAGACTGGTTGATATTTGCCGCTGGTGACTTGCATGGCCCCTTATCTGAATGAACAACAAGACTCAATGTAATGATGGCGACGAGGTACGTGGGCTTGGAGCGTGGCTAATGTTTACCAACGATGATGGCTGGATTGACGAGACAAGCTGGATGATGGTTGGTGTGTTGGAACGCCAGCAGCAACCTTAACCAGGCACACCCGGAGCTTTGCTCCCGAAAGGCGAAGATTTGCATGTGAGGTCATCAAGCTTTGAAGATCACACAGACAAGACAGACACCAAGCAGAGCAAACAGGGAGGCAAAGGTAAGGTAATAGGTTGGAGCAAGGCCAATTTTTGACAAGGTACAGATAGCAAACAGCCTCCCAAAACTTGAAAAGCGTGGGAGGGGTTTGCATGTATTAAATATTTCTAGAGCGGAAGGGGATGATGGAGAATTTTGCATCGAAGAGAAAAATGAAAACAAAAGAGAGGGAAAAAAAAATCGATGGAAGAAAAAGTCTGCAATTACGGATCATGGACGGAGCCAGTAGAAAATATCCATCCTTGGGAGCCCGCTCACAGTGGAGTTTTCCCGTTTACTGGGCGGGCTGCTGAGGCACGGCGGCGGTCGTTTTGGTGGCCGGCGGTGTGGGGAAGGAACTGGAGGCAGGAGGACCTCTTGGTGGCTCCTTCGGTTGATTTTGCCCACTGTCGGACCACACAGCGTGACAGCTTACCTCACCACCTTCCGTGAGCTGCTGTTACCCCAGCGACGTCACCTTTACCCGTCCGGACAGCTTCTTTCTCCACTCGGCATCATAGGCCACTGTCCACAACAGCTGCCCGGGGCGGAAAAAACGTACAGGTCTCACATTTTCTTTCCTCTTTGCCCAGTTTGATCTCATCGTGTCGCAAACCGCACATCGCAAACGGCTGCTGCTGTTACTACTCATTTGCCCTACAGCCTAGCTACCCTCATTTTTTTCTCGCTCTACCCCTCTCGTACATCTGCAGGTAGCGCATCGCCAATTCCGATTTCAAGGTTCTCAACTACGAACAACAAAACACGTTGCTTCTTCCATCAATACTCACACACGCGCACGCAAGATGCCTACATTAAGACGCAGAAGAGAGGCCTCGCGCCCCGTCGAGGAGCCCGAGATCGACGAGACGACGTCCAACGCGATCGAGCCTATCGCGAGCCACCTCGAGCGGCTCGACACTGCACCCGACGGCACGGTCGAGGCACTGGCTGTTGTCAACGACGCGACAGAGGTGGCGGCAGCAAAGGAGACAGAGGCCCTCCAGATCAGCGAGAGAGATCGCGATCACCAGCACCCGCGGAAGCAGCGATCGCACCTGCCAAAGGCGCTGCAGTTCCCGCTCGTTACGGTCTTGAGCTTTAGCATCTCAAGTCTGTGCTACAGCTTTCTCAGCGAGTGGAGCCGTGGGGAGCTGGCGGGAATTTCAAAGAGCTTGGATACCTGGGGCGAAGTTGCGACTTTGGCTGGATGGCGCATGTGAGTTGCCTTGTGAATCCCGGGGTGATCTTTCAAGGAGGATCGCTCGAGGACTGTGCAGGAAATGGCATTTTTGCTGACAATCGCGTCTTCGTGTAGATTCGAGCTTGCCCTTGGCTGGTTCGGCAACTTTGACAGCTACGATCTCGCTGCGCTCAACCTGCTCGCGCATGGCCCGCCGGTACGTTTTGCTCCGACGAGGAATGATGATGACACCAGGCTTGGGTCAGTCAACTGCAGCTTTTTGCTAACATGCATTCTGCATCTAGGTCTACCTTATCGCTACCTTCTACAACATCAGCACCGCCACCGCCATCTCGGCTCTAGGCATTGAGATGCTGTCCACCTTCCTGCCCTTCCAGCTCCTGAGGCCTTTGTCGGGCGCGCACGCCGGCGCTAAGAACGTCGCCAACCGCGAGATCCTCACCGACATCCCGATCCAGATCTACACCACTATACTGTCGGCAGCCATCTACAGCCTCACCCTGTTCACTGCTTACAAGACCTACCTGCCCACCACCCTCGTGGTCTACTTCCAGGGGCTGCCGAGCCTTGCACCTGCCTACACCACCAACTTCCTTGCTACGCTGCCCGTGACAGTTGCGTTTGGCGTTGCAGCAAAGTCTTTCATCTTCACGCCCTTCGTCGCTACTGGCGAGACCTCCGCGGACGAGAAGCTCGCCGAATTTGACCCTGCGACGGCCACGCTTGGCGAGACTCTGGCGTGGAACATTTGGGGCTACACAACGCGGGCAAAGGTTGTCATCCTGCGAACCTTTGTCGCCATGGTCGTCACGGGTGTCAATACCTATCTGCAGACCTTCATGACCGTCAACGGCGTCGAGTCGTATGGTGCGACTGCTTACTCCGGCGCCTGGGTCGCCGCGGCATTCTTCACCGGCATCGGTCTTGCATTTGTCGGTGGTGGAGACTCATGAGCGGGGATTGGGGAATGTATACCTTGCTTTGCCTCGTGACCAAGGCAAATTCTACCTTGGCGAGGCGAACAGCAGATGCTGACGGTCCAAGAAGAGGAGTTTTTGGGGCTTTTCGAGGCCAAGGGCGGTCTCTTTCTTTTTTTGTGCTTTTCGGGGAACTTTGCGCAGCCTTGGAAACGAGAGGGAAGTTGCTTCCTTGGAGGGGCGATGATGCACATCGAAAGGTTGTTGCTGCAGCTGCATTGCCCGGTGATCCATCCAAGTCGATGTATACCAATCTTTTGCGTCCTTTTTTTTGTCCATGTCTCGAGTAGTGTACATCTTTTAGTCTTCCTATTCTCGTGCGTCTTGTCTATCTAGCGATATCCTAACGGTGATACGTCCAGCGAGACTTACCTATCAAAGACACGTTCAAGCCAATATCGCAGGTGACGAAAATCAGTGACGTGATGGTTCGTGATGTTCACTTTGACTGCATATGCCTAAAAATGGCACACATATCTAATACACTCGTGACCATCAACAAGGTAAACCCCCCCCCCCCCCCCCCCCGCGTTCCACCCCTCTAGGTTACCCCCTTGCCCAAAAGTCAGCCTCGCCTGGACAATAGAATCGAGGAGCTAGTCCCAATCAATCGGCTTCGTGCAGGAAGCTAGCGGAATTTGTTTCGTTTCCTTGTCTTGGATTTTTCTTGGGACGGATACAGGGGGGAGGGAGGGAGAGGCTGTCTTGATGTCTCTGGTGAGTGGTCAGGTTAGCCGACGTAGGGCTGAAAAGGTGGGGGTAGGGAAAGGTAGGAATGACGGAGGTTCGGTCAGAAAAAGCAGGATATTGGGATGTTGGATTACCAATGCGGTTCGGCGAACCTGAAGCGTGGGTTGATGAGCCTGTACCGTGTAGGCTGGGTTATCATTCTCCAGCTTGTTAGGGGTTTTATCTTGCCTGCGCAGCTGATGGAGAATGTTCTCCTGGAGCTGGGCAAGCTGGGGTTACGGATCATACGGGACAGGCACATTGATGTGAGGTTGTCTCAAGTGAGGCGGACAAATAATATGCAAGCCTCGAGCAGAGCGCGGTGGCTAGGCGCAAAATGCAGGCGCAGGGTTGCAAGGTGCAGGTTGCAGGGTGGATATGGCAAAGGAGGATTCCCAGGTTCCTGGTTTGAGGGTGTCACGGTTGTTGTCGGTGGTGGAACTGGTGGAACTGGTGGAACTAGGGACGTGAATATCCATCCTTCCTCCCAAGTGAGGCCTCGGAAGCTCGGGCTTTGAAAGATTTCGTCAATGACATCCCATGAACGATCTCTCTCCGGGATTCCTGATTGGGGTGATTTGCGCCAGGGCTAGTTGGGATGTTGGGTTTGGCGAACCATACCGAGGGGATTATCGACCGGGGTGTCGTCGCCTCTTGTGTTCTTAGGATACCAGTGTTTCTCAAGGCAGTTTTCGGTCACTTTTTATTCTTGCTTTTTTTTTCACATTGGGGTGGAAGAGAGGGGGGGGACGGCAAACGGGTGACGGGTTTCAACTGAGACAGTGAGACATTGAAAAAAGCGTGACTCTCAAATGGGCATCTTGTCTGTGTCTTTTTTCTTGCCTTTTTTTTTCTTTTCTTCAGAACCACCTTGGCTTTGCTTTGCTCGCCTGCTCGCCTGCGGCACACATCCTCTATCTTGTATCTGCACGTATGTGAATTCGGACTCACTGCATTTGCATGCATGCCGCCGCCGCGCCTAGGTGAGGTAGATCAGGGCTTTTTCGGGTCTGCTTGTGCCCGGACGCAGGGCGGCAGGGCGGCAAGGTCAAGGTCAGACCTTTGTTCGTGCGTCGTTGTTGTACCGTAGCATTGCGGCTGGAGCTGGGAAGCTGGGAAGCTGGCAAGCTGGGGGGGGGGGGGGGGGGGGGGAATGAGCGAATGGGCAAATGAATCATCGACATTCGTATGGACGGTCACGGCGATTTTAGGCTGCCGCCCTGGACGACGACGTGAAAGAGAAGGGGAAATATTGCCTGCTTGACTAATATGCCGTACCTTGACGCGGCTGTTCGGGTGTGTGGGTGTGGGTGCGAGTGTGGGGGGTTGGGTATCGGGGGGGATGGGGATTTACCGGGAAACGACGATCAGTAGATCAGCTCTTTGGATTATATCACTTTTTGAGCAGGGGTAAAAGGAGGCACGGAGGATGGAGTTTGCCGAACCTATCTAGGGCGAAAAGGAGGAGGGGAGGGACTTGGTGTTCAGGCACCGCGGGGAGGCATCGTCGTAGACTCGTATCGTTCGCCATTTTTTCTTGCTTGAGTGACGGTGGTGGACCGGGGGCGTGGAAGAGTTCACTTTTTGCAGTTTCCCTTCAGCTTATTCCGGTCGGACTCTTGATTGGGAAAGTGATGTTTCGATTTGCTCATGGAGCGGCTGAGGCTGGTCTTTTTTTTCCTTAGATTGTCTCCGGTGGTTGCTGGGAATCTGCCCAGCGTGCTGAGGGGCGGATTATGGGGAAGTCGGGCAGCTTTGCTGTTTCGTCGGTATATGATCTTCGAATAACCGCCATTTTCTCGGAGGTGAGTGTGGTTTTGGTATGTTACTGCCGAGCTTTAGAGTTATTCCACATCCCCCCCCCCCTCGGTGGAGACCATTCACAGACAATTCTCGGGCTTTTTAGAGTCCTTTTGCTAAGAAAAGAAGACAGAAACAGAGACAGACCATGGCTTCCAAGTCAAAACAGTCGTCAAGAAAGGGCAAGGAAGCCGCTGCTGTAGCCGCTGCCGCTTCCGCCCAATACGAATACTACAATGAGGTTTCTCCTGCTGGTACGACGGGTAGTTACTATGCCTCCTCATCGACTACGGCCACGACTGGGCCTAGTCCGCTAACGGAGTATGAGGAGACTCCAGGTGCGGCAGCGGCGGCAACTACGACGACTACGGCTGTCGTGAGGTCCAAGTCGATCCGGAGCGAGGGCGAGATTGTGTTACAAGGTCCCCTCGAGGTCGCGGGGTCTGTGAAGGCTGGTGGGAATATCACGCTGAATGGGGACTTTGATGTGAGGGATAAGGTTGAGGCGTATGGGACGGTTGATGTTAATGGGAACTTGGTTTGCGAGTAAGTACCTTGTCCTTTTTGGGGGGATGAATTTCTATATACAAAGGCTGAACCATATGCTGATATCATGTTGTGTATAGTGGGAAGATGAACGCATATGGCAACATTTCAGTGGTGGGGTACATGTCTATCGGGTAAGTTTGTGTTCGAGTATGCCCCCAATGATTGAGAGAAGACGACGCTGATATCTGTTTTGACAGTGATAAGGTGAAAGGCTTTGGAAAGCTGAGGGTCATGGGGACGTGTGAGGTCAATGATCTTGAGATATACGGGAATACGACGATACATGGGTTCTTGTAAGTTGTCATGAGCTGTTCCTCTCCGAGAGGCCCAAGTTCTGACTCTGTGTTGTAGGAAATGCAAGAAATTGCTTCTGTACGGGTCCCTCACAATCGTGGGTCCAAACTCAGGGTACCACGTTGAAGAAGAGGAAAAGATTTGGGGAGCGATTATAAGTCGCGAGGAAGATACGAGTTGGTGAAGGTTGTGATGCTTCACGCAGTTATGGAAACGGGTGAGACTGAGGTCATTGCGACGTCTTAGATGCGTCGAGACGGTAGTTCGGATGGTAGGGCGTTAGCTTGTCGTTTGGCGTTTGCGAGACGGCGTTTGGTACCGGTATTGATGGAATTTGAGGAGTAAACTGTTCTGCTCGTGCTTGCGCGCCAATTAAGACACTGGAGTACTGTAGTTGCCCGAAGCTGGCATGAGACACCCGATACAGAAGACATACCTTTATGCAACGAAACTATACCACTTGGTCTGCAACGCACAGTCAACATCTCACGAGCATCAACTTCATCTGTCCGCTAGCAATTTGCAGGTGCTGTAACAGCCACACCGTGGTGCAGCTTTCATTTACTGTTGATACACGACTAATATTGTTCAGCACTGACTCTTTGTCCATCATAAGCCCGGGCAACTTCACTCCTCGCTCCTAAAATTCCCTCCAAAACGCCGTTAGAGTTCTCTCCCCACAATTCAACGCCGTACCTCGCATCTGGGACCGCATCTCAAGCCTTAACCCCCCTAGCATTAATCTCGCCCTTCTCCCCAATGTTCAAACGGAGGCGACAATCGGGGCAGTACCACTTCGTCGTGCGCGCAGGAATATGGGTCATACCCATACACTCTAGATGGAACCATTCCTTGTCGCAATTCTTTTCAACGGAAAAAAGAGAAGCAAATGTCAGTGCAGTCCTAGACCTCAAGCTGGACGTTGAGTACTTACATCATTGTCGCACGCAATCATCTCGCCAAAACTGACTCTGTTGCAATCGCAGTATCGTGGTTCTTTCGGGTCGATTGGGTTACCCTCGTCGTCTTCTTCCAACTCGATCTCGATTGGCTGGCCCTTTTCCTTTTTCTGAGCGCGTTTCTTCTTGGGAGCCGCTTTTCGCTTACCCACGGCACTGCTGCCTCCAGCGTTGGTCTTGCTGACGATACCAGGCACAGGCTTTCTAGTCCTCTTGCTCTGCTGTCGCTGCTCGGGAGCTGGCGTATTCCGCGCGGTACTAGCGCGACGGGGTCGGTCAGTTGCTAGCGAAGGCTGTGGCTCTTGACTCAAAGCTTTTCCTCGCGAGCTGGGACGTCTCCCTTGGCCGTCGGGCACCGGTGTTGTACCTGGTGTCGCCGCACGCGAGCTCGATTGCTTGATCGAAGGCGCTGCGGACGACGAGCGCTGTGCTTGCGGAATCTGCGGCGCCGGCACTGGAGTAAGATTCTCCAATTGCTGCTGATTCTTCTTCGCCATCTCCCCCCTTGTCTCCCTTCGAGCTGCAGAGTCACGCACCGGAGGAAGAATGGGCGTGGTAGACTTCTTAGGAGACAAAACGGGTGGCGGTATTGGCGTCTCAGCGGGTGGCTTGGTCAGTATACTTGCCGGGACAGTGCTTGCGACTGACGCCGGGGGCCCAACTGAACCAGTTGGTGAAGAGGCCGGCGCGGATGTGTTCACCGGCTTTGCAGCCGCAGCGCCAGGGCCTATGGCCGAGCCATCCTGTCCGGGAACAGGTATCGGCACTGGGGTCGTCATCTTAGGAGTGACCGCAGTACCGCCTGGTGTAAGAACAGGAGGCGGTACAGGAGGCTCTGCTAGGGATTGTGCAGTGAGACTGGCTCGCTGATGAGGAAGTGGGACCGGAGTTTCCGTTTTGGTGCGCTTTGGAGCGGGACGAGGCGCTGGTGTCTCAGCTGGCGGCTGCTCAGGCTTCTCGGCCTCGGCTTCTGGGATAGAATCTCTTTTCCGTTTGTTGCCGTTGGCTTTTGGCTTGGCTGGAGTCTTCGCTTTGCTTGCACCCTTCGGCTGATCTGCAGCTGTGTTGGCGGTATTATTATTCGAGGTGGAGGGTGTAGTAGTGTTGTTGTTGTTGTTGATGTTGTTGTTGTTGTTGTTGTTGTTGTTGTTGTTGTTCGCGACCGATGATGACGATGCTTCATGAGACATCAAAAGCCTTGCAGCTTCCCTAAACTGTCTGGCTGATTCTTCCGCCTCTTCTGCGGCCTGTTTAGCCAGTGACTCTCGCTTGAGTTTCTTGGCCTCGTTGAGCTTCATGCCCCGATTGCTTAACTGGATATCGTCAGACGCAAGCGCAGCGGCGCTAATGGCACCTTCTGGGATTGGTTTATTCCCAGCTTCAGCATCGGGGGCCAGAGCCGCGGGCACTTGGTCAAAGACTCTGCCCTCGTCCTCAGCCTTCTTTTTCGCCTCCTTGTAGGCATCAATTCCACGGCCGAGCGTCTTAAGTTCTCGTAAAATCATGGTATCGCTTGGACTCCAGGTTGCATTCTTCTTCATGCGCTTTCTAAGCCTAGCAAGTTCCCACGGCGTTAACTGCAACCAGGGAGCATCCGCGCTTCCTATCACGGCATTCTCTGGCGGAGGCTGCAGCACAACAGCAGAAGTTGCCGCGGCAGCCGGGCCCGCAGAAGATTTCGGAGGTCGCGCCGAGGACGCAGCCTTTGGTGTCTTTGGTGGCCTGGCTTTGGGGGTTTTGACAACTTTGATCCGCGGTGCTGGTGTCGTTCGAGCTGGCGTCCGGCCAAGGGATTCGTCGTCTTCCTCTTCAGAGCTCTCGTCGCTGTCGTCCGAGTATGCCACAAATTGGTCGTAAGGCGGCAGCACTTCACCAGGCACAGTAATCCTGGGTATTCGTGGCCTTCGCACCTTTTCGCCGTCTTCATTTCGCATCACCCGCGGCGCTCTGACAAGCTGAGACTTGGAAGTCGCCACGGGACTCTTTTGTTCCTCCGCCGGATAATTCTCCAGCAGGTTCTTCAACTTGGCTAGTATCGTGTTTGCGCGATTATAGTGACGGTTGACGTTCTCAGACATGCGAACTGCCTCGGCATGCGCATAAACCCGCGAGCTGACGGCATGGTTCAGACTGTCGGAAATGTCTGCGCGCAACTGTACTGGAGATGGGCGCTCTTCGGCAGGAATGCTAGGCAGCTTGCCCCAGGTCGAGGTGAGGTTGTGAATGTTGATTGACGCTTCGGTGTATGTTTGGTCGAGCTTGCCGATCAAAGTCAACGATCGCGTCATATCGGAAGGTAGGTATTCGGTAAAGTCAAGGAAGTCGGTGACAGTAGCTTGCGCGTCTGGATCGGCGCGCATTTCGAGGGACTCAACGGAGTTGCTGATGGAACCGAGCGACTGGTGTATGTCGTGTTCGACCGAGGTCCTGTTTTTGGGCGACACCTCAATGTCCATGGCGTCTGCGTCCTCTTCGGTGGAGGCCATTTTGTCGGAAGGAGTGTAATGAGAGTGTATTTTGTCGGCCTGGCGAGCGGCGCATCAAGCGCTATGGATGCATTTGACACTGGAGAATCGATGGTGGCTGTTGGGCGTGTTGCGAAATACGGTTGCGCATGCTTGAGATGAGGTTGCGGGTCGCGTATGCAAGGGGAGTCGCGACCTGACGTGATGTTCGCTTTAGCTCTGTGAGCTCCCTGCCGCTAGGGACCTTGGGGGCAGCTGCGATGGAGGCGGCGGGGCTTCCAACATCCACTGACAGATGCGCTGGCCATATTGGTCCCTACACTCCCAGTCCGTGCTCGACCGACATAACAGTCACGGATTATTCAACTTCCGAATACACAATAAAGTGGGCCTCAGGTACGTATCTCTCCGTCGCTTTGCTTCCATTCATCTTGTCCCACCACATATTGGCACCTATTTAACTTGGCAAGCATCTAACATGACCGGCATTCACCAGGGTGGTTTAAATACATATAACGCCTGCTGTAACTACTATTGGTCCTGTCTACCTGTCGGATTGATGAAATTTGTTGCAGCTTTTCGATACCACTTCCCAGTTTGCTGTACTCTCCCCCGAATAGACGGGATTTCCGCTGCGAAGAAATGGCGCTGACCTTGGTCGCTTCATGAAGTATCAAAATGAACCGCTAACAACTGCTTGAGGCTCGGATGTTGAGCAAGCCCTATTTACTTTGATTCTATCATGCTCAACTCAAAGCACTTATCTGAGTCTAAGAAATCCTAGACTACGTTAGCTGGCGTTGAAGTCAACCGCCTTCATACAAACTTGGCATTCATCTGCTCGTAGATTCCCTGTACCCTTTTCCATTTCAAACCTTGGGATCGCGAAAAGGCGTATTTGGTTTGAGACTGCGCGCCATCTGCAGCCGCACCAACCTCGGGCTGTAATATATCGATTTGCTCACATATCAGATGCTCTTTTCGGGGGTCTGGGATATGGCCAATGACTCTCAAATCTGTTCCCCTTCGAAAGTCGAGGCACACCAAGGCGTGCCCTTTTGCCGTAACAACCTTCAACATCGTCAAACCGCTAATCAAGAGCGTTGACGAGCTGATAGGTTTATCGATTGAAAACCCCTCAGGAGATCTTTCGAGGAAAGCCGAGTTGTAAGGGCCGCGGATGTTCAGTACGCTTCCCCGCCGTTCATCGTGTAAGAGTTTAGCGATGATAAGCTGCCCATCTGTCCAAGTGACTGACTGTAGTTCAGACACTGAGCAGCAGCGAACCCGCCTCCGGAGAAAGTCTTTCCATGTCCACTCTTTTACCTTCATGCTCTTACCGACCAAGACGATAAAAGCAGATACAACCCAAAGGTAGGTCGCCAGATTCGAGGGATCAACACCATTAATCCGTTCGCCGACGCTGAAGCCGATTCCCAAGCCACCTGCTGCAAACAGTACGGCTGTTAAAATGACGCCCCAGACGTATCCTGGGCATGACACCGTTACGCATGTTTCGTCGATGACCCACTCATCCATATACTCTGTCAGTCTCTTGAGCTCATTGAGTTGATGCGTTGCATCATGTTGTTCTTTTGGTGGAGGGTGTGAGCTTCGCACTAGCCTGGATCGAGAGAAAAGGCCACGTTCCAGAGCTTCGGAAAGATGAAGAACGTCTGGTCTCTTCATACTGTCAAATTGACTGGTGTACATACGGAAAAAGGCCCCGAACTTTCCTTCTGCGAGCGGCTGGACGTCATCTTGGATAAAGCCCGTTAGAGCTATTACGTGTCGGAAGCTGGTGAAGTCCGACAAGAATACCGGGCAAGTCATGACCAAAGGCACCATCACAGTTATGACTTCGTCCATGGAGTCGAGTTGTAAACATTGGCTGGAGCCTATGAGATCGATATTGATCTGGCCCGACCGATTGTCTTCGTCTCCAGAGTATTTCCATTGTAAAGTTGTCTTCAGGCCGTTGGTGTATTCCACCCGCTCGCGGTTTTGATGCTTGAGATGCATGACTATCTGCTTAAGGATATTGAATGCTGAATGTGCAGTGTTCATCTTATCGAGGTCCGACGTTGCCGAATACTCAAGATCTCTATATTGGAAAAGAAGCGCCTGTAGTACAAGTTTTAGCACAAGGAAAGCAAAACGAGCTCAGGAAAGTGCACTGCATACCTTGCAACCTTCGAATCCAGTCTCATATGCTACCGCACAGATTTCGAAAGACGTTGCTGGAAGGCCAGAGCGGTTAATGAATCTCATGGACATCAATATATGCCTCAAAGCTGAATTCAGCCCAAACCGAAACTTGTTCTGCTCGACACAGTGAGCCGCTGCCTGTTTTTCCTCAAACGACGCGGTTCCCTCTTTCTCATTCGCTTCAACCATCCGCATGTACTCTTCGCACTCCTCCTCCTCATCCATTTCGCCGCCTTTGTGCTGCGTACCACCGGATTCGCGAACTTTAGACAGGACGGCCTCTGCTGCCCTGACGGCGATTACGGAGTTCACGTGCAGGTCGAATAACAACACCTTGATTTTGGTGATTCGCTTGATGAGAACACTAAGAACGTTTGTTTGCCAGTAAGTACCTGGCGAGGTCTAAACTCGTCAACACTGCCGAGATGTAGTTGATCAGGTCGTAAGTAGCTCCGAGGCCGGGCGAGTCTTTCTGGCATTCGGCTTCTCCCATGCTTCCAACGCTCTCTGCGGCACCCTGGCCCTTAGAGACTTGTTTGATGAAACTCGAGAGCCTGTGGTGATTCGAGAGTTGTCCACAGTGCTCTGCATTGATGCATTCGTTGTCAAGATGACAAATTGTGATAGCTGTCAAGACTTTCTGGCATAATTTGGATATGTCTCGATAGCCCTGTTCGGTATCTCCTTGGAAGAACTCATGACTCGAAAATCCAAGTGGAGTGTCCGGATTCTTAGCAATTCTTATTAATCGTTCTGTTTCCGCATGCCACAAAGCCTTGAGAACGTCTTCAGATTGAACATATAACCCGGCGGCATCGAACTCGGGACATTTGGCCGTACCATCGGTTCTGGGCAAGACCTTCTTCAGAACTTCTTGGAAATCGCATCGAGAAGGTTCACCTCTGGGCTTGGGACGTTCTTCGGAGTTGATCGAGGGCCCTTGGCAAGCTGGGTGGACGGGCTGACGTCGTAATCGACGGAAGAATTCTCTCGATTTATCGCCGGCGGATCCCAATTTGATACGGCTGGGAAGCGGAAGGGGCTCAATGCCCGAAGCCGATCGAATTGGAACATTGTGTTCTGGCAAGGTGTTTGGTTGACTGGGAGGAATTTGAGGACTGTGTGCCTCGCAAGACTGGCCTTCAACGCCAGTCTTCTAGTTCTTCACGGGAAAGACGGAACAGGTAAGGCCTCTTTCATCAAATAATGGAACATGTTTCTGACTGTCTTTTAAGGCAAGAAGTCCATAGCAAAACTATACGCACAGTTCCTCCTATCTATAGGAGCTGTGAATAACCAGGTCTTTTCAAGAAGATCGACCGCCAAGCGAAGTCCATATAGTTATCGCTCTAGGCAATCATCATCGAAGTCACAAACGTATCCGACGGTGGGCAAAACCATGACCACGCGCTGCTGAGTACGGACAATTACCAGTTTGTGTTTTACGATAAACCAAGTCTCAGTCAAGCTTCGTCAGACAGTGGATACTACGGTTCCTCCGATAGTGACGACAGCAGCACATTTAGCCCACTGGTCAATCTCTCCTCATACCGTACAAAAAAGCCAGGTGCGATGACAGAGCTCATGAATACCGCCATGATGTCTGTTGTAATCATCTCCACGCGAAAGAAGTCTCTTCTTGAATCCATCGAGGGCAACGAGAAGGCTTTACAGGAACTACAGAGCCCACTGTTTCTTACGGACTACAGTGATGAGGAACTCAAGCAGCTCGCTGTGCGCATGATACAGAAAAGGGGCATGTCGGTTGAGGGCGGCTTCGAAGATCGCAGCCTTCGTGCCTTAGTGCAGCGAGTGGCACGAGAGCGGAAGTCGAAGTCGTTTTCAAAAGCTCACCGCCTAGAGGAAGAGTTGAACAAGGCATGCACAAGACGAGCTCTTCGACTGCAGAAAAAACACGCTCAATGGCTCAGGAAGGACTCGACTGGTGACTCTCAAACACTCGATTTTCCACGACGAGAACTAGAAGACCCAGAAGACCTCAATAAGAGCAGACTTGCCGATTCAACATATGATCAGAAAAAGGTCCTCACGTCAGAAGACCTCTTAGGCACAGAGCCGAATGATCTGAGAAACGATAACGAGTCGTGGAAGAAGCTTCAGGATATGATTGGACTAGAAAGAGTTAAGAGCGAATGCGGCGACATCATCGACTATGCCCAGATCAACTACCGCCGAGAGCTTCAAGGGATGGAGCCGCTCAAGATTGGTCTTAATCGAGTGTTTCTGGGACCGCCTGGCGTAGGCAAAACGACCGTTGCGCAGCTTTACGGCCAGATACTCATCGACCTTGGCCTTGTCTCTGGAAACAAGATCATGTTGCGAAACCCATCTCACTTGATCGGCCAATACATAGGGCAATCCGAGGAAAGGACCATGCGCGTCTTGAGGGAAGCCCGAGGGAATGTACTGATGATTGATGATGCACATATGCTCTATCCAGGGGCCCAGGACGCCGGCCACAAGACGGACATTTTTCGCATCGCTGTCCTTGACACTCTCGTTGCGAACGTTTCGGCCGACCCAGAGGACAGGTGCATCATCCTAGTCGGTTACGACTATCAGATGGGCCAAATGTTCAACAACAGTAACCCTGGGCTTCAGCGACGTTTCCCCAAGGAGACGGCGTTGCGATTCGATACCTACAGCGAGGATGAGCTGTGCCAGATCATGGAACTGAAAGCTGGCAAATGCGGTCTCGAGATGTCAAGGGACGGTGCGGCGGTAGCTAGACAAGTCTTGAGCCGCATGTGTATCAACCCGAAGTTCGGGAACGCAGGAGACGTTGAGAATCTACTCAACCAGGCAAAAGTCCGCATCAACGCACGAATCACGTCCGCATCTCGTGAATCAGGGTCTGTAGATGTTGTGATAGAGCCTGGCGACATCGACCCGCATTGGGACCGGGAATCACAAGCTGGCGAACGTCGCGCTACGCTCTTCGAAGGCTTCGTTGGGTTCAACAGGATCATAGAGCAATTCGAAGGCTATCTGCACCTAGTCGCTGGCATGCGGCTTTACGACAACGACCCCAGACCTCACATCCCGTGGGCCTTCATTTTCAAGGGGCCACCGGGTACTGGGAAAACTTCAACCGCGCGGAAAGTTGGTCGCCTATACTATGACATGGGTCTCCTTTCCACGGAAGAGGTTGTGACCTGTTCGGTCAGTGATCTGGTTGGAAAGCACGTAGGGGAAACGGGACCGAAAGTTCTCAACACTCTGGAGACTGGCCTCGGAAAAGTCTTGTTCATCGACGAAGGCTATCGGCTCGCGGATGATTCCAAGTTCAACGTAGAGGCTATCGGTGAGCTAGTCGATGCCATGACCCAAGTCCGCTACAGAAACAACATGGTCATAATCTTGGCAGGGTATACTGCTGAGATGGAATTTCTCTTACAGGTCAATCCTGGATTGCGTAGTAGGTTCCCGGAACAGATCATATTCCAGCCTATGAGCTCACACGCATGTCTCAAGCATCTGAGGCAAGAGGTTCAGAAGCTGAAGATCGACATTGTGGTAGTAAAAGGTTCAGATGAGGAGAAGTTGGACACAGTCTATCGTCTGTTCAGAAAGCTCGGCCAAACGAGGGGATGGGCTAGTGGCCGTGACGTTGAGACTTTGGCCAAGACCATTATAGGCAATGCGTATAAGCGGGCGGGAAGAACAAAGAAGAGATTGGACACGAGCTCACTGCAAGTCACTCTAGATGAGGTTATCGAAGCCCAAAAAGGGATGCTGGCGGAACGCCTGGGACGAGTGAGCGACGAGACGGAGGAGTAGATTGTAGGCCTAGAAGTATCGAGTTACGACAGAAACACGAAGCTGGGTTAGCTCGAATGCCAGCCATGATTATCAATGTGTCTCTGCCAACGAATCTGACGAGGCTAACGGCCTTCTCGTCGAGGGCATCAAAATCGCCAGCCTACTCGAGCGCATGATAAGATGCGGTCACATCTCATTATTTGCCCCTCATTGTGACCATGACTCTACCCACCGGTCCCCAGGTCAAAATAGGGTTTCGCAACGGTCGACAGAGCCCGTACACGGGACAGTTCGGCACATGTGGGGCCGGGCACTTGCTCCGCTTTGGCCGGACAGTGGAGATTGGCATTGGCCATTGGGAACCTACCCTTACTCTAATGCTCGAGTGGCCGAAGCCTTAGCGTGGCCGTTGTCAAGCCCGCGCAGTCTCGAAACACAAAATTCTAAAGACATTGCTGACAGCAGCGCCTTAATCGCGCATAATATTAGGGCTAGGCCTGATTTTTTGGTGAGAGGTCGACCTGCCCCGAATTGCGCTCAGAAGTTTCGTATTGTTGCTGATTGTCGAGATATCCGGGGTTGATGTATTGAAGGTATTGAAAGTCAATGTGGTTGAATGTGGTCAGTGCGCATGCAACCTTCCTGGGTTGATGTTGGCGATGTGTATATGAAGCGCCCCCCCCCCCCCCCCCCCCCCCCGGTGCCTACCCTTCCCAGTACTAGGTATGTTTGCTTTTCTTTTTCCATGCCTTCCCCTTTTCTTATCTTCTCCTTCTCTCTGAGTTTTGTTGCCTCCGGCTCTGTTTGTTTTCATTCTCTCCTTGTCCCCGACGCGTCTCTAAAGTCAACTTATACGTGTACGAATACATCGCCCATCTTTACGTTTCACGCCGCTGTTGCCAGGGCCTTTTCTAGAGTACTTCGGCGACTTTTCCGAGTACAGAACAGCACTGGAAATGGGCGTCAAGCAGTTCGTTTATGCCTTTCGAATTGAACCCGGCTATTTTGACTGTGTACCACTGCCACCCGCTACGGCGCGCTGCTTATGTAATTATATATTACCGTACCTAACTCCTTCCGGTACGATATTAAGCATTATTTATAATATTTATGGTCGTAATTAACAATTTTATACGGTGTTAATTAAATATATATAATTATCAATTTCTACGACCGTAATTAACTATTTCATATAGTTAGCGATAATTAAATATATATAATTGCTGGTCGTAATTAGCAATTTCTATGACCGTAATTAACAATTTTATATGGTCGTAATTGACGTCGCGATTGACCTATTTATAGTGGTGGGAGGGAGTCGATTACGCAAGTACTAGCTGGCAGTGGCACATAGTCAAAATAGCCGGGTTCTTCGAATTTTGACTCAATTATACATTCAAATTTACCCTTACTGATCCTTATCCCCTGCTTTAGGTTCTGGAAACTCGCTGAAGAGGCCGGCGTCGAAGTTTCCTTGGCACAATGGACCAGTGATCACTTGAAGGAAACAGGCCGCCCGCTACGCATCGCAGTTGACGAGGCACACTGGCGATACAAGAGCGTCCCGGAAAGTCTCGTGGAAGAGATCCAGCAAAGTTCGACGTCCATTTCACATATACTCGTTCTTCCCTGCATCTCACCATTTATCATACCACCCTAAATTTACGTCGCACGCATCATCTCGCACCCTTTTACCGATTTATGGGTGGTTTTCCTATCATTGTACTTCCTTCCGAGGAATAACAGAACCAAATCTGACAATTTCAATCTAGAAAGCCCAGGTTCTCGCCCAAAAGAGAGGGCCATCCTAGACCGTATCTTGCCGCTTTACCGTCTTGGTGTCCAACTAGTATTCGTGTTCGATGGAGATAACCGCCCGGATAGAAAGAGAGGCTCAGACCGGAAGGGTCTGGAAGAATCAGATATTCCTCTTCTAAAGGACACAGAGACTGCTCTCCTGAAGGGAATGCTGGATCACCTTGGCGTGCCCTGGCACAAGGCTCCAGGAGAGGCAGAAGCCGAGTGCGCCAAACTTCAACAGGAAGGTCTCGTCGATGCAGTGTGGTCCGAGGATGGCGATGCATTCATGTTCGGTTGCAGAGTTCTCATCAAAAACCTCAAAGGTCCACCTGGTAAGCCCAAGTGCAAGGAGCACGCAAAGCGCTTCAATATGGGCACAATATGTGGGTTGAAGAAGGGACTGAACAACGAGAAGCCCATTACGCTCTTTGCTATGCTGATCGGACTCGACTACGTCCCCGAAGGACTTCGAGGTTGCGGGATGGTTCTAGCACAAAAGCTTGTCAAGGATGGTGCCCTCGCGTATGGCCTCTGGTGTATCCTGGCGAAAGAAGAAGGGGCAAATGAGCGGGCGATACAATGGCGAATGCGTCTGAGGGAAATCGATTGTCAAAATCACGAAAAGCACGAACACATTCACCAGGGAGGATTCTAATTTCAAGAACTTCCCCGATCTTCAGGCCCTGAGATATTGTCGATGGCCAGTCGTGTCTGACGAAGCCACACTCGAAGCACTCCCGTTCTTGCAGGGTGAGTGGTACGGCACCCACACAACCGAAAGCCTCACAACCATGATTCCCTGGCTGCAGCACTATTTCTATTCCCAATGGACTACCATTCGCTGGATCAGCAAATTCGTGCCCATCGAGGTGACCCAAAAGCTTCTAAGGCGCGAAGCTGGAGCCCGGGGCCTCCTCATTGCCAAGGTCACACAGAAAAGAAAGGAACGTCCGACAACCTCCGTCCAACTCGATCCTTTTACGGTGTTCCCAGGTATCGAGAGCGTCTTCATTGAGTCAGAGAACAACTTTCTCTTGAACAGATTGCCCATTGACCATAAGTTGGCGGGGCAAGCGATCGAGAACGAGAATTTCGAGTTGCTCGACGCGATCTTGGGTCTTGGTATGGAGGACTCGGAGTTCCAAGCGTGGAACAAGAAGAAGATGAATGCGAGAGTGGCGACTATGGTACACCCGCCTATCTCTAGAGCGCAGGCGCCCCTGGTGAGTTTTGGCACCAAACTTCCTCTTATGAATAATCTGTTCCCGGCGACCAGCAATTTTTTCTGTGGTCTTCTTATGTGGCGCTCTTAAAGTTATGGAGTGATGCCAAAGACATCTTAAGAGGCCTTCCAACGCTTTAAATATGGAATTTGGCTGACCGCCAGTACAAGATGAAGCGAACTTCCGCTAGAGAGCCTCGAGACAATAGTCATGTTGGTCAGGATCCGTCTCCGCTTGCTAGCAGACGCCCCAAAGGGTTCACCTCGAACTTGCTGGTTCACAAGAAGACCACACCGACGACCGCAAGCCCTTCAGGCCGTTCCCCACTATCCAAGATTACAATGAACGCAAGTCCAGCGAGTCCCACCGCCAGTTTTGGAAAGAAGGAACTTGGAAGCTTCGACGTGGGCCAAAGCAGCAAGGACATACCAGAAAATGCACAATCCCGAAGCTCTGGTCTCCGACACGGTAGTATTCACAATCCTGATGACGAGAACATCCACGAGGAATCGGTCTCCGCCAAGAAGAGAAAGCTGGAGGAACCCGTTGCGGAGAACGTACAAGCCGAAGAGACTCCCGGGGCGAGAGCGAGACGAACGATTCTTGAGATAGAATCGTACTCCTCTCAGGATTCAGTTCCGGCTACCAAGGCGAAAGGACAGAAGAAACGTAAATCTGCTGTTGGGGAGTCTCTGAAAGGTGCCGCTGAGAAGCGGAAGAGTGGTGGTGGCACGACCGAAGATCCATTTGTTGTTTGATGTCTTTCAATCTTGACTGTGGGTGTTTGGAAAAGCTCATCCTTTGCGAACAACTCTTTACGTAGGTCACTGCATTTTAGTGTATGCCAGCAAGTACGTATCTCTTCAGGGTAAGCCTATGTTAGGACGCTTGCAGAGTTTTTGATGGAAAAGGCAACTGAAGATCCATTCGAGGTTTTGTAACTGAAATTCATCTCGCGAGATTCTCGTCTCCTTTCGAGATATAAGAAACATCGGGTTCCCAAAGGTTTGGTTTCAAGGGAATATCGTTCTGATCAGATGGAGGGGACCAAAGTGTGTTGAGTTGAAGTCGACAGGATTCACATACGTGACAGCCGAGTATCTCGCGCCAAACAATGCCTCCCTTACCCCCGATGAACGTGGCATGATTACCAAAGTACTCAGAAATAAGGAGAGAACAAGTAGCACATTACATCCCTTACCATTGAGCGATTCAGAGCCCATTTCAAGTGTCCTCCTGCTCCATTTCCGACGGGACTTCCGAGGAAAGTCGAAGGTGCAGCACTCCCATATCGTTACAAATCCAACCCATAACCCACCAGAAAGCTCTGGACGGAAAAGACAATAGACGATGAACATTAATTCGTAACAAATCTTAGTTAGTGAAGCAATGCAATTGCGCTCCTTTCCCGAGGTAAAGATTCCCGTTCCGAAGCTTTCATTGGGTGCCGTCAGGGCTTCCGGGCCGAAGACTTGTGGGGTGGTACAAACTCACCCACCCCCCCCGCCGGCCGTCCCGCATTTGAGGAACGGGGACGGATATAAACGTCACCTCACTTCCTCATACACGTGCTTTGCATACCTTATTGCCGTACACATTACACTCACCATTAACTCTATACCAATATAACCAACTCGTTCGAACAACCAAGGCCTTGACACTCGCCAGTCATCGCATAAAAAGGACGGAAAATACCCATGGCTTCATATGCAGCTACAGAGGGCGTGGAGCCCCACGACAGCTACTCCAAAATGGAACCGTTCTCGGCCAGCGAGACGGCGATGGAGCGGGACCTCCGGCTCCGGATACGGGACTTTTACCGGACAAGCGATGACAAGGAACTTAATGAGCGTTGGATCGAATTCTACACGCCTGATGCCAAAGTCAAGATTGGTCCGGCGGCGGCCGAGAAGCATGAGAGTGAGTTTGCTACCTAACCCATGTGCTAAAGAGACACGGGACGGCTGACATGTTTGTAATATCAGACCTCCGTCAACTACGGGCGGACATGTGGAGCTCAGTCGCGGCGAGGAAGCACTGGATCACGAGTGCGATCGGCTCCGCTACCGAAAAGGGTGTGCACGTTATGCTCAAGGGGGGAGTTCGAAGGAAGGGGTTGGATGGTGGTGAGAACGTGTTCAGCTGGGCGGGTAGCGCAGACTGGGTGAAGCAGGATGGGGAGTGGCGGATGGATGCATATCGAGTCTGGCTCGACCACTGGGCTCCCATTGATGGGGAACTGCCTTCGGTGTCAGAGTTCTGAAGTGTGACACATGACGGCGCTGGCTGAGCGGGATATCCAGCAGTGTGAAATGCGCTGAATAGCAACAAGAAATCGATGTGAATCGGGGCAATCCGGCCATTGAGATGTGGCACTCAGTCATTGAACGAGAGACGCTTGACAATTGGCGGCGCAATGCGATTTGTCGCAGCCACCGTGTTTCGCCGATGGCATTGTTCTACCGTCTTTAGCAGCGAGCAGATTGGTCTTGAATTCATCGATGACGGCAGATTCATCCGGTGATGGCTTCGACCTCAGACCGCCCCATGCGCTTGCTTGCGCTTCGACGGCGTAGCGGACGCGGCTGGCCCCGTGCCTTGCATTCATCGCGCGTCGCCTCGTCCAGGCTTCGTCTCGCGTCGCTACGCCTCATCCGAATGGGTTGCTTAAGTAATTGGACCGAGGGTAGCCAGAAAGTTAGGCATTGCCTCAACAGAATCATGACATTTGCCGGCATCTCAATTCCTGAAACGGCGATGATCGAAGTTCGCAATCCATCCAGCAAAGCTGAAGGCGAGGTTGGGGGGAATGAGGAGGGGTATCCAGGAGAGCCCCTCCATACGTCAGCTATGGTGCGTTGTTCTCGTGGTCCACGGTAGAGCTGTGAGTGGCTCGTTCACCTGACGTGGTGCCCCCCGTTCCTCCACCGAGGGGGGTCAGGTGTCTTTGTCAGTCGGACGGTCTGGCCCTGAGCCGCCGAGTGTGTGGCAGTTCAATGGGAAAGCGGTGCGATAGGACGGACGGATGACCGACAACGGGAGGATACGGGATAACGACGACATACCGTAGAGGGAAGCCAGGAAGCAGGACCGCAATCTTGAAAGTGTTTGGCGGCAAATGAAGTCAACACCGTTATTTTAGTCTCGAATCCGTCCATAATTCCACCCCAGGAGGAAGCTTGGTCCAGTCAGCGTCGGTTGAGACTGCGCCGCTTGTCATCAGGCCAAAGCGGGATGATGGCATCGGTCACCAGCCCCAGATCGTCACCCTCATCTGTCTGTCGTCCGTCTTGCCGTCGTCCGTCTTTCGTCTTCAAAGGTTGCTTGCACAGAGGCAACGCACGCACAGCCCAGCTGTCAGCAGCTGGTCCCCGCTCCAAGGATGGCTTGTTGGGGGATTGTGATGGCAGTGGTCTCCGGCCTCGGCAACAGACTCTGTATGCGTATGCAGAGCTGAGCTTAGGTAGGCGTTTGAGTGACTTTGTGAGTGTGTGTGTGTAGGTACCAAAGTGTATGTATGTGTGCGTGTGTGTTTGTGTGTGGCATACACTTCGGAGATTCGGTAGAAAGCAATGGAAGAAAATGTGTCAACCTAATGGTGGACGGAGGAGAGGGGTCTCAGACAATATTGAATTCGTAGTTGAATCAGTGTTCCGTTCCTCTGGCATGGCGAGAGTGTGACTTGGTCGCTTCCGTCAGGAATATTGAGGACAGACGAACTGATAACGCTACTGCGCGCGTACTCCGTGCCTGCAATCAACTAGTTTGTGAGAGAGACAAGCCGGAAGGCGCAAATAAAGGAGGTAATTAATAAGTTGAAGCTTAGCGAGGCTGGGCTGCGCTGGACTGGACTCAACTCCGGTTGACGAGGTCCAATGTAAGGTAAGGTAGGAAAGGAGTGAGCGAGAGCGAGGGCGTGTAAAGTGTTCGGGAGTGCCTCCTGAGTCTTCAGAGTCTTGAAGGTGTTAGCCACGGTATCCGCGCCCGCTGCAGCCCAGCATGTTCCATTCCATTGTCTCTATAGGTAGGTACGCACTTGCCATACTGTTGTTGCTGAAAGGTATCGTAGGGGAGGTAGACAGCCGGGACCATGTATCATCCGTCAGCTGGTATGGTCATGTTCGAGTTCTCCGACAAGCAAGAGCTGCGGGCGGAGGTACGGGAAGGGGACATGACCAGGTACACGGGCAGCACCGGGGCCCCCCAGACTGGCAGTCTCAAGACCCTCACCCAACCAACCCGCCTTGTCTGCTGCGAGCTGTTCCAAGATTGGTGCGCTGTATCTGCACCTGTATCCGCGGTGCGCGTCCTGCCCGTGATGCGCATCGCAGGTAGGTACCTGCCGGCGAGGTTCAAGCCGAGAGTTACCTCTGGCCTGGAACCTCCCAGCTCGTAGATGCAGTCGCAGAATTCCACCCTCTCTCTTCTGCTTTCCCCTCCCCCTCTCTCTCAGAAATGCATCCCAGCAAGTTGTCTGCACTTGACACCCCTGTCACCCTAGTCCAGGTTCCTCCAAGAGACTCAATGAGATGGGGGGGCATGGTGGGGTGGCTTGGAGGGGAGACTGGATTGGGGGGCACCGCGCCGTACTCGGGGGTGATGGAGGCGCGCAATGGAACCTGAACAACTGGGGAGAGAGAGCGAAAGCACTCCCATGCCCCGCTTCCATCCCGCGGGCGGCAGCTGAAGGTACCTGGCCTGCCTCAGATATGGCTTTCATTGCTAGGTAGTAAGCAAGGTTCTGTTGTGCTTGGATAAGATACGTCGTTATGACTGAGCATGAGTGAGGTGTTTGTTAGGTTGTTAAGTGTGAGAGCTGGCAGGCCTCTCGCATACCAAACGAAGCAACCTGGAACCGTCAGAGAGGCCGCCCTGTTACGTGCCCAGGTGGTGCAATGTGGTGTCTTGTTTGGACAGCGTGCCCGGCTACCTTTACCTGAAGGTACCTTACCTTACCTAAGGTACCGTGGTAGCTGAGGGATGGAAGGAAGAGGAAGAGGAAGGTCTCCCATCCCATCCCTATCTTATCTTAGATGCCGCCGCCGCCGTGGAGGGGGTGGAGGCGGGACAGACCACCCCCCCGGCCTGACTTGGACCTGCTGCTGCTCTCCGTGGCTGATGGCGGGGGGGGGACAGAAGGCGGGCACGTACCAAATCAATGGAGCGCAGCCCACCTCACCTACCTACCCGGACCACACCTCACCCCAACTGGAACTGGAACTGGACCGGACCTGGGACCTGCCTACCTGACCTGACCTCACTGTCACTCACTCTTCCCCGTGCTCTCTCTCCTTCGACTCATCAACACCAACAACTCAAACAACGATCCACGATAGCAGCATTCCCGTGAACACAATAGTCACGTCACGTCCGTCACGACCTGTCACGTCCTTTCCTCTTCTGTTTCATTCTATAGATTTTCCTTTGGCCTTCCTAGTAATCTCTCTCTTGCTCTCTACTTTGGCAGCGCCTGGAAAGAAAGCCGCTCTTTATCGTCTCTTTACTGCTTCTTCCCTTCACTTTCACCTTCAACACCGACGTCCATCTTGCTTACCCAACGGTATTCGACTTGTTCCGTCTTGCTTTGCCTGCCTCTATTTGCCACGCAAAACTGTCCATATTCAAAGCATTTACAAAAAAATAGCCTGCGGCAGCCTTCGTCATCCGAGGTCATCTGCCGCCTTTGTCGACCCTTCCACGGGACTCTCTAATAGACCAATAACTCAACTTTCGTCCTTTCCAACCTTCCAACAACCCT